CCTTGTGGTGCAGACCCTGATTAACTGTGGAAAGAAAGAGTCTGGCTGTTCTCAAGGACAGTTTTCTAAATGGCTTAACCTGGCCTAGGCGGTCAGGCATCCCGCACGCAGGAAGGAAAAGAGCGGAAACCTCAGCTAGGGTTAGCTATTGAAAGCGCAGGGCTTGCAGGGTTGGGATGCCTGCAGGTACCTCGATGCCCTGCTGCCTGCCCAGACCTCGACCCTGCGCAGGGGAGGTCCGCGGAATCACAAAGCACAATTCAGGTGCCACCTAGCGCCCTTCCTCCGGCTCGCAGAGTTCTGCTCATTTCCTGGTTGTGCTGGTGCTTTGCCCGCCCACCACGCTGTCTCCCGGGGTTGGATTGAGTGAAAGGTCTCCATGGAGACGCGGAACTGAAGCGGGGGGAGAGTGGGAGGCAGTCCCCAAACAGCAGTGGAGAATTGTGCTCAGAATTTACCAGGCGAGGGAAGCGGAGGCGATGAAGGACGGCTCAAGCGAGAACCTGGCATCTCATGAAAGGCGGGAGACAGAACCAGACCGCATGGCTATAAACAGCCTTGGCTTGGGGTTAAGTTGATACAGGTGACTGTATGTGTTAGCAAAGGCGCGGTGCAACCACCCAATTAGACTGCCCCCTGGGTGTAAAGAAAGGTTTATTCCGGGGGAAGTCTTGGCAGCTGTAAGGGGTTTCAGAAGGAGGAAGGGGAGTGAGCTGGAACAGCCTGGGAAGCGGTGTGGGGCTTTGATCTGTAGGAGTTTGTAGAGAACTAGACACCCTTTGCAGAGGTGGGGCATGTCGGGCGAATAGGAAAGTAGCGGCTTTCCCTGGCATTCAGAAACCTACTTTACAAGGTTTCCTAGGAACGCTGAGTAAAGTTTATCGGGTCAGAGTCCGGCCTGAGCTGAGACCAGTCTGGCATCTACAATGTTGTCATCGACATTGACATTTGGGGTTTGGGACCTAACAGTATGGAATCCTAGTCTTTTCTAACATGCTTAGCAAGTGGCCTGCACATGCATTTTTTAATTTCGACATCTTCCTCAGTGACCTGCCCTGACTTCGACCTTCCTCGATTTTGTTTTATTTTTGTTTCTGTGAGAGTTTTGTTTGTTTTCCGTTTTTTTAGTCGGCTTCACTTCTGAAAGTTTCTGGCCTTGCAGCTTAAAAGCAAACTTGGTCAGGACTATCTCATTCATCTTCATGATTTCAGCCGTATTCAAGGTTTCTAGTCAAACTGCTTAGGAATTCATTTCTCTCCAATGACTCTATACGGTATTTATAGCTCCTGGAGGGCCATGTGTCAGTCTGAATGACTTCCAGGGGCAAGTAAGCATCATATTTCCCAGGTAACATTTGTGATCTTTCCTCTTTGGGTTAGCCTTGGCTCTCTGATCTTTCCTCCCTGGCTCGGTCTTGGCTCACTGCAGTTACTTCCTAGTAATAATAATAATAATAATACATTGATCTTGTCTCCTTTTAGTTTCTACAAGTTTGGGGGGGTTAATCAGAAGGATATTAGTGAAATAAACAAATGATCTTTGTGCAGAGCGTTTGCTGAGAAGCCCGTCCGTCCATGACCTACAATGCCCCTCATGTTCACTCTTCAGCTTCCTTTTCTCTCTGTCATGGAGCCCAGATGCATCACTCACTGAAAGCGACAGAGCATCAACATCTGAACTTCTGTTTCCTAGAACATCGTTCTGTTCTAGTAGAAACACTTACCTTTCGTGTGTTTATGTCTGTACCCAGATTACAAACTCTGAGAGGCGAAAGCCATCTAAAATCAGGCTTTGCAAATGAACTGGACTCAGATTGCTAAATTCCCAGGTGGATGGAGGATACACTAAGGATAATTACTTTAACTGTGTAGATGTGTTCCATTGGCTTGTGTTGCATTTGTTTTACAATGTAGAGATGTGTTGCTATACCTGCCTAAAGCACACAATTGGTCTAACCAAAGCTGAACAGCCAATAGCTACACAGCAGAGGGACAGGCAGGACTGGTGGGCAGAGAGAATAAGCAGGAGGAGGCATCTAGGTTGGAGAGGAGAGAGCCAACAGCCAGACAGAAATGGAGGGAGCAGTGAAAGTAGGATGTACAGAATGAAAGAAAGGTAAAAAGCCCCAAAGCAAACCGCATAACGTGTATGAAGAGAAACAGGTTCAATATAGGAATTGACAAGCATAAGATAAGGCTCAACAACAAAACAACAAAAAATAAATAAAAAAGATAAACAGTACATGAGAATTTGATTCCCATTCTTCTCAAAATGGCATAGGAAATAGCTAAATAAAATAAACAAAAAACCCTTACTAATTTAAAATGCTAAAAATTGTATCTTATCATATTCTCTAGCTAATCAGGAAATACTGGTACAAATGTATGTGCATATACTGAAGGGAAGACTCCATAAAATCAAGCACAAGTCATTGCTAGTGAGCAAGCCACACCTACCAGGAAACAGGGAAGTAATCCAATGCCAAACAGAAGCCCTGCACCTTAGCAGAGCAGGGATAGGAGAAGCAAGGTTACCTGCTGTTTTTCTGCCTGTCACTCACATGTCAGTTCATCTGACAGGAAGTGAATTCCCTTTCTTTGTCAGATTGCTTCATCTCGGACTCTGAGTCATTCACAAGCTATGCTTCTGTGGGGCGGGGCCTACAAGTAGCCGGGAAGCAGAGTTGACTGCGCTGTGAGATATCTGCCCAAGCTCCTCAGCAGCCAGGTAGAAAAGCAAGCACCAAGGTCCAAGAGTATCCAGTGCCGTCACGTGTAGAAGAATAAGCGGGAGGTGTGAGCAGTGTGAACGGTGTAATGGGCACACTGAGAATTCTCTACCTACCAGTCACTCTTCTGCCTCTTCGACATGGTTAATAATAATAATAATAATAATAATAATAATAATAATAATAATAAACAACTCTGCTTCTACACATTGGTTTCCCCATAAGCCTTTAACAGATTACTCCAGTCTCTTGCATTCTCTGGATTTCTGTGACTTCCCCATTACTATTCCAAGCTTTACTTGAAGCTCTCATCATTCTCTCCCGGCCTCCTTCCTTTACTGCTTTTATATGGCCTCTAAGTAGCAGAGGTCTTTTTACTTAACTGTGTAACATGGAGGGCCGGGCCTGCTCAGGTTACAGAATGGCGTCCCACGTTGGGCACCATTCTGTAACATGAGGAGGCCGGGCCTGCTTGTTTGTGGGTTTTCTGTCCTGCCCGGATCCCCCAGCTCTTTAGTCCCAGAGAAAAATCACACAAGAGATCTCTATAAGTTATAGTGCTGATTAGCCCGTTAGGTCAGGCTTCTTACTGGCTAACTCTCACATCTTGATTAACCCATTTTTGGGATCTATTTTAGCCATGTGGCTCAGTACCTTTTTCAGTGGGGCAGCTCACATCCTGCTGCTTCGGTAGTCTGGGCAGGAGTGGGAGGAATCAATTTCCTCCTCCCCAGAATTCTCCTGCTCTCCTTGCATCATTTCCACTTCCTGTCTGGTTTTCCCACCTATATCTCCTGTCTGGCCAATCAGCATTTATTTAAAACATGATTGACAGAATACAGACAATTCTCCCACACCATAACTGGGTCCTGTTGTTTTCCTTTCTCTATACTCTTGCCCCCACTAGCTTCAATCTCATCCTTTTGTAAAGTTTCTTGGTTAACAACTCCTAAAAGGAATCTCTCTTCTTGCCACTAGATCAATGGAAATGGGTATCTACTAGCAACTTCACTCAGCTAGTTCATAGACCAGCCAGCGGGATGGAAACTGGATTCTGCATCTTTTCCCTACCTGCCCAGCAAATTCCCATCAGCCACCCACTGATTTAATCACCAACTGCAGAGGAATTCTCACAACTCTGTCTGCACTAAATATAATAGCATTGCATCATAAAGCCAGTCACACTGAACCTCATAGAAGAGAAAGTGGGAAGTATACTTGAAAGCATTGGCACAGGAGATAACTTCCTAAATATAACCCCAACAGCACAGACATTGAGAGAAACAATTAATAAATGGAACCTTCTGAAACTGGAAAGCTTCTGTAAAGCAAAGGACAGTTAACAAGAGCCTACAGCAGCCTACAGAATGGGAGAGATCTTCACTATCCCCACATCAGATGGAGGGCTGATCTCCAAAATATACAAAGAACTCAAGAAATCGGTAATCAAAAGAACAAATAATCAAAAAAAATGGAGTACAGACCTAAACAGAGAACTCTCAACAGAAGAATCTAAAATGGCTGAAAGACACTTAAGGAAATGTTCAACATCCTTAGTCATCAGAGAAATGCAAATCAAAACAACTCTGAGATTCCATCTTACGAATGGAATCTTAAGATTCCATCTTAAGAATGGTCAAGATCAAAAACACTGATGACAACTTATGCTGGAGAGGCTATGGGGTAAAGGGATACTCCCGCATTACTGGTGGGAATGCAAGCTGGTACAGCACCTTTGGATGTCAGTATGGCGATGTTCCAGAAAATTAGGAAACAACCTTCCTCAAGACCCACTAATACCACTTTTGGGTATATGCCCACCCAAAGGATGCTCAATCATGCCACAAGGACGTGGACTCAACTATGTTTATAGCAGCATTGTTTGTCATAGCCAGACCCCAGAAACAACCTAAATGCCTCTCAACCAAAGAATGAATAAGGAAAATATGGTACATTTACACAATGGAGTACTACACCGCAGAAAAAAAAAATGACATCTTGAAATTTGCAGGCAAATGGATGGATCTAGAAGACATCATATTGAGTGAGGTAACCCAGACCCAGAAGGACAATTATCACATATACTCACACATAAGTGGGTTTGAGACATAAAGCAAAGAAAACCAGCCTACAAATCACAATCCCAGAGAACCTAGACAACAAGGAGGACCCTAAGAGAGACATACATGGATCTAATCTACAAGGGAATTAGTAAAAGGCAAGATCTCTTTAGTAAATTAGGAGCATGGGGAACATGGAAGAGGGCTGAAGGGGAGAAGAGCAAAGAAAAATGGATAGCTCAAAAAAATCATTTTTTTTTAAAAAAAAAGTTCATCTTTACATTTCTGCTGACTTGAAGGACAGCCAACACTACATCCTGTAAGTTTTAGGTCTCCATCTAGATTTCCTCATCTGTGTAACTAGTTAAATACTGAATTCCTTTTAAACTTTAAGTTGTACAGAAACAAAGAGCATATATGTCTTGTTTTGCCTCTGTTCTTATTGTTTAGAACAGCACCAAATACATCATAGAGCTTTGACATGTGCTTATTTTATTTGTCATTGATAAAATACAAGGGGAATATTTCTTTTCTCACTCTATTTAATAATAGAGAGTGAAATTTAAAACAAAGTGGTAGATGACATATATTACATACTTCTGCTTGACATCTATGACATTTTATGTAAAATTTTAATATATTTAAACAAAGACATTTAATTCAATCTTTATGCTAATAATCACAGATACAGAAATGTTTATATCTAAAGAAAACACTGATATTAAAACAAACAAGTTAAATCATTTTTCATATACAGTAGACATTGGGACTTTCCAGATAACACTCACCCATTTCTTAGCAAGCCTGGCGATCCAAACACTTCATAATCACAGCATTTCTTGGAAGCATAATTTTTAAATGGAAACGTTAATGTCTGAAAGCAAGTCACTCAGCTCAAGTCGACCCTAGTTTATTAAGCCCCAAGCACTGGCTTTTCAATGAAACTTTAATGTCCGTTTATTGACATTGAACTTCATTGGCATTCAGAATCACACTGAGGCATTCTCTTTTGACTCAGGAAGAAACTCAAATAATTATATACTCTGTGCCAGGAAGAATTTGGGAGTTTGCAAAGATCTCCGAGCAGAATATTTGCAAATGTCAACGATTCACAGTCGTTTCAAAGAACAGCATTGCATTCTAACGTTATGAATACATTCAGATAATTTTACATCACTCTTCACGGACAAAGCAGCAGCTTTAATGGCAATGATAGGTCTCAGGTTTCATAGAGTACAGATATATTAAGAAATAGTCCCCAGCTATAAATAAAGGAGCTAAACGTTAAATAAGAACAATATAATTAATAATTTTAATGGTATAAAAAATATAGCTCCAAGTCTTCCTCTATGTAGTGACTGACGCTATGTTCTCCGGTTCCTTATTATTGAAATAACTATTATAGCAGGTGTGGCATTCTAAATGGATATTGGATTTAAGCTTTTTAATCCTGTCCAGTGCTATTTAATAATGGAAGATTATGTGACGTTTCGTCATCTTGCTGTATCATTTATAATAAAAGAGCATAAAACCAGAATCAAAAAAACCTAGAAAGTAGTCTAGTATTTAACCTAAGCTTACCACATTGTTGCTACGTGTGTTTTTAGAAGTCACAGAAGTGTTTTGGTAAGGTCTCACCTGAAAAACTGAGAAGGGTCTGCAGTAACATTCCTAAGATTTGGTGAAGTATTAACTAAACTAACAGCCTACAGTTCTGTGTTCTGTTTCTAAGCACACAATTCTATGGTTATCTATCAGCCAATTTTAACCGATCACATTGGCCAGAGTACGCAGTAGAAATTAAAGTCTACCTCAATTTAAACAGCCATGGCAAACTACAAATCAAAACAAAAACAGAGAACTAGGTACTGAAATAAAAGGAATTCAGCAACACAGTCTTCTACTTTATAAGAATATTTAAATTCGACCAAAACTGCAGTAATAAATACAACAGCATTTCAGCTAAACAACTTAAGGTAATTTTATTCGCTGACATAAAGCTATAAAACGAAATTTTCTATGGAAACCATACGCAGTTTGTACCAACTCTTAGGTTGTCCAATTCCAGTAGTGTTAAGAATATGCTGTCGTTACATAGTGTATGTCCGTCATGTGCCTGCGTAAGCGCCATGAGCTGATGTTGCCTGGCACGGCACTGCTGTGTAGGTTCCTCCGATGTACGCGCTCAGCTCCACTGGCACGTACAGTCTACAGGTTCCTGCAGCGTGTACAAGACTTCTGTGCCGTTCCCCGAGCAGTGCAGAGGCACGGTGATGTTCCGCACTCCGTTTTCCCGGCAGCACTTGCAGAACCTCAGGTGGCTTTCCACGTTGATGTTATAGATGGTAGCCGACGGGCACTTCCCATCACAAGATGCCACACTCACCTGCGAAGACAGATAATGAGGGAAAAAAAATCTTCAGGTACGTCCAGTATTGGTGGCTGTTTGATTCCTCCAAAGAGTCCGTAAGAGCTCTTTTACCATTTCATGCCCCAAGCTTTTATATGTTTAAAAGATTGTGGAACTGCTACATTAGAATATGATTCATACATGCATCAAAGGGTTGCTATGTGGCCATCCTGAATCCAGCAATGCTTCCATAATTCAAAACTGAATCGTGCAAGCATAACTGAATAGAAATATGGAATGACTTAATCCCAGCCCAATAATCCTATTGTCCCAGGTGTTCTGTTTTGGTACAAGTACAGCATAACATTAAGTAGACCATACTAAAAGGAACAAAGTAAAAACTCTGACTACAGTTTTGTCTTTAGCTCTGTAATTTTACTCCGACAATATCGCCTAATATATGTAGACTGCATTTATCTCTCTAGATTGCAACTATCACTGAGAACTGTTGATTATTTGTGCTAAGAATAATTTATAATTCTTCAGAAACCGGATATTTTAATATCAGAGGATAGGAACGCTCTCAAAGTTGAATACTATATGTTGCTGTTTTCTTGGTCTATTAGTCGGCCACGTGTCGGTGATCCACAGATTTCCAGAAACACCAATGTTCTTTATGTAACCAACGTTATTCTCCCACTTACAGAGCTCTGGCTTAAGCAATCCTGTTTCTTGATGATGGATTTAATGATCACTTTCTGGCATGTCCTTTCTTCTCGTTTGCCTGAAAAAAAATAGAGAATGTATTTTTTCATTAAAAGTCTAAGCTAAAAAGATGATTGAGTGCTTAAGAGTTTTTGCTAATGACTGGAGTTCGGTTCCCAGCACTCACATAAATGGCTCACAACTCTCTGTAAATCCAGTTCCAGGGGAATCTTACACTCCTGGCCCCTCTATGAACCACATTCATGTGAACATACTCATACCTCCACAGAATTACAAATAAAAATAATAATACATTTTACAAGCCCATGTAAAATGCTTTCCAAACTTAAAACGCGAATATAATTAGATTGGAAAGTTGATATATTTATTTAAAACATATAGTCAGTATTAATTTTTTTTCAAACTCTAATCTTAGAAATTACATGCATAATATCTGTTTTCTCCTTTTATATAGCTTGGATCGTTCAGATTCATAGTTAATTTTACTTTTTAACTCATTATCTTAGAATAATCATTATCATTATTAATCAAAAACATTACAAATATGGAATAATGAATTTTATATTTAACTATGAGTTGTGAAAACATGAAATATGAAAAAATAATTCACTAGTACACAACAATTTTTAAATAAAACTAGGATTAAAAACTACATTTTCTAAGTACTCATTAATATGCTAAGTAACTTAATTGTCAGCCTTTTGTAAAACATGAATGATTCATACTTTATTCTGTGGCTCTGAAATGGTCTTTTATGATTTCAAATAAAAACACCTATAATCAATCATTCATGACACAGTAGTATGCATCAATATGTAACTGAGAGTTATGTTATAATATCACCAGGAATATATGTTTAACAATGTTTGACAGTGATGTAAGCTCGAATAGGATGCCAAAGGCCAGGATTCAAACCTCGCTCTGTCATCAACTTGTTTTGTTACTTTGGCAAATCATTGACTCATTCTCTTCACTTTACTTGTTTATGGAATAGTGGAGTTACATTATCAATTTTCATATGACTTTATCCATGAAAGTCTTAGTCAAACATACTGATATAAAGTTCAAAGAGGTAAAGTTAAGCTACTCTGGTTTGAGGAAAGATTGGTAATTAAAACTGGCTAAAATTAAATTACCTTGGAAAAATTCATTCAATAAATATATGGGACAACATTGTTCATCGCTGGATAGTTGAACATTTTATTCCTAGAAGCATTTCCTGTGTACTCCTCACAGATTTCTTTGTAAGTATGTTTGGTATTCATAGTACCTGTGATAGTACCTAAATTCTACAATCTTCACTACATAACTGGCCATTCAGGATCTCAGGCTGCGACAAAGCTTCTCTAATGTCAAAGAACTATCAACTACTTCATGCTCCCTTACACACCAAATGAGAGACATCGAAGCAGTTTGCTCTTATTCTGCAACTCAAAGAGGTTGGCAGAGGTGAGTTATACCCATTTTTGATTCAAGTTATCTCCTCTTCTGGGGCTTGATTTCCTAATCATTTCAGGAAGCTACACCTTCCTCTATGAATGGGCTGTGGTCATGTCTGACAGGATGAGGAACACTGGTGTGGTATTAACCAGTTTAGCAACCCAGTTAACCCAGTTATGCCCTCAGAAAATAAACACTAACTCTCTATTAGTTCTCGTAGGATGATATTATGGGGCTAATTATAAGGGTTTTGACTTGGACTATGACTGTGTCTATATCTCCGATCGAAAGGAGAGATTAAACTCCAAAGCTGTTAAAGGAGTGAGAAGTAAGAATATATAAATGTAAGTCTCTTTAGATTCTAAAGCTAAATTTAATTCCTGTGTTCCCGATACAGTAGATAATTGACAAACATTAGCTCCCATGTGACTCAGAGAACACGGAAAGAAAAACTTCTTATTTTCAATGAACAGAAAACAATTGCATTTGCTGGTTCTTCAGATTCGAGAAAATAAAATGTCCACTTTTCTTAAGGCCCAGTCAGTATAGTTTTTGTCATTTGAATTGTGTCCATCAATTTTTCCTATGTTCAGTTGAGCTATACATGTGATTTTCATCTTATCACAAGACCATTACAGAGGCAATCAGATGAGAATGAGATGAATGTGAGATTGTAATGCAGTATGACTGGACCATATAAAAAGGGAAAATCTGGACACGTGTGCATGCACGCATATGTGCGTGCGTGCTCGCATGCGCGCGCGCGCACACACACACACACACACAGAGAGAGAGAGAGAGAGAGAGAGAAACATAATACAAATATGAAGGCTGTCATCTCTCAGGCAGGGAGAGAGATTTTTTTTCTGACTGAACTCATTAGAAAGCAGCTTGCCAACATCGAAATTTGGGAACTCCAGATCTCTGAAACAGCACATTTCTGGTATTTAAGTCACCTGCTCTCTGAGAATATGTGTTACAAGAGGCCTAGAAAGTCATACAGTAAAATGGACATCGAGGTGTGAACTGCTGAACTTTTCCACTTTCTTGGAGTTTTTTTTGGGGGGGGGGGCAGCTTATCTATGACGGAACTAAATTTTCGCCATCATCACCAAATCACTGAACAAGTGGCTCAAGACGACTGACATCTCTTCTAGAGGACTTGGGTTTGGAACCCAGCACCCATGTGATGGCTCACAACCTTGTGTAACTCCAGGGCATCCGATATCTTTGTATCTCTGTAAGCACCGCATGCATGTGGTACACAGACATAATGCAGGTAAAACACCCATGCAATGCAGTCATTCTAATTTTAAAGAAAATATTAGGCGATGATTAATTTTTAGAAATACCACAAAAAATAAATGTCCAAAATGAAATGAGAATTTATCTAGATAAAAATGTTTACGTACACCACACAGTATAAAAGTTGGAGTACAGGACTATCAATCACACATTGTAAGAGCATTTAAATAGCCGACTTTACCAAATACAATTTAGAAACAGACTATTCAGAGACACCCAACAACCACATAAGTCATGAAAACTATTCTACTTCTGCATGGACGATATCCCCACTTACAGATCTTGCAACAGCCTTCATTATAAAGCTTTACAATCCCTTCATTCTGGAAAAGGAGAAAAAGGGAAAAGACACAGTGTTTATCCATTTCCTCTTAACCTGCGATTGAAAGCCAACTCTCACAATATTTTATCAGTTATCACATAGCCTTTATAGAAAAATTATTAAAGTTAACAATTCCTAATAAGAATTTATTAGTAACAGTATTTTCTTCAAAAACTGCATTTTTCTCTACCTTCATAGAAAAAGTACTAAAAAATTCTATTTAACAAATATTTTTTAATGCTCCAAATATTCTTAAGATAATAAAATAATGGAAGCTATTCTAACTAGTTGTCATTCACTTCAACTCTAAAAAATTATTTAATCTATAAAATTAGATGAACTTTTAAATATCATAAAATGTTAAGAGGATACATTTTTCCATTAATATTTTATTTTTCAAACAAACCCCATCTTTCAGAATTTAAATATAACTCTAGTACATGTGATAGCTCGTTGACCATCACTAGTAAGTGTGTGACTACAGAGGAAAAATCTGTGAGATTATGCTTTTTCTCTATGCAACTGAATAAATCCTGTTTGTCACTAAGGACTGATTGTCTAAGTAATTAACACTGGAAAAGGTTTGATATAAAATAAAAATCATAACCCTTTAAAAATCTTCCCTTTAATAGATTTTTTCTTTTAGAAAATAGAGGGTGAAATGGAGCAAAACTATAGAATATGGAAAAGCACCAAGTTCTCCAGTGGCCTGTATCAGAGAAGCAAGGTAAATGTCACTAGGTTAAGGTGCATTAATGACACAAGAAATCTATGTGTTTGTCTAAGACAAAAAAGGTAAAACTCAGTTAGGTAACACATTTATCTCTACTAGAAGAGAGTCTGGGTTTGCTGACCAAAGGAATTTTCAATTATTCTTCAATATCTACATAAAAACCTTGTGACAGCAAATTATCCATTCATAGGAAGTCAAATTTAAATTCAAAATAGCAAACTAAAGAACTACAATAGATATTTTATTTATGCAAAGAAAAAAAAGTTGATCATAGCAAATAAGCCACAGTGTCTGTAGGACCTTGGAAAAGAGTCTAATGGCTACTTCCTAGATTACAGTTAATGCAGAATTTCTTGAGATATAGCGAAGTACAAACCAGTTTGCATTCAGTCTCATTAAAAGGAGGGCAAACCATGCTGTAGTGTAGAATCGTCGCTCCCTCATCTGTCCTAACACATTCATACGTGGTGCAGTTATAGTGCCAGGAGCTCCCTTCCTGAGAAAGAAAAGAAAAGTGACAGCTATCCATGCCAAAATCTGTTACATTCCTTCTTAGAATACCTAAATTTATTAAATATTCAATCAAATCCACAACAAGACAGAGAACTCCTTGAGGCATATTCCATTTGAAAATTTCCCCAATTGTATCTCAAAATCACACACATGCACACATACGGGGGGAGAGAGAGAGAGAGAAAGAGAGAGAGAGAGAGAGCCAGAGAGAGAGAGCCAGAAAGGGAGAGAGAGAGAGAGAGAGAGAGAGAGAGAGAGAGAGAGAGAGAGAGCACATTTGCAAGTGTTTGGCTTCATAATGGAGGAACTCATTACTTTCTTTGCTCTAGGACAATGGTTCTCAACCTGTGAGTTAAAACTCATTTGGGGGGTCACATATTGGATATCCTGCATATCAGAATAGTTCAGAATATTTGCATTATGGTGCATAACAGTAGAAAAACTGCAGCCATGAAGTAGCAACAAAAATAATTGTGTGGTTGGGGGTCAGCGCAACATGAGTGTGGTGAACTGTGTTAAAGAGTCACAGCATCAGGAAGGACGAGAATCACTGCTCCCATAGTTGATTAGGATACCAGCCCTTCCTGGAACTCATTTCTTATACCTGGAAAATTGTGAGGGTCCAACTTAAATTTACCTTAGGAAGCAATTTAAACAAATTTTTACAAAGTTATCAAAAAATTTAAGATACAACAAATACACAAGTATGTGGGAGGTGTACACTGTGTATAGGTGTGCAATGTGGGCAGAGGTATGACGGATGATAGTTTTAGTAGAAAATAAAAATTCATACCTCATATACAACTGACGTCCCATTTTCCATGTGAAATTTGCAGGATATGTTTCTGCAGGTTCCACAGCAGTCATAATCGCTGAGAGATGGAGTGTAAATCTGGTGCTGCATATAACGAACAGGCACAGTAGTGGTCACCCAGCAATACTAGCACCTGAATGAGTTAGTTCTGAAGGTGTTCTCTCTGAACATCTGTAAGCATTTCTAAAGTTGCATGTGAGCAGCTTCAAAAGAAACAGTTTTTTTTTTTTTTTTTTTTTTTAGATAGAGAGCGTATAAATGAAGTAGATGTTAACCTCTACATCTACAGGCAACATCATCCAGCAGGTGCGACAACCTTAGGTCAACCAAGCAAGAAAGCTCTCCCTTACAACTCTTGAAGTTCAAGGTCATTCATAGAAAAACAAAAATCTACATTAAATAGATACCTCATCAAATAATAGTGTTGAGGAGCTACTCAATTGTGTAACCCATAAAGCATTCACAAGCTCAAACTCTCTAACTGGAAATTTTAAACTCAGTAGGCCACCAGAACGACTTCTAAGAATACTTACAACATCGCAGGCTTTTGAACAATTCACCATTGTAGCGTTAAAAGTATGAAAGCCTGTATTGTTATCTTTGTCTTCCAGACATTCTATTGTGTAACAAAAATCCCCTTCCAAATACTTTGTCAGAGATTGCCCAGGATTCAATACTGATACTTCTTGAAACACACATACATCATCTTTTTCTAAAGAATGGTCAACAAAAAAAAATGTTATCTTTTGTATTTACCAATCAATAGAATTTATATTTAAGACTAGATTTTCATTGTGATCAACCAAATTTTCAAAATCAAGTAAGATGTTACATATACCTAGCAACCCAACAATTAATTTAACCACATTAATCACATCAATAGCACAGCTATTCCTTAATATATAATAAAAATTAATCTGTAAAATCACCTGTATTAGCATGCTTAAAAAGATTTATTTTATAGCAACTTCCAGAAGTATGAGGTCTCAGGAATGAGCAAGGCATTTCTACTCCATCTCCAGAACATAGATCATGACCACTGTTAATGTGGATGTAGATGGATTCAGAGTCTAATTCAGTAATAGTAGCGCCCTTCAGTGTGGGACTTTGTAACATTTTGTGATTTTAATGATCATTATGATAACAGAAATTATTTAAATTCTTAGTGCTTTATGGATAACGTACCACCACCTCTGAATGGTACATTCAGAGATGGCATATTAGAGCAGGCTGGAAGAGGGCTCTCCTTGCCTCTAATCCTAGGTATTGCTGTTGATTGCTCAAAGAAAATTTTGAAGCAATTTAAACCACTGAAGAAACAGTCTACATTCTATGAACCCACTAAATCTTAGTATGAAAATACAGCCCTTCATGCTTTGAAATGGTAATACTAATCATAAAATGATGATCAAAATATGGTCACAATTTTAGATAGCATAGTTTTTTATCCATCTCTCATATACAACACACTGACCAGTTTCCCCTCCTTCCCCATCCCCCAAGCCTCTCACCCCAATCTCCCTTTTCCCCAGATCTAGTATTTTAAGGCAGTTTGGCTAAGACCAAAGTGTAGATAGCATATTTTAAAGTGACTTAGAAAAATAATTCCAGTTCTGGGGTGAAAAATTCATTTTTCTGACTTATCAAATTTCTCAGAACATTTTGAAATATTTTGAAGGAAAAGTAAGAGTTGTTTATTAGAATACTGGCAATCAACTTAATATAAATACCGTATTTCTAAAAGAAAATATTTTAAATATACAAATGCAAAGCAATAGACACCAATAAGAAACAATTATTACTTAAAAGTATTTAAGAAAACACTTACCACAAAGATACTGTACACATCCACAGTCACTCTGAAAGTTTTGATCTATTGTGACAAATTCTCCCTATGAGAAAGAAATCCTCATATGATTTATCATGATCATTTTTGAAAATACACATTACAAGCAATTTCACCCAGATACTTAACAAAACTTCTAGGGATAGGCTTAGGTTTGCTGAGCATTCAGGTAAAAAAAAAAAATCACAATAAAAATGTTATTGTGGATTATTCAATGCTTGTGTTTGGGTATGTGTATATACATGCTTATATGTATGGGAACATGTATGTCTTGTGTGTGTGCATATGAGAATGTACATGTATGCTGAAACCAGAGGACAGTGGGTGCCTTTCTTGTTCACTCTCCATTGCATGCACTGAGGCACCGTGTCTCACTGGTACTCATCAATTCTTTCGGTAGACAACTTACTCCAGGGATCCTCTACCTCTACCTCTTGTGGACAGGGGATACAGGTGAAGTAGACAGATGCTGTGTATCCTAACTCAAGCCCTTACATTTATGAAGTGAGCTTACCCACTGAACTATCTCCCCAGCTCAGATGATTCAATCTCTTAGAACTTCAATTTCCTTATCTATTAAATAAATGAAGGAGGGCATGATGCTGTTTATAATTTGTCCTAACTTTAAAGTCCTACCAAATATGTTTGATTCTGAGATTCCAGAGGGCAGTTTGGAGGAAAAGAAGCTTGAAGCCCCGAAATGTGGTCATCTACTCTCTGGAGGCAGTCCAGAGCCCTAAGGTCTACATCCCAGCATGGCAGCTATGACGTGCATGTAGAGTAAAAGCAATGAGTCTAGGATTGTGTCTAATAGCCAACTCAGGAACAGGATTGCAACGTGACTCCCTTTTCACTAGTTATGAACAACTGCACATTACCAATCTGTCCCTTATTTCCCTCACCTGTAAAATAGACATAATGACCCCACTGGCCACTTAGCATTATGGAAAAAAATAAATAGGCCAGTGTATATAAAGCGGTCAGGATTAAAGCTGGATTCCAACAGTACTGTATAAGCTATTAGTAACTTTTTGTCATGGCTGAGACTCAAACCTCGCCCCTTTGGAAACAGTTTAGAATCCGCAAAACCAGTGGTTCTCAATCTGTGGGCCATGAACCCTTTAGGGGTCTAACAACCCTTCCACAGGGATCGCCTAAGACTATTGGAGATATCAGATACTATATTATGACTCCTAACAATAGCAAAATGACAGTTATGAAGTAGCAACAAAATAATTTTATGGTGGGGGTCACTACAACATGAGAACTATTATTAATTTATATTAAGAAGGTTGAAAACCACTGCTCTAAGCAATCACAGGGCCAGGCTTAAATTTTCATATGTCGTCTTGTAAGCATTTCCCTTTTCACAATGCCTTTAATCTTAATAAACATATTAATAAAATGAATTTGATTTTTCATGTAAAGAACTTATTCTAATAAATCCGTATGACTATCTTAAGTTTTCTTCAAGATAATACATTATATTTTGGTGTGTTTTTTAAATTGTAATTTCATGTGTTAATTCATTTGTTCTTTTATGACTTTAAAGACAATTGCAATAAAATTTTCTAATGAAATATTTTTTAAAAAACTATTAATCAAATTCTACCACGAAAATGGTACTCTAAAGATAAAATAAGAGATCTGTTTCATGTTTCTATACTGGTTACTTACCACAGATTTTCAATTTTTAATAAGCAAGGGCATAATTACACACAGTATTTCCTCAAAAACTCAAATTCCAGTGTAATAATATTTCCTTCTTTGTCTAAGTCTTTTCAGACCATACCCAAATATTTATTTGTAGATTTATCTCTTAGGGATCCAACTCCACCAACAGAACATACCTTTATTATCATTTAGCTGTACTTTGCATTACATCTGATAAGATGGTGTGCTCCTACATAAGCATCATGGGCTTTTAAGGTTAGTAGTAAACTCTAGAGTCTTGGGCTGTTTTCACTCTTTGACGAGTATGATATTTAATAACAAATTTCTGTGTAGTAGTCACTCCATTCTTGTTGGTAAGTTCTTGGATCAAGTGGTAACCCAGTCTAACCCAGTGATCTAAGACCCTGCTATTGAAAGTGTGTGCACAGTTTTCCTTCACCCCAAGCAGTGCACAGTGGTCCTCATATCTCCTACCCTTTCAATATGTGTTACAACCCAACTTTTCAACTTGGGCATGAAGCCATTCTCATTGTAGAATTGGTTCACACTACACTGAAAGCAGATGATATTAAATATCTTCGAGGCTAGTAGGAATGCTCTACATAAGGTTAGTCATGACTGGAATTCCCCAGATATAATCTGAAATGTTCTGCAGGTTACCAGAGTAGTGGCCAAGAATCCAGTACACACACGCGCGCGCACACACACACACACTCACATGCACTCTTTGAATCCTGGCCCCAATCAATCATTTACCCGTATAAGCCTCAACTTTCTTATTTGTGAAATGATACAAAAATTTAGTTCCTGAAGATTTGATGCTAAGTACAAACCTGAGAGACTTAGAAGTCACGATCCAACTTTTATTCACATGTGCTTGTAATACACACACAAATCAGATGAAAACTTTGTATAAAATCTATGGTAGCTAAATTTCCTTGTCAACATGACTGGGAAAATCCCTGAGGAGACACAGTTCTGGTCTTGCCTATGAGGATATTGCTAGTGAAGCTTAACTAAAGATGAAAGACACACTCTTAACGAGAGTAGTAGTATAGCATGGAATGTATCACAGACTGGATAAGTAAGAAAAAGGGAAGAAACCAGTTGAACTCCAATGTCCATTTGCAGAAGTAATGCGACTAGTCCTTTCCTCTCCTGCTGCCTACATCACGGGGCATATCCCCTGGGCCTTGAGGCCAAATCTTTTCTTAAGTCACTTCTTTCCTGGTATTTGGTTAAGAGAAAAGTAACTACTAAGGAAGTTATTGTAAATCCTCAGCATTTCTCAGGCATCACCTGAGAAAATGTAAAGTTAAGTGAGAGGGAAAATAAGACAGAGACATCCATTATTGCATGCTTCTCCTCATCTGTTTTCCAACAAAACTCGGGTTTCGAATGTCTGAATGGGCTGAGAGTATATATAAGAAAAAGAGGAAAATGTAAACATAATGTCATTGTGGAAGACAATATCTGCTCTCATAAATGACGGTAGGAATATATCTTCTTTTTAAAACCCAATAGCCTAAAACAGAGGTAGAAATTTGATGAAAGACATACAAAGTATCATACCACCAGTCACACTCTGTTAATAGCTATGTCAACCTTGTTGCATCAAAACAAAAAAATCTTGAAATTTTTCTCTTTATATACTCATAGATAACTCCAGAAAAGATGCAGTGTTACATGTTTGAACCTCTTTTTCTGCTATAAAGTATGCGTTAGAAGTGCACTTTCTGGAAGAATTATTTAAGACGCCTTTCAAAGTTAAAACAGCTTTTTTCAATAGTTTACTTCCTTTTAATGACTGAGACCTTCACCGACATAATGTTAGTAGATTAAATTGTCTGCTAAATAATATTGCATTACAGTATAATATATTTTCTACGTCACTTTTTTTGAATAATCTTACTATGTAACCCTGATTGGCCTGGAACCCACTATGTAGACACGCTGGCCTCCAACTGACCGAGATCCACCTGGCTCTGCCTCACAAGTGCTAGTGTTAAAGCCTGTAATACCTTGCAAGGTCACTTTCTTAAATAAACTAGAAAAAGTTAACTATTATGATGCAATGTCATTATTTCCATCCACATCGATATAATAAAACCAGGAAAATTCCATTAATTTTTAATAATTCAGAAATGAAACAGATCAAGAGAGAAGCTACTGATTTGAACAATACAATAAGGCAAACAAAATATACATTCTTACCACTTCACAAGTTGGCATGACAAGATTTTCACAGTTGCACTCTAAAAGGCAAAAAACCAACATGTTTACCTGAGTCAAAATATATCAGCTCATTATTGCAAAACTTTCAGATATGAAATGAGTTACCACAATGCCAGTTTGGGCAACACTGTCCAGATACATTCTTTTCCACCAGGTCCATATCTTTTGCGCAGTTGAGTAACGGTGGAGGACAAAGATTTGGCTCGCAGACTAGGAAGAAAAATCAAATGAAGAAAGATGAAAAGATAAATCTCATGGACTTGCCAGTCCTCATTAGCTTGCTGTCATTACCAAGGCAAAGCAGGATTTCATGTCCCCAGAGGTTTCTTCTACTTCTCGCTGCCACGTGTTCCTATGACTAGCATGGATTCAGCCATTGTTAGTTGATCTAGCCCAGCTCATCCCATGAAAAGCCCTGACGAAGGGGTCCAAGTTAAGAGCACCATTGGGCTTCTTAAACATTTATCTCTTTTTGGACCTTTTATTGGCACATTAAGATATTGTTAATTAGTTAAGATGGCCTTACCACAAGAGTACTGTGGACAACACAAATGTGTTGTATTCAGATCCACTGTGAGGAATTCCCCATCAGCGCAGTGTGGAGCTGGTTCTGTGCATGCTTCACACACTGAAGATTGAACAAGAAGCCAAAGTCATATTAAACTAAAATCCAGTTAATGATTAGTTCAGATTATCAACTATACCAAAATCGAGTGTAATGTTTTTAATTGGGAGGTAGGAAAATAATACATAGCTCTTTACCGTCTTTATACTTGCCAAGCACAAGGCAAAAGAAGATATCTTATCAAAAATATAAGCCATTTATTTCCAGAATTTACTCTTATTGAAAGCAAAATTCATAGCACTGATTAATTGATATCATAGCTCACAGCATAGATCATAGCATTGATTAATTTATTGGAATTACCTGATTTTTCCGCCATTGATTGCTCTCTCTTAAGGCTGAACAGTGTGGGAGGAACTTGTTCATACCTACCTCCAGATGTGATAATTTTCTGAATGACTCTGACAAATGACTCATCTACACAGTTCTTACAATGACTATTAATAAACAGGCCGCATCCTGACCAGCTACTATGTGGGAAAACCCATGCCTGATTATCAGAATCACTTTCAATGGAATTGCAATGAGAAATGGAGGGACACTAGAACGAGATGCAGACAGAGGTGGCACCTCTCCTTCCTCTTGACTTTTGCACTTGCCCTTAAATCATTGTTGGAACTTAATCTAGCCACATGCAGTCAAGGAAACAATGGAATTCGAGGAGATATCTTGATTACTGGTGTGATGATTCTCTTGAACTGGGGGAAAGACTTTTCCTTATTATTAACTGTCTAGTTCAGCAAACAGAATACTTTGTTCTGGTTACTTCCTAGATGTGTCTAATTCTCCTGTGCTTTCTAGAATTCATTATAGTTCACAGATGATACGTAGACGTTAAGTTATTAAATGGTCTTATATTATTCTAGTTGGGTCTTCTAGACTAGCACATACTAAATTTTCTTTTTAAAAGATAGATATTTGTCTCATTAAAGAAAAGCCCATATTCTATTATTTGGATGATGTTTGAGAGGTACACATACTTTTGTTGATGGTGTAAGTACTGGCTGTAACATTATTGAGAGTCATTTACAATGTCCTCTGTTTCCTATCATTTTTATTTAGAGCAATCCCTACAAGATAACATAATGCCGCTTGCCACGAGTCCCATGAGAGTCACACAAATAGATGCTTCCCAGATCCTTTCTCTTCTTGCTGTGATTCTCTCTAGAGCACTCACCACAGAAAGGGTAGAAACAGCAGGGTTCTCCTTGTTGAACCTGAAGCATAAACTGGTCTTCTCTGCAATCTGGTGTTGAAATGCTGGGACATTTCAATGTATCACATTCTGCAAAATCACAAATACATTTAAAAATTTGTATGAGGGATACAACGGGTAAATTAAAATGAGACTATTGCTTTTTTTTCTCTTTGAACTGAGTGACAATCTTAATGTAAAGGCATGTTTATCAATTAGCAACTTAACAATCTTTTACAATAAATTCCATCCATAGAGACCCAGAGGAAGGAAGCCTCCTCGGCACTTTAGAATGTACAGTGAGCTTTATTTTCCCTAATAGATTGACTTACCACATTCATACTGTGGACAGCAAGAAAGAGCGCTGTAGCCAACCATCAACTTCTGACTACTCGTGCATATCGGGATGGTTGTGTCACACAAAGTCATGTCGCAGCCTAGAAATAAGCAGCAGAGGGTTACAGTAGCAGTGAGCCCAACTGGAGTCTTTTGCTGCCATCTCAGAGTGGGGAAATGGCTCTACCAAATGTGCTTTCACTCCAATGAAGCCCAACAGGCACCCAACTGGCTGTATAAGAGATTGCACCAGCTCTAAGGATCCTCTGGGATTTTCTTGCATCCTTTACTGTCATGAATCAGAGGTTCAGAGCCCTGCCTTTTGTCATAAGTTGTTGAATATTATTAATAGTTACTGGCAAGCATTTTAACATGAATTTTTATAACCCATTTTGAGAAAATGGCATTTATGGAAGTACTTCATAGTTAGCCTGCTGTGTTTTTCTCAGTCATTGGCATGCATATCTACAAGGCTCGAGTTTATCCACATACCACAAACTTCTCTAGAGCAACAGGTCAACTGATCAACGATGCCCATGACAACTTCAGCTTCTCGTTCACAAATGGGGGAGGGCTCTTCTTCACAGACAGGCTCTATCGGAATAATGCTCCCATCCTCCAGACATTTGTAGAGCACACACTCATCAATGCCCCCATTCCAAATCTCCCCAGCACTGCGGGGTTGATCTTCGCTGTCAGCGCACACTTTAAAAGATTAACAATGTGATTTCATTTACAACCTGGGCACGACAGCAAGTCAAGTTACGATGTCTTGAATTTTGGATCATGACTCTTCCACCAATATGGCTACCGGTCATGAATCTGTTCTTTCTCAGATTCTTCTTTTTCTTTCTTTGACTACTACATTGCATTGCTCTTTAACCAAAGTTGATATGAAGTCCACAGAAAACATTATTGTTTTCTACAACCTTCCACAGGCACTTCCCTTACTGGCAGTCACAACCCTGTTTCTCAAAGCATCCTTACATTTCTATTCTACCTGCCCTTCCATTCAATTATTAGCAAAATTCCTTTTCTTCTTGCCATTATTTAGACCCAAATGACTAACAAAGTGCTGTGTTGCAACTTTCAGAATTATGAGCTTTTCTAATCAGTCACAACCATGAAGAAAAGATGCCAAAAATAATTTGAACATGAACATTGAGTAGTTAAATGTTTTCCCTAGATAATAATCCTATCTATCATTTCCTTCATTCTTAATTTTTTAAGACACTGTATGCACAAGATAGTTTTTTAAACGATTTTATGTTTTCGTGTTATAACCATAGGGACTAAGTCCTGTTAATTTCTCCATACATAGCCTCAGAATCACAGAGGCAAAAGTGAACCACCACAGAAAAAATAATTAGAACTAAAACTGATCCCACAAATTACTTTTAATTTTTAATTTGCCTTGCTCTTTCCTAGTTATTAACATACACACAAGTAAATATTGAGAACCATCATCACCAAATATCCTAATTTTAACTCCAACTCAATCTGTATTCAAAGTAAATTACAAATTCGTTTCCTTTCCAACTCCTGGGCCATCTTTGATCAGTTTCCTTCAGCATATATTTCCAATATGTAAAAGATATTGTACATGTATGATGGCTGGATTCCTGGGCAATCATTTTGCACTTGGGTCCTTACCACATTCTCGCTCTGGGATGCACAGGGTTTTATCTGGCCGGTGAAGAATGGTTCCATTCTTGCATACACAGTCCTCTCTCAAATTCAGACATGAGGAGTGCCCATAGAACCATTTATTGAGACACGTTCTTGCCTCGCAGGGCCTCACACAGGGCTGGTATTCCTTTCCCTCTGGGCAGCTCAGAGCTGTCAGCAATAAAGGACAGAATTTGCTAATAACCAAAGTAATCTGTATGAATTCTTGTTGAGAGAGAGAGAGCAGTTAGCCTGCATTGCAGATACAAATTTTGCATGGTTTCATTCTTTAAAGATTATTTTTCATTTACTGCATAACCACAAGTGAAGTAAGCCTGGTGACTTCAAAGGCATCCTTCAAGTATCTAGATGGTATTCAGTGTTGTAGTTGAAAGGGTTTCTTTAATTCCTATCAAATATATATTTCTAATTTCCAGTCTAAGTCTCTTTCACATAAATATATGGAGTCAACTATTACAAAACTGCTGTGCCATGCAGCCAGAGAAGATACAAATTCTCCATTTCTCTGCAGAATAATCATGGAAACACTCCTGAAACATGTAACTCAAACTAAGTCAAAAGAGAGAAAAAGAGAGAGGGGGAGAGGGAGGGAGCTGCTTGTAGAGGTTTAATCATTTACTGCCAAAAGAAGCATTGCTGAGCAGTTTCTAAATGATGTTTTAAGAAATTCTTGTTGATTTCTGCTGTTCATAAAACGTCACACTGTTCAAAAATGAATACTCAGCTTGTGGGAGGTGGTATAAATTGGTACAGTCTTGATGAGGAACAATTTCAGCATGTCTAGCGATGTTCATGGTGCTAGATGTTCATGGTGAATCAGGAGTGGAGATTCCTCTGGTCACACACCAAGAGGGGAACAGGAGAAGGTTACAGAGCCAAATTCCTTCTTATTTCTGAAACTCAGTGACAACACTGGCATGGTGACATTTGTTGTCATTTTCCATTCATGTTTGATGTCCTAAGTCATTCTGTGACTCAAAGTAAATGGGGGAAAGGATTGTGAAGAAGAGGATGTTCTCAAATGGTTAGAAGATATCACTGTGCTAGCGGTCACTCACGGCAATAGTCAGGTGTCCTCCACCGAACGCAGATATCAAACTTGTTGCACAGAGCCACATATGCAGAGATCGCATCACATTCATAGCTCCAGAGATAGGTGTAGTTAATCCACATCTTTTCACAAAAGTCCCTTGGTGAGACCTAGAGATGCATTTTACCATATTTAAAAAAAAATATGTCATTTTTAACTTCCCCAAAGGCCATGAGCTAACCCAAAACCTTTTGAAAAATCAGGTTAAGAGCATTCCTTTTGTGCCAGTATATGGGGTACAGAGGCAGGAAGATTGACGCGTTCGATACCAGCCTGATCAACATAGCAAGATCACGTTAGCCAGCGCTACATAGTGAGGCTCTGCTTCAATGAAGTTAAAATATTCAGAGTAGTAAATTAATGTCATCAACATTTCCCTTAACCCTCAATTTTTCAAAACTATTTTTTGCCACACCAAAAGAAAAAAATTATAAAGGAAAAGAATTGAATATGCTTTAAAAAAGATTTAAATAACAATAACGTGCATGAGTGTTTATTTTATGTGCATGCATTTAAAATATTTAAACATTTAACATTTATGTTCATCTGAATTTTGAAGTAAACTAACCTATGGAAAAACTAGTTTGTCCCGTTACTTTGAGGCCTTGGTGCATTCCCTCAGGAAACTCATAGTCCAGGCTGACTATAGAATATGCTTGCCTGCCTAGCACAGTCATCCACGTGAGTTCCTTCCAAACCACAACTTCCTCCTTCTTCTCCCTAGACTGCCTTTCGCCTGTATAGACTGTATCAAAATGCCTCAGTATTCTCCTTGCATGGACTTTTGTACCAAATATTCTCTTATCCACATTGCTTTCAGTGTCAAGATCTTTCTCTCTCCCTCCTCCTTTTTTGGCAATATGTGGTTTTAGATGGCTCAGATGTGTGAATCTTCCTGAAGGCTTTTCTAAAGCTGAACTCATATGTATCTCCATAGCATGTATTGTAACTATCGGTTCACAGATTCCCCTTCTTTTAAACTAGAGGCACAGGGAGGACCTTATCTGTGCATCACAGAATTCTAGCACAGTTCCTAATACATGCTAGTGTAAATGGCTTACCAAATTTTGTACTAGTTTGTCCTTTTCTCTTTAACAAGAAAAAAATTTTTTATTGACATGGATCTCTGAAACTATCTACTAATCATGTAAACTGAGAAAGCAAGAGAGTGAGGAGGGGGGAGGTCACAAACTGAGGAAACAAGAGCACAGAAAAATCAATCAAATTGATCAAGTGATGACTGTGTTATTCATACTAGAGCTTAGCGTCATAGAAATTGATTAAAGCTTCACTGTCTTAACTCTTACACAAGGTTATCAAGCACTGTTGATCTATTTTGGCTAGAGGAATTTATTCATGGGAAAATTCCATTTCCCTGAAAGCTATACAATTCTAACAAAGCATCGGAGGAAAAAAACTACAACCATCCTTCCTGTTTCTACAAGTTTATGAAGAGTAAACATCTCTGAACTTCAAACGTACAGACAGAAAGACCAGAGAGAAGCTATTCTCAGTAGAAGACCATAGCAGGAATGGAAGCTTAGGGCTTTTTGTTCTCTTAGAAACTCTAATGCAATCGCTCATTTCTGGCTGCATTTAACTTACTTTGTCATGGCACGGAATGAAAACGTCTCTGTTCAATAACTCAATGCAATGGCTGCAATCATGTTCAGTACAATTCCTAACGGGTCTTCTCATTGTGACTTCAAACGATTTCTCAATTTCCCAACTTCCGATAAATAATTCTATGTCTTCCATGTTGGTAATAATGGTGCCATTCTGCATCCTGAGGTCATCGTCTGGATCGTCATTGCAAATTCCTTGAAAGCACATACAGCTTTTAGATGGCAAAAACCTTCATTATCACCAACTCAATTGGCTTTAATACTTGGTTTTAAACAAATTGATTTGAATGAAATTATAAGCATCTGAATTGGTTATCCCTTTAATTTGGCATTGATAGAAATTTCAAAATTATCTTTTTTATTAAATATATATATATAAAGTGAATATGAAGGAAATCTTGTATATGAATATTTTGCTGCTACAATATTCAAACTAAAATGAAATTAAATACTTTCTAGAACAGCAGATGTTCTATGAATAATTCCAGCCTTCCATTCTACAAGGAAAATTTGGTGTAAACGTAGTAAAGTTTTTTTAACAGTTGTTTCTATTCCATTATGTAGTTTTTGACATAACTCCAGGAATGGGTCATTATAATGATTACTGCTAACTATTGACTTGACTGGATGTAGAATTATCTAGGAATCAATCTATGGACAGACCTTTGAAAGATTTTGTAGTCTTTGTGCATGTCTGTGAGGAAATAATGTGAGCTAGGTTTATTGAAGTAGGAAGATCCACACTAAAAGTGGGTGGCACCATTCTCAGGTCTTGGGTCCTAAACTTAATAGAAAGAACAAGCAAAGATAAACACAAACATTCATTGCTCTCTGCTTCCTGATTGTGAGTATGACACAACTCATTGCTTCATGCTTCTGCTGTCCTGATTTCCCTGCCATGGGATATTAAATTTTTCAACTGTGAATCAGAATAAATATTTCCCCTTAAATTAATTTTGTCAGGATATTTTATAACAGCAATGAGGAAAGAAACTAATTGGCATAATCCAGGCAAATTATAAATTACAGATCATAAACAATCCAGACAAAATCAGGCAGCTGATGTCAATCGCCTGAGGAACAAAGATTTACTCGATAGTAGGATATCACTGTCAGTGTTTACACTAGGATGGGTGGTGAGAGATACTATTTCTTCAAAGTATTCAGACTTGCTGGCATGCTCTAGCCTTGAGCTTCTGCGAGGAAGGCCAGATAAATAAGTTTACTCTTCATCAGTGGAGTGTAGAGCCAAAAACATAATAGAGAAATGTCCCCAAGGCCCTGATCAAACCTTGCCTAAATCCCACCTTAATTTAAACTGTTCTTTTTCTTAATTCTCGGGACTTTATTCCATAAAACATGTAAATTAAACATTTTTTAAGCATCAAATTATAATCCCAAGACAGGAATATCATCAAGAGTAAAGGCTGTCAGATTCTCTAGATAACTTCATACATCAAAGTAGTCTCAGTTCTTTACATTTAAACTTTTATAATGAGAAGTAATAGAAAAACTATGTGTTAGTTTTAAATTTATTTTCAAAAACTATTTTCATTCTAACCACCATGCAAGGGTTCGCAATACTATGAAGAATTTGATGCCAATAATGGCAGTGGGACCAGGATGAACTGGCTATTTGGAGTCCATTTCCTATGGACGAATACCGTGCTCCATTGTGATAATAGGGGCTTGGTCCTGCCTCAACTTGATATGCCAGACTTTGTTGACTCCGCGTGGGAGGTTTGGCCCTTTCTGAGAAGTGGATATGGGGTTGGGTGAGGAGAAGGTAGAAAGGAGCAGGAGAAGGGGGGAGGGGAACTGAGGTTGATATGTAAAATGAAAAAAAAAGACTTTTAAATAAAAAATTTTAAAAATAAAAAAAATATAATAATGGCTTTCCATCTAGAATCCTCTGAGTTTGGGCCTCACTCTTTTTGACTAGCTTCTTCAGCTAGCACTCAGACTAGCAGTCTTGAGGAAACACAGGCATCCATTTTAATTAACCATATATCTACCACAGTAATTATGTACTTAGGCAATGACCTGTGACTAGCACAAATATAACCCTACTCTCTGCCCTACACTGTTTGTTTAGAATCTAGTTAGCCAAAGGACTGGCATCACAAGAGCAAGATATCATGAAAATCAGATTTAAAAAAACCATACTACATAGAAGAGATCCATCCTAGGAATGATTATGAATTTACAAAGTTGGGTTTATTACTCAATAACTAATGAATTATTATTTACATTCAATAATAACTATTTTGAGAAAGGTAATCTTAAATCATCGCAGAAGTTTGTTCTATGTTTAACATATTCTTGGTAGTTGGAGAAATATGTAAACCATATTTAACAAAATATTAATGTATATGCAGTTCAAAAAAATGTAATATTGTGTTTAGATCATATTGTGAAGGGCCCTTATACTGTACTTTCTAAGAGACAACAGATGTAGTAGTTTCAAACTTTTTTTATATGGCTGCAGACATGTCCAGCTTGACTTATAATTTCGTGTGTGTGTGTGTGTGTGTGTTAAATATTATAAAATTAAGCCTAGGCATAATGGTAAACATGAAGCATACATTTTATGATAAAACTGGCATGAATATTCAGAACACTAAACTCTTTCAAATGGCTTAGGTTTTTCCCGTTTTCAGACATTAAAATGTAAGAAAGAAACAAATATATAAAAGCCTTTAATTTTTATACATCGTGTTTTAAACACATAAATTAAGATAACTCTGGGACCAATATATTAGTGCAGGCTAAAATTCAGTGACTTAAAATATACCTAACATATTATGAATGTTCTGTAAAGATGACCAATACATAGTGTAGGAAGATATAACAAATGTGCATTTAAATAGAATATCTAAACTTGAAAATACTTTTCCTTACTTCATTAGCCTTTATTGAAAGTCATTGATTCCTAAAGTACTCTCGTGTAGAACTAAGCATGACCATCAGTCACATCTCAGTCTGCAAAGTGGGTCATTGGTGTCCAAAACAATGTATGTAAGAAGGAAAACACATAAGAAAACAAGAGATCTCAACATCGAAACTCACCACAGAGTCCTTCTGTATAGGACGACAAGTTAAACTGGGGTCCGAAGTGAATGTCTATGATTCCTGTAAGGTGAGCCCACTTTATGACTAACCCAGCAGGAGTAGTAATCACATACATTGTGCCAGAATCTTCTATGAACAGTTCTTGACTTGAAAAGGGCAAAGGCACGACAATAGAATCCACATCTACCTAGAATAACATATATATATAGCCCTTAGGAGAAGATTTCTTAAAATATAGAAAATAAAATTAGCCTTTTGCATCGTGTAGGATTTTTAGTGTATGAAATTTTACTTCTCTGCCACCCCACACCTTTTGATAACTTTTAGTCTTCTTGTTGACCCTTTGCTATGCCTTGATATATTCAACATTCTCTCTTTGTATTTTACTTTTTCTGAAAAGTAAATTTGTTTCACATATTTTTTTTAGCCTGATTCCCTCAACATGATGACCAGACCATTATTTACTAGGATTAATTTAAGACAGAGATACTTTTTCTTCTAACCCAAGATTCAAGAGTAATGATGTTCAGAAAAAATATCTTTCAAACTTAATAAAGATTAAGTATCTCAGTGATTCTACTTCCTTGGTTTTGTTGAGATTCTGGACTTAATTATCAGCATGTCTACTTGATACTTTTAAAGCAGACAGCCCAAGGAGATTATACTTTAAAAAAAATAACAGTGATTTGAGGTCATTACCATGATATAGAACCATGATTTATAAGTAACAGCAATTTTGGTAGTTAACTCTCTCACCAATTTTCTGGGTCTCCATCTTTGGACCCTAATCCTGTTGCCTCTTCTACTCCCTGCTTTCTTCCCACTCTTTAAGACATCAGGATTCATCTCCTCCATATAGGCCTGTTTGACCCCCTCTGTGAGTATATCACTTTCTTTCTGTATTTCTCTGATATATCGCTCATAATTTTAATCCCTATACTTCCTATGTTTCAATCACCAGACAAGAATACAAAAGCCACACAACTGCAGATTAATTAATATTAGTATCAGTGCTGTATTGTCTCAGATAATACTGTTAACAGCTGGATATTAATTTAACAAATGACCAGCAGTTGTCCAGGAATATGTTCAAATGAGGAAAATAATAATAATCCCCTCTATCCAAATGCTCAAAATAATAGCAGTTACTATATTTGAGGCTATTTACCATATACTCTATCAACTTCTATCGAAATAAAAAATGCAAGCGCTATCATCTAAAAATTACCATACTTGCATATTTTAAGTTTTACTTAGTTAAACTCTTTTACTATCTTATTTTATGTTCATTTTAATATTAATTACATCATAGAATCGAGGGAATTGTGGCAATGCAGTAATTATGTCTAGAAAGCAAGATAGTAGGCCATCCATGTAAAGCAAAACCTTTGTACATTTTTCTTTATTCTTTAGATTGAACCAGTTAGAGCTAAATGATGTATTCATCTGACAAGTCAGTTTGTTTAAGCTAATTTTTATTGATTTTTGTTGAGCTCTACATTTTTCTCTGCTCCCTTCCTGGCCTCTTCCCTCCCCTTCAACCCTCTCCCAAGGTCCCCATACTTCAATTATTCAGGACAATTCAATTTTACATGCTAAACAGATTCCTCAGATTAGAGCTTTTCCGATAAAATCGCTCAACTCCTTTCAAGCACTTCATCACTTTGGTTTATGTTATTAGGATAAATTTGAATATGTTATTTTTATTTTTAAGTTAGTACTTATTCATTAAAATAGAGTGGTGTCAACACTCCCGAACAAGCCATCAGTCTGCCATTCTCCTGGGGCTCTTCCCTGGCAAGTTATTGCTACTGCTGTTTTCTACAGTGTGTTCCTTCCTCTCCACATCCTTTCCTTCACCTGACGTGAAACATGAATCTTAGTTCTGGAAGTAGAAGTTTGGTGACTCACACACCATCTGAGAGTGTGCGGCAGGTGTAATGTGACCCTCCATTAGTCTCGTGGAGAATAACCATTTGAAATGCCTTCACATAGATGGAGGGAAAATACCAAACTAAGAAACACATCCTTTAAAAAAAAAAACAAAAAAAACAAAGAAAAGAAAAAGAAAAACAACAACAAAAAAAAAACCCACAGCCTTTAACTTTCCATGACAAAAATACTTATTCACAAGAGCAATAAAAAATACACTCATGTCTAATTCCTCCTTTTATGAAAACGATTGTTTTGCATAATTTCCTACTCTAATCCCATATGAGAACATATCTTAATTGCTTGCTCTTACCTTTCTTGCAGCTCTATTAATAAGTATTTGGTGTGTAGATGTTGTCACATTTAGCTTCTTAAAACAAAGCCCTGAGATCCTTCCAAAAGAAGCCTTTATTTGAAAACAAATTAAAATTTTATGATGTTAAGTAGTTTTAGTGACAAGCAAAAGGAGCCTGCAAAATTATTCACAGATACTCACTGGTTTTTTAAGGGCATTTCCATTCTGGGGGAATAAAGAAAGACACGCATTTAAAATGAATGCATTGATTATCCTTCCAACCCATCAGAGTAATATTATAAATCTATGACAAATACTTTTCCATGAAAACTTCCTTTGTTTCAATACTAAAAGATCAGTCTTGTTTAGTATTTTATCACTGTGGATGCCAGGATGTTACAGTGAGCTACAGATTTAGGAAGAAATGACCCCAAGATGGCTGATAACCTACCTGATTCATGGAACATTTTTCAATGTGAACAACGACAATTTCCCCAGGGATTCTTACTAGGATGTAAGAAGCCTTGCTGGACAGGGCAGCACTGTTTCCATCAAATGTGATGATGCTCAGCTCTGACAACATTGAGCACCGACCTAGACCAAAACCGTGCAGAGTGAAAGTTCTTAAACTACTACTTGAATTTTAGAACTAATTTCTCTCATAAAAATATACCTTCTTCCCAACTCCCCTGCTACTCTCATGTTGTGTTTTGGTGTGTGTGTGTGTATGTGTATGTGTGTGTGTGTCCCCCACTGCCTTAACTGGGATTTGTTGTGTGATCATGGATGGGGATTATTTCCATGGGTGGGGACAATGTACAAGTGGCCACCTTACTGGGAAATATAACTTCCTCTTCTTGTAGCTTAAATCTCTGTGTGGAGAGGAAGATAAGAGAGGATAATGAGGGAGGCTTTTAACCAAAGAACATATAAATATATATAAAATTGTTTAAAAATACATTTTTTCCGAAGTTTATTAAATTATAAAAGTTTCCATTTCCGCCCCCCTCCCAACACCCTCCCACTCCCCCTACTCCCTCTCCTACTCCCTCTCCATCCCAAAGAGCAGTCAGGGTTTCCTGCCCTGTGGGTAGTTCAAGTTCCTCCCCCCTCCCTCCAGGTCCAGGAAGGTGAGTATCCAAACAGACTGGATCCCAAAAAATCCAGTATATGACAAGAGTCCCAGAACCTTCATCTGGCGATGGACGGAGATAGAGACAGAGACCCACATTGGAACACTGGACTTAACTCCCTAGGTCCAAACGAGAAGCAGAAGGAAAGAGAACGTGAGCAAAGAAGGCATGACCAGAGAGAACCTTTATCCGACGATGGATGGCGATACAGACGGAGACCCACATTGGAACACTGGACTGAGCCCCCCAAGGTCCAAATGAGGAGCAGAAGGAGGAAGAACATGAAAAAAGAAAACAGGACCGCGAGGGGTGCGATCACCCACTGATACAAGGGGACTGATTTAATGAGAGTTCACCAAGGCCAGTTGGACTGGGACTGAACGAGCACGTGATCCAACCAGATTCTCTGAATGTGGCTGGCCCGAAGTCTTTCTGAAAAGCCATTGACAATGACACTGGGACTTGTTTCCTCTGCATATACTGGATTTTTTAAAAATACATTTTTAAACACAAATTACCCAGACCTACTCCAGGGACCAGAAAATCTAGAGATGGGCTCGAATACTCTGCCATAACAAGTTCTCGAGATGCTAATACCTGCTATTGGCATGAAAGCAGGATCACAGTCAATTACAAGATCCATTCTGTTCATACAAGGCTCTGCCTTGTTTCCAAAATGCCTTCAAGCTTTCTGAATCTGTTTTAATGCACTCAGTTCTAAATGGGGAAACATTTTTTACAAGCCTCATTAAAATATACTTGAGGTATAAAGTGAAAAGGTGTGTGTGTGTGTGTGTTTGTGTATGTGAGTGTATGTATTGACATGATAATTTAAAAACAAACAACAAAACACAAAACAAAACAAAAAACCTCAACACTGTTCTCTGATTCAGAGATACTGTTCACCGTATGAGAAATGCAAACTCACAGGGACACTCCCACTCAGGACAGCATATATCACTGTTGACTTGAACAGGCCATCCCCGGAACCCGCAATCAGGCATTTCCAAGTCCTTTGGGCAGTTCAGCGACCAGTTGTAAAAGGTCCATTCCATATTAAGGCAGATGTACTGGCTACAGTTGTAAACAGGATCAAACTGTTGAGGCTGATAACAGGAGAGCAAAACCAGGTAAGTTCTCAAGTTCAACTAATGCTTTCATTGGAGTTTAAATTTCACATTCACATTGTTCTTATAAGTATACAGGCAATCAGCCAAAACCTTTTGCAAGATAATTCAGAATTCGCTCTAATTTTTGTTATCTGACCATCTCTGTAATAATCGATATATACTTAAGATTTACATTAACACTGACTTGAGATCAGTTGTATCAGACGTTTAAGCAAGAGTTTTTTTCTTTTTTCAAACAAACACCCAAACTAGAATAGGACAAATTATCAAGGAAATATTCTTAAGTTCTTACTTAACTATGACTTTGATTTTGTTATTGCCATTAGAAATCAATAAGAATTATCTGAATTAGTTTAAAAAAGCACAATTGTGGATGATAGAGACGCAACAATCAGTAAAGTGCTTGATTTTCAAGCATGAAACTTGACTTCAGGCTCTAGAACTCCTGCTAAAAAGCCTGGCATGGAGGAGGTGCACACTTGTAAACTCAGAGCTGCAAAGACAGAGACAGTAGATGCCTGGACTCATTGTTCAACCAGAACATCTTACTCACAAGAGCCAGGCCTTTGAGAAACTCTGTCAAAAAAAATAAGGTGGATGAGTCCTGAGAACCAACACCTAAAGTTGTCCTCTGGCTTTAACATGGCACACATATGTGTGAATGCACACCCAAACATGACACACACGCATACAATGTAATTACAGTTACAAACATGCAGCGTATATCCTGCCTCTCTTTTAGCAATTAACTGGATGCTGTGCCAAAGGGAATTAGTGTTTGTCCAGCGATACACAGATTAGTACAAGTGCTATTGAAAACAATGAGCAGCTGAAATAGACACACAGCCATACCTCACATTCCAAACCTGTAGTTGGAGTCACATCTGATGGAGTAACCATGTCTGCATCTACAAGAAATAAAAACATGTCCCTGTGAGTAGGATAGGAGAGACCATGAAAGGATGCTAAATGTGGTTTTCAAATGTGCTTAGAAGTTTTACGTTGTCTATTTCATTCATTCCTTCCAGGTATCAAGCAAACTGGATGAAATAAAAATAACTTGGTAATTTTGCAGAGGTAGAAACGAAGCCCTTGACAAATCTGGTAAATAGTATGGGCAAATTCTAACTCGGGATTCCTGACTCTAGAATACTACCACTTCGTGATGTTTTTATCAACAATCTCACTGATTAGATGATGTAGCATCACTATCTGAACAGATAAAAATATCAAGGGAATCACCAAATACCCCTCAGGAGCTACAAAACCCCATTGGGTGTCAACGTTAAATTGTGAATCTAGTCCCTTTCACTTGTCAACCTCCAGCTTGGTCTCTTTTCAGGCAGAACAGATGATGCTCTGTGGGACCATGTGGCAACCCAGTGTGAGTGTGATGGAGAGACCGACACACAGGCTCAACAGGCTTGTCTGCAAAACACATTCTAACACTTTCTATCAGTACTGACATCGTGCCTAAAATACTCGGTATGAATAACAACAGGACAGCCAAGGCAAGTGGCTGGAGTCTTTGCTAGCTTTAACTGTAATTTATCATTCACAGGATTTAAAAATACTACACAGTGGTTCCCATTGCTGTTACAAATTATCACAAATTTTAGAAGCTTAAAATATCACCACTTTATCATATTGCAGCTTTAGAAATGAGATTCCCAAGACCAATGTGTTGGTATAGCTTTCTTCTGTAAGTTCTAGGGAAGAGGGTTTCCTTGGCCCTTCCAGATTGCCTGGAGTCCTTGGCTCATGTTTCCTTCTTTAAAACAGCCTCTCTCTCTCTCTCTCTCTCTCTCTCTCTCTCTCTCTCTCTCTCTCTCTCTCCCCTCTCTCTCTCTCTCTCCTCTCTCTCTCTCTCTCTCTCTCTCTCTCTCTCTCTCTCTCTCTCTCCCTCCCTCTCTCTCTTCCCCCTCGCTACTGTGTCTGCTGCATCATTTTCCTGACCTGGTGACTACATTGGACCTATGTGGATAATTCAGGCCAAGACTCCCAGATTGAAGTCCAGTCACAAATAAGTCAACCACTTCCCATTAGTTAAGTCTATTTGCCATGAAATGCCACACAAAGACCAATAAGAGTTGAAGACATACACATTTTTGAAGAGTCATTTTCAGTGTATCATAATCTACAAGATAACTCTTACACAATGTTAGTGAATTCTGCAGTTAAACTTATCACGTGTCCTATTTTATAGTATCTAACTTGAGGAACAGTTAAAATGTATTTTAAAAATCCCACTCGTTGATCAAATGAACAATGTTCATGTTATCATGTCTAGATGTTGACTCATGCAGAGAGTGAGGCTTAATAAAGACTTAAATGTCATTTTCCAAGTAAAATGATATCAATTTCTCATTTAGTCCCAGCACAAAATCAGAAAGGAAACAAGTAACTGGGTGTTAGTATGTTCTTCAATGCAGAGGACACATTGTTTCCAGGTCAATGCTGCTTCAATGATGTTAAATTTATCACTGAGTGACCAGCAGTGTCTGACTATAGAATTGTGCTGGCTGAGATCTCAGGACAAACACAGGACATTTAAAATTGAGATGTGTGACTCTCCATATTCCCTGGGTCTTTGGGGACATGATTTTTGGCTATTCCAGAACATTTGTATTTTCAAATGCTTCGGGATCACTTTGTAGATTGCTGAAGAGTCAAATATCAAGTGCTGCTGCCTCAAAAATAGAAACTCTTCTAATCCATGAATGCAGGATTCCATCCCATGTGTTTTCTTCTACCTAATTTTTTATATAATGTTTTGTTTATTACAATGCAACCACATTTCAGATTATTTTACTAAACGTATTCTCAAGTATTTCATATCATTTGTGAATGTTGGTTTAAAAAGGATTTCACAGGCTGTCCAGGAATTCACCATGTAGACCAGTTCAACCTTGAATTTATAGAGATCTTCCCTCCTCTGACTCCCTAGTGTTAGGATTAAATACATGCACCGCCATTCCAAGCATATTTTATTTATTTTTGATGGCACTATAAATGAAGCAATTTTCTTTATTTTTTTCAGACGTTGAACTGCTTGTGTAGCAAAAGACAATTGATTTTCATATTAATCTTATATTCTTTAAGCTTGATGCACTCATTTATTACTTAATGGGCACCTTAGGAAAATAAATATATATGTACATATATATGCTATATACAACTATAAATCATCTTTCTATTGTAGTCTATGAAGTATAATACATATGTACTACATATGAATCATTACTTAAACATTTGAGATATATGTTGAATATTGATTTGTGGGATCAAAGTAAACAGCAGTATGTAGAATTTACAGTCTATGTACTGATGACAGAATATTCAGTCTTATTTCATAGACTTATTCATTCACAGTTTCAGTGAAGTAGTAAAAGGGTCTCTGGCCTTCCCAACATAAATGTTTACAATGACAGATCAATTCCTCATCTCCACAAGAAGGAAGTAGATGCCAAGAACTTGCCCCAGTGACTGGCACTTAATAAACACACAATAAATGCAGTAAATGTTGGCTCATAAGAGTGGTGACCATGGTGAGTATGGTAATGAAGCACAAACTTGGGAAATATCACAGACTACTTAAAATCCTTTAGTGATTGCCTTCAGAAAAAAAAATCCTTCTTGTCATGGATCTTTTACCTTAGATCTTTTATTCAGTCTCTTGGCTCAATTCCGAATATACAAAATACATTTGCTTGCATGATGTGTTCCGTTGTTGTTGTTGTTGTTGTTGTTGTTTTGGTTTGTCAAGACAGAATTTCTCTATGTAGCTTTCGAGCCTGTCCTGGAACTCGTCCTGTAGACCAGGCTGGCCTCAGACTCACAGAGATCCGCCTGCCTCTGCCTCCCGAGTGTTGGGATTAAAGGTGTGCGCCACCACCCGGATTACAGGTTCCCTCTAAACCTTCACACATGTTGGGCTTTCAAGCTTTAATCTTTTAATTTTTGCTTCTTCTAGACACTCACCTCCTGTCTACTGATAACTCTACAGATGGTTTTTTGAGGCTTTACCTCCAAAATAATAAGCATGCCCTTCTGTAAGTTGTTCCTGTGTGCCAGCATTGTAATAAAGTCATCCTTCAGTATTCTTGAGGGATCAAGATCCACAAATACCATGACCTGTGGGTGATCAAGTCCCTAACACTAGTTAGTGTCGTATTTGCATATAACCTATGTGTCTTTCTGTATACTTACATCACCTTTTGTCTTAAATTACTTATGTCTAGTATAATGTAAAAGCTACACGAACAAGAATTTAGCTTATGTTTTAGGAACATTTTATATGTTTGTATTTTATATGTTATTATGTAAGAGGAACATTTTATATGTCATTTACCCACAGGAATATTTTTCCAAATACTTTTGATCCATGCTTGGTTGGAAGCTATACACATGGAGTGCTCTTTGTTTTGCAATACTTCGTCAACAATTGTTTATATTAAGATAGAATTTATGAGCTCTTAAACATCCCCACCCTATCCAAGTGCCCAGAGAGAACCAGGCACATTATTCAACTGAGGCTAACTAAATGTAACTAAACTTTTGTAAATCACAACCCCTGGAGGAGTATATTAATCTCGGCAAGACTCTATGAGTGGATTTATGAAATCATTTCATCGAGCAAGTTTCACAGTGAGGGAGGTATGTGAGGGTAGGAGCCCCAAATGATTCCTCAGAAGTTTGGTCAGAATCCAAAATATCAAGGAAAGTTTCGGAGGAAACCTGGATTATATACATCTTCTGAAAGCCAACTTCCACTACCATGAATTTGAAAGAAGCCTTAGTAGCCTACACGATCTGAAATGGAGAAGGAGGTGGACCAGTTGCAGAATCCTCACACAGCCCCTTAATAAAAACAAAAGTCACCTTTGGGGTTTTTGTCAATTTGGTAGTCCATGTAGTAGCAGCTGGGATAAAGGGGCCCAGGCTTGTATTGCTGAATGCTAAATTTGCTGTTTAAAATTGTAGCTCTCCCCAAATCCCTGGGTATGGCTCCTTACCTGGTGGCACTAATGCAGGTTCTGTGGGAATCAGTGGTATGCCTGCAAAGAAACAGAGGTGCCCTGCCTTAATCTGTAGTTACATAAAAGAAGACTCACCTAACACATACAGCTCTTTGCCTTAAAGGGGAATATTTAAGGAAAGAAATCACAAAAAAGGAAAACCCAGGATAGCCAAAACAATCCTGATACAATAAAAGAATTTCTAGAGTCATCACAGTTCCTGACTTCAAACTCTACTACAGAGCTACTGTACTGAAAACAGCCTGGTATTGGCATAAGAACAGACAGGAGGACCAAAGGAACCGAATAGAAGACCCAGATACCAATCCACACACCTATGAACACCTGATTTTTGACAAAGAATCAAAAAATATTAAATGGAAAAAAAGAAAACGTATTTAACAAATGGTGCTGGCATAACTGGATATCAACATGTAGAAGAATGAAAATAGACCAATATCTATTACCATACACAAAACTCAAGTCCAAATAGATCAAAGACATTAACATAAAGCTAGTCAGACTGAACCTTATAGAAGAGAAAGTGGGAAGTACACTTGAGCACATTGGCACAGGATACCACTTCCTAAATATAACCCCAGCAGCACAGACACTGAGAGAAACAATTAATAAATGGGACCTCCTGAAACTGAAAAGCTTTTGTAAAGAAAAGAACACAGTCATCAAGACAAAATAATAGCCTACAGAATGAGAAAAGATCTTCACTAACCCCACATCAGACAGATCTGATCTCCAAAATATACAAAAAACTCAAGAAATTGGTCATCAAAAGTATAAATAATCCAATAAAAAATGGAGTACAGACTTAAACAGAGAACTCTCCACAGAGGAATCTAAAATGGCTGAAAGACTCTTAAGAAAATGTTCAACATCCTTAGTCATCAGAGAAATACAAATCAAAACAACTTTGAGATTTCATCTTATACCTGTAAGAATGGCCAAGATCAAAAACACTGATGACAACTTATGCTGGAGAGGCTGTGGGGAAAAGGGAACACTTCTGCATTGCTGGTGGGAATGCAAGCTGGTACAGCCTTTTTGGATGTCAGTGTGGTGATCTCTCAGAAAATTAGGAAACAACCTTCCTCAAGACCCAGTAATTCAACTTTCGGGTATATATCCAAAGGATGCTCAATTGTGTCACAAGGACACGTACTCAACTATGTTCATAGCAGCATTGTTTGCCATAGCTAGACCCTGGAAACAACCTAAATGCCCTTTCACTGAAGAATGGATAAGGAAAATGTGGTATATTTACACAATGTAGTACTACACAGCAGAAAAAAGTAATGATAGCTTGAATTTTGCAGGCAAATAGATGGAGCTTGAAAACACCATTTTGAGTGAGGTAACCCAGACACAGAAAGCCAAATATCACATGTACTCACTCATAGAGGTGGATTTTAAACATAAAGCAAAGAAAACCAGCCTACAAATCACAATCCCAGAGAACTTAGACAACAATGGGAACACTAAGAGAGAGATATAAATATCTAATCTACATGGGAAGTAGAAAAAAGAAAAACAAGATCTCCTGAGTAAATTGGGAGCATGGGGACCTTGGGGGAGTGTTGAAGGGGAGGGGAGAAGCAGAGAGGGGTGCAGAGAAATATAGATGTAGAGTTCAATAAAAATCAAAAGTCTCACAGTCTTTAAAAAAAGAAATCACAAGAAAGAGATATGAGAAGCAACATGGATATGTTTAAGAAAATAATTGGGCTGGGGGGAGTGAGGAGGACCTTGGACTTCCCATAGGATAGGGAACCCTGACTGCTCTTTGGCCTGGAGAAGGAGGGAGAGGAGGAGTGGGGAGGGGAGAGGAGGGAAGTGGGAGAAGGGGAGGAGGTGGAAATTTTTAATAATAAATAAATAAATAAATTTTTACAAAAAGAAAACAATTGGGAAGTTATAAAACAGCCCAATGATGAGGGGATTGAAATAAGTTACTTTCTTTCTCAAACTTCTGACTGTAACTATTTTCCTCAGAAAAAAATTATCTGTGCTTTTCATTTTAAACAGTAAATTAAGCACGGTCCACACTTACAGTCTTCTGGATAAACACATTTAAGTGTCACCTCGTCCAGGATCATATGCTTGGGGCAGTGCGGCAAACATCCTTCAACCCTTTAAGTGAAAAAATAAATGAAATAAAGTGTAAATAGAAAAATCCGCATTATATATTTGCAACTGAGGTTTAGTATGTTTAAAAAATCTTCATCATCAGACACTTGGGAGAACTTTACTTCTTTATTTTTAAGTGTGTGTGTGTGTGTATGTGTGCATGTGTGCATGTGTGTGAATGTGTGTGTGTGTGAGAGAGAGAGAGAGAGAGAGAGAAAGAAAGAGAGAGAGAGAGAGAGAGAGAGAGAGAATGTATACCATGTGTGTGCAGATGCTTACGGAGATCAGAAGAGGGTATTAGATACCCTGGAAACAGTTGTGAGATACCCACTGTGAATAACAGGAACCCAACTCAGACTGTATCTAAAATCTACAGGGACACCTAATCATGGAGTCATCTCTCTGACCTCTACTCTCACTTCTATATTCCAAATATCTGAGCAGATTGCTATGAAGTTTGACTAGTATTGTCCTGAAGAGGTTTATAGGACAGACAACGTCAACGGTGGCTTTAGCTGCCTATTATTCAGCCCTAACCTCCCTGAAAGGAGAATTGAGATCTCACACAGAAAGAAATGGAGTGGTTCACAGAAGAGGGGTTTTTTTTTCATATAGACAAGGAGGAATAACGGTGAAGGTGCAAGTTCTCGGGGGAATTAATATTTGTACCCAAATTCCTTCAGTGATATAGGTGAGAGTGTATCTAATTATGAGTTGGAGAAAGACCCGTTTTAAGACCCAAGAAGTATGTGACTTGAATAAGAAACCCCATTACTTATAGGAGTCACAGAAGTAAAGGGACAGTCTCAAAATTTTCAAGACACCATGGGCTTAGGCACTGTGTGCACAAACCTAAAGATGGCATGTAGGTCACTTCTCTTCCTAGGAATAAGACCAAAGCCTGACGGAAATCATATTTTCCTGTCATCCAGATGAAGCTCAGAGCCCAATGTTTCCTTATTGGAAGGAACTATAATCTACCCTGTACAAGCCAAGTCTAATTATTAGATTCACACACGCCAGACAGAATTACTGCAAATCCTCATAGGAAAGGGCCTAATTATCTGCCTCTCAAATGCACTAGCAGGCTGTAATAATACTTTTAATAATTTCTAAACACTTCCAGTTGTTTCGGGCGTTAATAGGTTGGACAAAGACGTGCAGCTTTCCATTCAGGGTGAACGTGAGCTAACCTGACATGAAGACGGGTCAGCAGCGGCAGAGGGCAGTGTTTGTGAGGCAAAGGCTTTCTCCTACCGAACAGGCTTAAGTAGGACCAGTCAGCAACGTCTTAGATTCCACATGTACAAATGCATCTTTTAAAATACAAACAGCTTATACATGCGCAGCTGCTTGTATCACACAATGGGCTGGAATAATGGAGCTTTAATAGGCAATATGATCCCATTTGAAGCTTTATCAGACAGCTGAAGAGAAATTAAAGTTACAGGAAAATTGACAAGCTAAAGCCAGTGGATTATGATTAAATGAAGTCATCCTTATTTTTTGATTTGACTCAGTTATTTTGCAATTGTTTTGTAGAGGACAAGATCCATACCTATCCTCCTAAGCCATTTTCCAAAAGCCATTATTTTATCCCTTACCAGTAACTCCCTAGTCACATATAACAGACTTCTCTTTGCTTTGGCATACAGCTAATATTATGACCAGCTTCTAACAAATAGATGGAATACCTCATTGTAAAGGAATTACTGTAAAACATACATAATAAGAGGAATTTATATTTGTGCCCCACAATACACTGCTTGACACGTTTTCTCACAAACAGCTTTGATCTTTAACAGTTGCTTGGTACCAGAAACTCAAGTAATCTGAGACAAGAATGAATGATGATTCATTTGGGCACTTCAAAAAGGGATGCAGGGGCATAGGAAAACCCAGCTTAGTGCATAGGCCCCTTTGGGCCAAGGGCACAATCAAGAGTTGGTACAGACTCTTCAGCATAGGGGACAGGACAGGAAGGGATATGCACAAATGAGAAAGAGTTTGGCAGGTAAAAGCTTCCCTGCATCTTCTAGTCTCCCCCTCCATCTTCCCCATAAAGGGAAGTCCCTCAAAGCAGCACACTGGAGGCATTGAGGGAGCTGGCATCAGTCACCTCAGACACTGGTTGTGCTACAAAAGGAATAAGGACACCTAAATGCCACTTCCTGTTACAGCTGGCTTTTCTCCTAGTGACAAACACATGTGTCTTCTGTTCACTTCCTCCCCCGGGGTCATCATTACCATGTGGTCATGCAGCTGCCTGGTCCCCACAGAAGGGGCATGATGAGATGCACTTGTGACTATGAGAGATCCAAAAGGTAATCGCCCTTCTTTCTTTACACACACATGCACACACACACACACACACACACACACACACACACACACACACAAGCATGCATACAGGTTTCAATTTAAAGATAACTATCAGAAGTCCTTTATTCCTCTCATCTCACAACCCTTGGTAGACAGGGCACAGTGGATCAGACCCTCTCTCTTCAAACTGTGTGCCTTAGGGAGAGCTGAGTGGCTTCTCTGGGCCTCAGCTAGTCTGCTCTAAAAAGGAGGGGGGATGGGATTAGCCATATTACAACCCTGAAGAATGACACCTGAATGTTCTGCTGATTTTGGTCCCTTCTCTAGCTCTTGCCAGACTGTTGAGCCTGCTTATGTGTCTGTCTCCTTTGTGAAGACTGAGAATTCCTGACCTGGCTTAGGTCTTACTTGAAAAGTCGCATGCCTGGGGCATTTCGTAGTACTGATAATAATATTGTGCAAAGCACTCCTAGGTCTTTAGTATAAAATGACCTCAAAATATTCCCTTCTACTATGGGTCCATTTCCCCTTTCTTATGAAAGATGCTTACACTCCCTGTTTCCATTTTGCCTCTTTTTTATGTCCAGGGTACTAGACCCTATGAAGAATTTTCAGTTATAAGAAATTGAATATCATAGAAGTAAATTTCTCTTCTTAATATTTTCCTTATCTCATCAAAGGGCAATATAGTCTTCCGTGGAGTTAAATGGTTTGAACTTTCCAAGAGTTGTCAGGTTTCACTATTGTGAACTGAAGTTCCTAGAAAAAGCCATACACACGTGTAGTAGCATTTTATTTGTATTTTAATAAATAAAGTTTGCCTAAAGATCAGAGAGTGAAACAGTCCCACTGGTCAGCCTTACAGATGAGGCAGTGGTAACACACACCCTTAATCCCAGTAGCCACACTAGTGGCCATAGAAAAAAGGCAGCACGTGCCTTTAATCCCAGGCCTAGAGAAAAAAAATAAAATGCAAGGAGACAGCTCTCAGGTTCAGTCTCATTCTGAGATTCCTGGAGACAGGACCTCCATTTCAGACTGAGGTCGAGGTAAGAGCCAGTGACTGGCTGCTTTGCTTTTCTGGTATTCAGGCTGAACCCTAATTTCCCTCTCTGAGTTTTTAATTAATCATGTTACATTTGGTACCCAACATTTGGGGTACAAATTATGAAAAAGCCTTTTACCTGAAGCTTTTTTAGCCACCAGCCCAGGTCAGAGCTAGGATTGGAATTCCAGCTCTAGGAATTGAAATCCAAACCTATCCACCTGGGTTCCGGAGAAGCAATCGCTTTCCCAGCTCTCGTCTGCCATGGCTTAGCTTCCATGTAAATATGGAAAATACACAGAGAATCTGGACACTGTTTGTTATTGTGTCATCTTTAAAATGTTTGACTGCTGAGGAAGGAACAAGAGCTGCTAAAAGGCATTTGATTACAAATGCTGCTGGATTTACCCAACCTGTATATTCTGAAAATGACTTGACTTCAAAGTTGAAATAAAGAGGTATGTTACTTTGGAGAAAAAGTTTTGTTTTCCTTTCCACAGAAAGCGGCATTTATTCTGTGTTAAGAAAAATAAGATTTGATCAGGGAAGACCCCTTGAAAACTCTCTTAGGAGTGGATGGCCCAGATGATCCAATGTTTTAGAGCACCTCTCTTGCAGGTTCTTCTTAGTTCTACAACCAGAACAGCTTCAAGACTGCTGGCTGAGATGATCCAGCCTCAAAGAATTTAAAGGTTAATGCACCAATGTTACTTACGGTGGGAGAAAAGCACAGGCTAGGGCTTCAGGATCGCTACACGTTTTAAAACAAGGAGTGGCACAAGGTTCGTATCTCCATTCACACATCCTCCTGTAAGGTACCACTGCCTGGATTTCTGAGCAAAAAAGAGGAAGGAGAGTTAAGTATATTGGCACATACATTTTGAAAACTAATAACTTCTGATAAGAACCAGTGTGGTGTTTGATCTCTCTCTCTCTCTCATCATAATATTCCATCAGATAAGAACATTACAGTTCCCCGAGGACCAAAAGATCTGGGATCTTATGTCGAATGACTAAATGAAGATCTAGCCTCCAAAGAGTAAAATGCCCTCTTATGCCCTCTTATCTCTCACGTTTAGTTAAGTTTTCAGTTATTTCCCCATAATAGTAGTTTAGAATTTTACTCTTTATACAGTAATTTTAATTCTATTTTATACTTGCAGAACTCTGCTGAGGAACATCATTTGTGATCTGAAATGAAAGATGCCTTCTTTATAATAATCTAGCATCTTCCCAGCCTCAATCAGGAAAACAGTAAGACCAAGACACACATCTCAAGACAAAACTCTTGGGAGCGTGTCCCACCACTGTCCTTCCCACAGAACTCAGCATGGTTCTCATACATAGCAAGTCCTGCTTGAATACAAACAGAGCAAATCAGAGGGATTGAAAGATAAACCCTGTAATTCTAGATCGTTTGGTTAAAGACTTTTCTCTTACAAGCTCTGGCTGAGACATCAGTGGCACCCGGAGTGCAAAATCCAGACTGCCATGTTCTGCTACTCCCGCTGCTGAAGCGCATCTTGAGTGTGGAGAGACAAGACATCCATCACCTGCCCTGAGCTGCCCTCCTGAGCAGGGGAGGTGAGGGTCACAGCACTAACTCATGGCTTACAGTGAATATTAAACTTCAAGGGACTCTCGCCACCTACAGGAAAATGATGAAGTTGCTTGTCCCACTCCCTTCTGTCCCATCAGACTAGGTCCAAGGCAACAAGTGCTGAAAGCTATTAGGGAGCCTGTAGCCCTGTTTTGAGTTCCTTGCTAGAGTAACAGCCTCAGCTGCATTTAAACGAAACTTCTCGCCATACTTAGAACCTTTGAACTTGGGGTTTTAGGCTACAGCTTTTACAAAAGCTCAATTTGGGTTTTCTGAAATCCACCCACTAAAGAGGTTTTCAGAAAATCATTCACAGCAGAAAAGGCAGATGATTAGCAATATTGAACTCCTTCAGAGGATTGTTTCAAATGGAGCAGTGTTTGAAGACTTCACACAGAAGTCAAGCTACTGGAGTTTGAAACTCAAGCATGACTTCAGCTGTGCAAAGACATGATTGCTTTCTGACATGTAGGGCTCCTCAGCTGTAGAACGCAAATGGTCTTTCTTGGAAATCACACCAGGTTTTTGCAAAACTAAGAAAACTTTCCAGGGGTTAATGAATGGAGACACTCTTGAATTCAGAAGACAAAGATAAATAATGCTGTCTTCAAGTCTAAGAGTAAGATTAATAGGAAGCTGTGTCGTATGAAAAACATAGCTCCAAAAACTAGACCATTTCATGGGATGTGAGTGGGTTCTGATACAAATGCCCAGTAAGTACTATTAGCAATATTTGGGGAAATAATTATAATGTTAGTTAAGTTACTCTAAGCCCTTTATACCCATGCATTTAATATAGTAGATTAAAATCAGTATTATTTCATCCAGTTAGCTGAGTAGCCTGAAAGGTAGAAGGGTTAGGGTCACATAAAGTGTGCTCATAGAATCAGATTCTCAACATTGGCATCTGACAAGGTCTGCACAGCACACGTGTCTGTACTGGCTCACTGGCGCGCCCAGGAAGCCCACCTTCTATGCTGAAGCTGCTTGACTGCTTGAACTCTTCCGAATCTTCGTATTTTGACACTCTGACACTAGAATCCGAGAAAACGATAAAGAAGCCTTTCTTGCTGTATAATTCGAATGTACTGGCACCAGGAATCCAGAGGCCTTGGTGGTGGAAAAATGTTGCCCTCTGATGAAATGCCGAGTTTGCCTGCCACATCAACAAGCTAAGAGTGTCGTTGTCATGAACATAGAGAAAGTAGTTTGGCCTTTCAGCAGATTCAATGGAAACCAGAGCCAACGCTGTAAAACAGAGAGTCTTGATGACAAAGAGTCTCGGGGGAAGGGAGAACATTTGCAAGGTTGAAAAGAGTCAAACACATCCCCTCCCATAATTAATGTCCATCTCAGGCACATCAGACATGAAGTATGAGGTTTCAAAGAGAAAAGGCAAGGCTTTCCTTGTAGTGAATAACAATGAACCAACCTTCCCAAACTCAATCTCTGACAATGCCTTTGGAGGGAAAATGCAAAAATAATATGAATCTATCTTTCCAAGCTGTAATAATTTCACAGAGAAATCCTGCAAACCACTAACCTGTGTGATGGAAAAAAGAGAACAAAAATATACTAATCTAAGAGTTTAACCAACTGTGCTTTGATATCGATGGGATCTTAAAGGAAAACTGGGCCTTATAAGGGCTCTTGCTACACTGAGAAAATGCTATTTACTCAATAGAATAGTACCATTCTCCAAAGATGACAAAATGGCTAATGAGTCATCAAGCTTTCCAAAGCATTGGGTAAGTATGATTGCATTTCATCAACTTTCTCTGAACTTGCCGCTTATATATGTAAGACTCCTGCTATAAACACTTTTTATTAAGATAGTGAGTTTATTTTTTAAGAAAATTGTCTCTTTCAAAAACGGGTGTCACTATAAATTCAAAAAAAATCTATCAAATACAATGTTACCAAAGACATGCATTTTTGTCCTCAAAACATGAAAATATCAAAACTGAGAAATAAAGATATAAAATAAAATAAAATAAATTTTTATACAAGGAAAAACAGTTGCAACTAACGTAAATTAAAACCAGAGTGATAGATGCTTGAGGTACACAGGTAGGTCATTTCACAGGAAAGAAGGTATCATTCAAACAGGAAATCTGGAAGCACGTTCTCAGAAAAGTAAGCATTTTATCAGATTCATTCATTTCACATTGTTTTTCCTGAGCTTGTTGAAGAAGCTGTGTGTGGTTCTGGGTAGACTACAATGGAAACGTAGCCTGGCATTACTGGCTGGAAGGGCATACCCGCCAGGAAGAGCAGGTGCCAGGTAGTTGCAAGCCTAGGACACAATCTACTGATTCAAGGCAGTGAATGAAGGCAAAGTCAACACCTGAGACCAGGACAGAGGAGGTGGCTGAGGACAGAGACCGTCTCTGACTGTCTACGCTCCAGTGTGTGCCTCCATACTCAGTAATCTGATGCCAATCATACCCTTCCCTTTCTCTTTAACCTCCCATTAAAATTAAATGTGAGGAATAAATTGTCTTTTAAATTTTTTTCAAAGTAAGTTCTGTGGTTAATACTGTAAACATTTAATCAGTGAGTTACTTAATACCAAAAAGAAAAGAGAAAAAAACACTCAGACATCAGCACTTCCATAAGCCAAGATTTTGTTTTATATTATTTGGGGAATGTAGAAAATGTCATAGCATATGAAGTATCTAATCATTACTTGGGAACAAGCTAATGAAAACGTGTAAGTGAAGAACTACATTTACATTTTCAATTATACTTACAAGATGTCTTCTCTTTGAAAAGGCCCGGAGTGATCATAAAAATAAAAAACAAATTACCACGATTACTACTTCTTGGCAAAGAGAAAATGCTTCTACTAGTCAGGTTGGCACCTAGAACAAGGCCGCTCTGCCCATAGCTTGCCAGCATATATGGTCCTTCTCCAAGTCCTGGTGAAGTTACAAGTAGGATAATTATAGATTAGCATGGGACTTTAAATTTTTAAAAATAAAAATACTTCATAAATATTTGGCAATTAAATATTATTCAGATTAATTAACAACTAGCTTTCAAATAAAAGTAGTATGTAGTGTAGAAGATAGTATATATTTAAAGTGCATTAATTAAATTATATAAATATAAATGTATGTGTGTATTTATGTATGTAAATATGTACATGAGTGCATGCATGAAATTTTTATACATACAAAACAAACTAGGTGGGAAATGACTTAATCTCTTAGTCTTCAAATTCTCTCTCCTCTAGGAGAAATTTGTCTAGGTTACTTACCAGTCTAAAACCCAAGGATACTGTTATCCTCAATAAACACATGAAGTTTAATTGTATCAGAGCTTGGGAAATGGCCCAGCAGGTAAAGTGCTTTTTACACCAGCCTGGTGGCTTAGGCTTGACCCCTAGAACCCATGTTTGGAGACAGAACCCAGCTCATGAAGGCTATCTTCTGACTTTACATACATGCTATGACATACAGCATGTACACACACACAAACACACACACACACACACACACACACGGTTATAATAAAGACATTTATCTGTACTAATGGTCTCATGTTATGACACTCTTCTAATTGTACTGCATGAAAAAAAAAGAATTCAAAGACACAATATCCAATATTTTACGGTTTGGGGAATTATTAATTTTCACCAGAAGGTGAGTCTAAAATAAAGAGGAAACAAGATGCCTAGACCCAGACATGGAACTCCTCATAGAAATCTTTTTGCAATGCTCATATTATAAAAATAAGTAAATAAATGATAAATGTTTATTGATATTTTTAAATTACTATTTTATGTAACCCAATTTCTGTCCTACTAGTATCCTTAATATTACTGAGGATAGTAAAACTTGGAAATTTCTTATGAATCATGATGCATCCTGTTACATTATGACCAACTATATTCTTTGCACAGCTGTGTGCGTATGTTTGCCTTGTGGATTATATTCGGAGTTACCATGAGCATGGCGGATCATCTCCTAAAAGATTTACCATGTTACACTTGATACATTTCTCTTTCCCCTTTTCTAATTTTTATCTCAAGCACAAATTTATCTTCTAGCCCACCCTAGGTAAGAAAAGAAAAAATATTCAATGAATGTAAAATAAGGTTTTTCTCCTTTAAAAGACTCAAGTCCAGAGAAGGGGAAAAGGGTCGAGGAGGAGATAACCGGCTTGGAGGAATAAGATGCCTTCTAAGAAAGCATTTTCCATCATGAAGACCAGGAGAGGGGAGGATTCAGCGCTGTTCCCACCACTAATATCATCTGGAATTGGTCACCATGGAGCAGCTGGGGCCACAAACATTATGAGAGAAGAGCTTCCAAGTATGAGTGAACTACTTGGATCTCCTGCGCAGTGATGGGACTGGAAAGACTGTCCCCATGCCAACGTGGAGCTGAACAGGAACAGTGAGAATTTTCCAATAACACAAGTAACAGTTGGTTCTGGCCCGGTAACTAGTGTTTACTATGCATGGAGTCAAGCCAAGTACGTGAGAACCAGAGAAAACGACACCAAAATTCTGTACTGACTTTGTAAAAAGAATTTAAGAAATAAAGGGATATAAACCTCAAAAAGGATATTATACTCCAATTTATAAGTATGTAGATTCACATAAGTATATATATATATATGACATATAAATATGTGAATATGCAAACTATAACATAATTCAATGCACACGTATATACCTGGGCCTTGGTAAAACTCATTACTTTGATAGTAATCTAAAAATAAATATAAATATATAAATCAAAATGAAAACTATGCACACACAACAACAGTTTGAGGACTTGAAGCATCCTCGTGGACATTCAGCATAAGAATAAGAAAGGAGCTGGACAACTGGACAAACCTTGTGCCCATGGAATACAAATACTTCTCTTTACGACAGCATAAAGAGATGCCTGCCATCCATTCATGTAAAAACCGAATGGTTGAGGAGGACCAGAGGAAAACAGTGTCTCTTGCGCATGGAAGGACCACAGCATTCATGAAGACATTTGAGGTCATGAGTTACGGGCACAAGATCAAGCCCATCAGCCATCTGGCATTGAACAGAGTTTCGTGAAGATGTTTACAAGTTCCCACCTCTAAAAGAGGAGCTGGTGACTGTTGATAGCTACTAGACAAAGGAAAGTCTTCCTTCCTTAGGACTGTGGCCTCAGGTAGGTTGACTATGTTCAATGGATGGCCTTACACCTATGCACGTATAGCCAGCACTAATTAATTGGACTTGGTGAGCTATTTAAAAACAAAAGAAGGAAGAAAGTGTATTTTTTAAAGAGGATGTGAAGTTGGGAATTGGATACAGAGGAAGGATCCAGGAGGATCTGGAGGTGGTGGATATGATTAAAAGTATCATATATATGTATGAAATTCTTAAGTATAACTAAAAATCTATTTTAAAAATCAAGCCTAATGCTCCAAGCTGACTTACATCTTGTTTCCAGTCAATTTCCAAGTTCTGCAATTAAGATATCATTAATGAACTTATCAATTTTCGCAGTGATATGTACAATCAATTCTACTGTTTACTAAAATCAACCATGTCCAACAATGATTCCTTAAACAAGCCATAAATACATATCTAATAAAATCACGCTGAACTTCATTACTTAAGGATTATGAGCAGGATACTAAAGTCTCTGTCCACAGACATCAATAATGACAAAACTCCATTTCCATCATAAGAAAATAACACACAACAACTGTGAAGAACTTTCATACGATACTGAGGCTTAGAATTAGTAAGACAATTTCAGGCACCACTTTTATATTCTATTTTTTAAGTCTGTCTTCTGATAATTATTTATTTCTGTACTTTCCTTGAATAATCTATCTTTGCAGCATAGTTTCTGACATGTTACAGATAAACGAAGGAGAGTTCAGCTGTCCATGTCCGGAGAAGCCAAGATAGTTTATAAGAGCCGTGAAACAATTCAAACCTGTTTGAAATAAAACAAACTGAGGGAAGTCACTTAAAACAGTGTTGTTGATTTTCAGTGACTTCCATCAACAATCTCTACAATTCTATAATACAGAATAGAATAGAACAGAATAGAATAGAACAGAACAGAACAGAACAGAACAGAACAGAACAGAACAGAAATCAATCTCCATAATTCTATAACCTTCTTCAGCTACCTATGTCCACTGCAGCAAACTCTTCTTCCTGGGTACATTGATACTTTTCCCTATTACTTGGATTGTAGAAAATCAATTCCTTGCCTGCCCTTCCACTGAACCTACTAGTATTTTCTCAGAGCTGGAAGTCCTGTATTCATTTCCTGATGCTATATGTACAGCCTTTTAAACATCACTAAAGGTTTGAGAATTCTGTAGCACAATAGAAAACAGAGCACTCTAAACTGCGCAGACTCAACAGAAAGTAATGTGGACCAAGCAGCAAGTGTTAATGACTCAGAGTGTCCTGACTCCAGTGGTCTGTACAAGGCAGGGCAGAGGGCAGAAAGCATGGGGGAGACCTGCTCGGGGGTGTGGGTGAGCACAGGTTTAAATGAGGAAGCCACTGCTCTATTTTTTAATTGATTCTGTGAACAGAATGTAGATGGTACAGCAGGAACTCAATGCCATCCTCCTTGTGCACAGAACCACACCTGGTCAGGTAGCACTGACTTCAAGCTCAACACCTTGGAAGGCATACTGCTTACAAGACCCAGATGATCACAGGTTTTGCTAAGGGCCTTTGGCAATGTCTTCATTCTTCATGTCTCAATTTCCTCCTAAATAAAATGCCAACAGAAGCTACTCCTGCTATTACTGCTGCTATTATTAGTCAATCAATTACATTTTTAATTGTGAAGCCCAGAAGGCTGATATACTCTCTCTCCCTTTATCTTCCCTTATCTCTCCCCCTCCCCATTCTGCACCCTGGCTCTCTACCTCTCTCTTTCTCTACCTGTCCTTTCTATTCTCCTTTCCCTACTCACGTGTGTCTCTGTGTGTGTGTCTTGTGTGTCTCTGTGTGTGCACATTTCTGCTTGTCTGATAAAAATCTTGGACAAAAAGTACCTTCAGTTAGATTTTTGTTTATCAAAGGGATTTTGTTAATGTTGGCTTTTATTCAACATTCAATTTCTATAAATGTAACAAAAATGACCAAAAGTATTGCCCCGCCCTCTTTGGCTTCATTATCTCTATGTCTTCGAAGTTATGAAGCTTTCTTTATATAATCTCATCTGTTAGCTATCTCCCTAGTTTAGACTGGTTTCTGGTCCCGGGATCCTATGGCCATCATTCTAACTTCCTTATCCATCTATCACAGTCCAAAGTATGCCCAAGCACCGACAAGATGTCACCTCTCCGGATTGCCTCACTAAACTATGGTTTGGTGACTGCATCTTTCTCATTAGACAGTTTGAGAAAAGGCAAAGCCCAAAGCTGTTGTCTTCTGGCTTTTTTTTGCTGATATCCTCATACACCTCTTCCACAGGTGTGTAAAACATCTAGTCAAACTTCCCACCACAAGCCTGTATGCTTGCTGAGGCTTGAGAATTTTGATTGCTATTATATTAAGTTTTCGGTTGATAATATGTATCCTTATAGTAATGATAAGACATGTTTCTAATATTATCATTGTCTCTTTGTTTCCTGGTTTTCCACAATATAATAAAATTTATCTGTAGCGACAATGCTGTGTGATGATCATTAGAATCTATTCTCCCTATCAAACTGAAACTTTCTATGCTTTGATCAATAATTGTCCTTTACTCATTAACCCTCCCCCTCCCAAATTCTGCTGATCATCACATTTGTCTCTATTTCTGTGAGTCTTTCTCAAATAACACATATAATAGAAGCAAATAGAATTCCATTCTACCTAAATTATAACAAAAGTCTTACTATTACTTTTGGTTAAATACTGAATAGCTAGAAGAAAGGATTTAAAGAGTTCTCACCACAAAGAGTAAATATTGAGATGATTGACTTGCTAATTAGTCTGACCTTATCATTTGATTGTGCATTTATTTAAAAAACAACACCACATTTTACTTCAAATATATAGAATTGTTCACTTAAAGTTAGGGAAATTTTAAAATGTTTGAACAGGGTTCATAGTTTTATGAATGGTTATATGAAACAAGATATGCCTTCGCTATACTTTTGCATTTTACCTAAAATTAATTCAACTGCTTGTTCATTTGCATCATTCCAAAAGTATTTTTGGAAGACCTTCTAAGTACAAATAACCTAAATTACACACTTTGATTTTTAGAAAATAAACTTTAGCGTCAGTCCTCATAATATTAGATCCGATATAGAAAGAAAAGCCTTCATAACTTTGTCTCATGAATAACTTGTGGTTGGTTTTTTTCACAGTATAAATTGTTCAAAAAGTTTTACCTGAAAATGTACCTGAGAAAATACTGAAGTAATAGTCATGAATATGTCACATACCTTCATTATAATATTCACAATCAAGAGCTAAAAGAAAGAAAAATAAATAATAAGTTGCATATAAATTACATATTATTTGTCTGAGAACGTGCAACAAAGGAACAGGCATTTAGTAATAACTACATAAAATAACAAGAGAGTGACATCATTGCTTAGAAACTTCCTACGAGTGAAGGCGATTGTGTGTGCATGTGTGGGAGAACACATACTTGTTCATGTAGGGGTAAAGCTGATGTTTTTAAAACAATCCTGCTTACAGCCTAGGTCAACTTCAAACTTGCTCACACTGATCCTCCCTTCTCACCCTCTCAAGTGCCCGGAAACAGGTGCACACATCCAAGTCTTACCCAACGGTTATTTTTAAGATGGTGTCTTTCAACAAGATAGATTTCATGACATTATTATTTTTTTTATTCTACTTCCCGGCTGCAGTGTCCCCTCCTTCTTCTTCGTCTTCCAGTCCATCTTTCCCATCCCCCCCTTTCCCCACCCCCAATCCACTCCTCCTTCATTTCTGTTAGTAAATCAACAAAACATGGCATGTCAAGTTGCAGTAACACTAAGCACCTCCCCATTTATTAAGGCTGGGCAAAGCGACCCAGGATGAGGAAGAGGGCTCCAAAAGCCCGTAAAAGAAGCAGAGACAGCCCCCTGTTCCTGCTGTTAGGAGTTCCACACAAGGAGGACTCGTGACATTATTTTAAAAGTAGATAAAAATGCTTGGCAATTTAGAAGTCAATCATAGACACTGTCCAAATTGGAATCTGTTCTTCAGATGACTCAATCCCTACATAAGTAAATAAAATTATTAAGAAATCAAAGCTGACAGGAAATCAAGATGGGTTTTTAAGAGAACATCCTCATTATCAGAAGGATGAAATATCATAGGCATAAGAGGATTGGGATCACAATCAATTCCTGTGAGGATGGTATGTAATTTCTATTTCAGAAGTTGCAGGAACAGCAGTCAGACATACAAGAAAACAGAAAATTTCTTTCTTTGATATATGATAATTGGTGACTGTCAAAAGACTATGAAATGTAGACAGCTAAAAACAATGTTTCCATGAGTTCCATGGAATTGCTCCACAATAAAGCAACAAATAATTCAGATCTTCTTAAAAACTATCCACTTAATGACATCCTAGGCAAGGTACCCACCGCAAACTGTGGGTGACCTCCAGTGCACCGGCACGCCTTCCTGGCAGCATTTGTAGGCATATGCGGCCACACTGGTACAGAGACATTCACAATCGCCACCTAAGTTGCAGTTACACGTATCTTCGTGGCAGTTTTTGGCAAAAGAGGTCACATCGATCTGAAAGTAAAAGGAAAGATAATAGGATTTCAGTAAGTGCCGCTTGTGATTACATTCAAACGGCTGAGGGAAGAGAAACTGCCCACTTTTCCCAATGGGTGACATCCGCATAATACCGCCACCCACACAGTCCTAATTGTCTCAACCCACGGTGTTGCCAAAGGAAATGGAGTTACTAAACAATTGCCACCTCAGAGAACTAGCAAAACAAGTAAGAATAACAGAGAGATCCATCTTGACATCCGCAATAGGGCAGATTTCAGACTTATGAAAAGTGTTTTGTTGGATTGTTTCATTCTTGGCATAATCACCCGGCATCAAAGCAGCTTGCTCTGCTTCTAAATGCGCTTCGCATTTTTATTCTTTTACTTCTTCGTCTCCTAAGTGGCAGTATGCTGGTGGTGAGTGAGTGGCAATGGCAGTTTCTTATAAATGTCTCATATTCAAATAATTGCTTCCTTTGCATTGCACTTGTTAAATCACTGACTAGATTGAATAGAGAGGACTAACAATGCGTCACAAAAGAAAGGTTTGGTGTCGGCTATTTGTGTTTTATGTTACATGCCAATGCATGGGTTGATCTTTAAAGTAGCATCCAGAACAGGAGCCTTGAGACTGGGCGTGGGCCCAGAATGAACATCATATTGCCTGTCAAGGAACTATGGTCTCAAAAAGCATAAAAATCTCAAAATGGAGCCTCTTTATAAACAGGACTCTAGGCTACCCATATCCTTTTAATGTAGCAAGCCGTCCTGGACTCCCTTAAAGTTCCTAAAACCTTTTGATATTATAGCAGAGTTATCATATTAAAACTTACCTCCGTGGTGTTTAAAATAATAATTATAAACTCATTACATGTTAACATAAATTACACATTTCAGTAAAACCCTGTATTTGGTCAAGCAAAATGAAAATAGTGGGGAGAGGGAAGCTTTACATTTTTGCAGAATTCTTTACCATCCTTTCACAAGACACAACTTGACTCTCGTATCTGATTTCCCATTCGATGTGCTCTACTATTTTTGCTGTGACTTGGTTTTGATTAAAATCCAAGAAAAGTTCTCTATGTACATATAACTAGAAAGCCAATAGTATTTAATACATTGGGAGGGTGACTGATAATATTCTTTTAGGCTATATCCATAATTGTAGCTTTCTTGTTTCTTGTTTCATTATTTTAAAAAACAGGATATATTGTGTTAGATAACATTATGGCATTTCCAATCGTGTTTTGGTGATTTCTCTTTCCCCACATTTCCTTCATGGCCCCACCCCCACTATCCCTGATTCTCCCCTCACAGCCTCTTGAGGACAGAGGGAGAATCCTTGCTTCTTTTATGTCCCTTTGACCTTTAGCTCACTCCCTATTCTTTCTCATCACCTATTAATTACCTTCTTGGTTTCCTTCTTACATTTTTTAGACTTTATCCATCCTCTTACATCTATTTATATGTAAACATGTATACATTACAGGCTAGGATGTGCCTAAGAGATAGAACATGTGTTTCAGTTTTTGTTTCCTTTCTGAGTTCATACGTAGTACACTGCAGTTCCATCCATGTTCGTTTACAGCTGAATCAGATTCAAGGTGTACAGGTACCACATTTTCATTATGCATTCACCTGCTGGTGGACATTTGGATGGCTGATAGAATTTCCTTGCTGCTTTGAATATGCATAAATAAACTTGAATGAGAAAGTATCTCCATAATAGAATGTGGATCCTTTGTAATGACAATGAGTGGTGTGACTGAGTTATGGGGCAGTTCTTGTTTTAATTTTTTGAGGAATTCCATATTGATATCAAAGACTAGGTTGAATTTGATGTCCGAAATCATACCAATGAAGTCTGTACTTTGCTTGATTAAACTCTTTAGGTTTAACTTGCCTTTAAATTAAATAATCTTTAACTCCTGTGTGAGTCCATAATATTGGGCAATGATTATTTGAAACACGTGTAGTGTACAAAAGTATGGATGCTAAAGCATTTAATTATAGACAACAGGTCACATTTATTCATATCATCAGCTGATATGGGATTCCCCTCTGTTTGCTGTGAATACCATTGATTAATAAAGAAACTGCGTTGAGCCTATAGCAGAGCAGGGCAGAACAAAGCTAGGTGGGGAAAACTAAACTGAATGCTGGGAGAGAGAAGGTGAAGTGGAGGAGAAGCCATGCAGCCCCACTGGAGACAGATGCCGGAACTTTACCAGGTAAGTCACAGCCTCATAGTGATACACAGATGAACAGAGATGGGTTAATTTAAAACATGAGTTAGCCAGGAATACACTTAAGCTATTGACCAAAAGGTATTGCAAATAATATGATTTCTGTGTGATTATTTTGTGGCTGAGCAGCTGGGAACAAACAAGCAGCCTCCTACAACAGTCAGCTGTATTTTCAGAAAAGTATCTCAAAACTTTTAAACCCACAGTAATGGAACCAAGATTTGCAAAATTCAATTTTTCATTTCAAAAAGTTTAAATATTTTTAAGAACAACAGATGCCATCAAATGTTTACCTTGAAGCTACACTCTTTTTTTCTTCAGAAGATATCTACCAAATATTCTTGTCTGAATGACCATATTTTTCTGTGATTTGTTATTTCAAGTAAAAATGGTGTTCCAAGGGAATAAACAGTAAACCTGCCTCACAACTCAAAAGCTGCACAAGTAACTTCTTTGAGAAAACAGGGGGCATGTAGCAGAGGTATTCTTGGCTTTCAGAACTGTACTAAATTACTTGCCCAACTTCTACTGGGGCCCAAAATTATCATATGAGGAAGGAGCTTAGATATTTAAGTTATGTTCTTAAAGTAGCTTCTAAAACTATTTTAAATATGTCAACAGAAATCCTGATAAACTATACTTACGATGAAAAGAATGTCCATCTGAAATACTCTCTGACAACAGATAAACGACTATCTCCCTTTTGTTTTACACATATTTAGCAAACACTGTGAATAAATTGTATTTCATGAACCAGAATTGTGATGAGCATTCCCAGATGCACACTGTTAGATAAGATGGGTTGAGGAAGAAAGGAGGTCAACTGATCCTGTTGCTCACAGAGAAACGACACTAACAAGGGTCCCCTAACGATGACCATAGGACACCTGAGAAACAAGAGCTGCTGGATTTACCCCCTACTCATCTCAGCCCATGCAGCAGCAAGTCTCTATATTTGAGATTTCAGTGAAAGTTCTGAATTTACCACATTGCGACACGGGGCGAAAACATCGCTGTACAGAATGGAGCACTCTTTCTTGGCATAGGGAAATTTGTTTTGGTGGGCCTCGCAAGGCTTCAGGGCTTCAACAGGATCTTCACACTGTTGAGTAGCAAAGGGCAATGAAAGACCTTAGTGGGGTTGAACTCTGAAATCAAAGTACCCGACACCCATGACAGTGGCATGGAACACAGTTTAACCCTTGCAACATTCTTTACCTATTGCCTGTTCTTATCCATAGAGGTTACATAGTGATAACATAAACCACTTCTGAGAAACAGCTAAATATTAAACAGAGTGATGCTAGAAAGAGAAATTAATCAATTAAAATTAATTGAATTTTTTCACAAATGCAGTGTTTTTATGAAAAATTCTATGAACATGAATCTCTCCCTCTCTATCTTCTCATGTTGTTCAGTTCGGTCACTGGCCATCTTCTGAGATACGGGATGTATAGATTTCTACCATCTCCTGAGACTCAACTCCCCAAAGCGGCCTCTGCTGCCTCCAATCTGCCTCTCCAAAGCTTCCCCGAGAAAGGGCACCAAATATTTGCTCAGTTCTCAATACAGTCGCTCAGGCTGCAGTCACTTGAACCTTCCTTACCTTCAATTCTGTCTTAAGTGTTTCATCTGATTTGGATTCGGCACCAATGTTTTCTGCTGGCTTTTCTTATCCTACACCACACTGACCCTTCTTCCCCAACCTCCTGTTCCCACCTTTCTTAGAAAACTCTTGCCTTGAAATGCCTGTGCCCCTCATTTGACACAGGTGAGCTCACTTCAACAGCGTGAACACTCTAAAGTGTTAGACCCCTATATACACGCCAGGGCTATTGCCTGTGCTTCAAGCTAAAATCTTTCTGTCACATCTTTCTCAATACATCGTAAGGTTTACTACACTTATCTCTACTCTATCCTGAGCCCAATTCTGCACTCATATATCTCCTCATTGTCCTGTCTAGGGGAGAAATCCAGCTGATGTTTCTGATGCCAGAAGGTATAAGGTTTTTTGTTTTTTGTTTTTTTTGTTTTTTTTTTTTTGTTTTGTTTTTTTGAGTCTTCCAAATCCATCCTTCTCAATTATGTCCTTCAACAAATATTGGGAGCTTTTGTTTTTTATGGTCTCAAGTTTCTACAGTTTTCTAAATCTCCCCTAAGAGCTAACCTGGCTGTACTATAAAAGCCTCCTGCACCTGCTAAGATTTATCTTTGGTCTTTAGGGCATTAGGCCTATGTCATAACCATACGAACACTATGAGATGTTTTTCGCTCTGTGCTCTCCCCATCCCAGTTCACCTCAGCTAGGTGACTCCCTCTCTTTCTTCCATCCTCCTGTCCATAAACCAGTGGTTCTCAACCTGTGAGTTGTGACCCCCAGAGGGGTCACATATCAGATATTCTGCACATCAGGTATTTGTACTATAATTCATGACAGGAGCAAAAATTACAATTATGAAGCATCAATGAAAATAATTTTATGGTTTGGGGAGTCACCACAACATGATGAACAGTATTAAAGGTCAAAGCATTAGGAAGGTCGAAGCTGAGAACCACTGCTATAAACTTTACCGTCTCCTATCTTGTAGATGTTAAAAGCCTTATTTCCACATCAATTGTTCTAGAAATCCTCCTTGGACTGTAATAATCTCTATTGATGTGCATATCTACTAAAATGCCTGTCTATATCAATATTTTTTGGTAATTTTCTAAGGCACCTACTGACTTAAGCATTAAAATTCCTCAAAGGCAGAGACTATCATATTCATATGCTGTGTCTATATCATAAGAAAAGACATTATCTTGGCCAGGTGGTGGTTGTGCACTCCTTTAATCCCAGCACACAGGAGGCAGAGGCAGGCAGATTTCTGTGAGTTCGAGGTCAGCCTGGTCTGCGAGAGCCAGATGGGCTCTCCAGGATGGGCTACAGAGAACCCCTATCTTGAAATAAAAACAAAAAACACATATTAAACAAAATCTACTGAATGGATATAGAGCAGAAGATATTTTGCTATGCTTGAACAGACATGAGAGAAGATATAAATCTGAATGTCACCTTTGCTGCTCTCTGTACATTAATTTGTATTAAACAGATCATTTAACCTCCATGAAATACAGTCTTTCTATCTGAAATGTAGAGGCAATAATAAGTTTTGCAAAATAAAATTGTCATAAGAATTACATGGAAAAGTAACTATGAAAGTTCATCAACTATACGTTATTATAAAAACAGTCTGTAAAAAGTAACTTAATAACTTGACTCTTTGGAATGCTCTTCGGTTTGTTCTATATTCTATATCTGTAACTCACCTGTCCTAAGGCCCAACTGTCCCCAAACACCTGTGCATTTCTCACTTCCAGGTTATTAGATGTGGTCATATCATTTGAAGTGCACTTGTCGAAGTTCCCACACAATCCTGCCAGTTTGTTCTACAAAAATAAAATTATGATAAAATATTTTATATTTATTCTAACACTTACATGTATTAAAACTTGGATGATTGAAAATATATAAACAACTTTCATAGAAATAATTTAAAACAAATATTTTAGTAAAATAGCTTCACATCAATTAAATTTCATTTATAATGTTTAACAGCCCCCAAATATTTTATCAACCTCCAAGAATTATCTATCCACACTAACTATAGCATCTTAGCATTGATATCTCTAACAATGTAAGTAGAAAAGTATATACTGAAGTATATTAATAAATACATGTACATATAATATATACTGATAGATATATCTTGTACATAAGCATAAATAATTTTTATGAAGAAAAACTTACTAGATTATATATTTAAGATTCTATAACAGTATAAATGTTAAAACCATAAAACTAACTTAGGTCACTACAGATTGTGAAGTGATGAAGGCAGTAGCTATGGGATCTACTCATATCAGCACTGACTAGTGGATTTTCCCAAAATACTGTAAAAAAAATACTTTTAGAGTCAGGATCCCCTAAGACGTTCCAAAATGGATGACATTCCAACAAGAATGGAACTCCTGCTTAGAGCCTTGAATTAATGTTCCTTGAGCTCTCTTTTCCATGGTGATGCCTGGTATGGAACCCTTTGAAGTAACATAGACCAACTTCCCACGTTCAGAAAAACAGACAATGCAAGGGACCTGTGTCTTAAAAACTGTTTTTATAGAAGACCAGTTACCACTTCCGACCTTGGATAAATAAACCGTGGCATATCCACACCACAGGTTACAATAGTACTATAAAGTGAAAAGAAACACTATTTAAAACCATATAAGTGAATTTTATATTTATTTAACCCAGTCAAAGATGGGAGATCTCAAAAACTACTAAAACTCCACATATATGATATTTGGGGAAGGAAAACACAATGGATATAGAAACAATGGAAATAGAGTGGTGTTTTTCCAGATAGTGGAGGTGGAGGTAAAACTTAACAATAAGGGGGAAGCCTGAATGAAAAGTCGGTATTAGTAGACTTGCTTTGTAAAAAAAACTCCAATATTGGATCAAGACTCTATACAGTTTTCAAAAATACACAGAACCCTAAAGGTAATTTTAAAGCTACTGTTATTCACTTACTACAACAATTTTATAGCATATGTGAATTTATTTTAAAAAGTTTCCATATGAAGCAAAATAAGGAAAACAGATTATTACAATAACTGAATCTTTTTACAAAAAAAAAATAACAAAACTCAAGGGAGGAGAAAGAAGAGGCATAGATGAAGCAACAATAGATAGTACGGTGTTAAAGCAAAAAAGAACTAAATAAGATTGGCCCCGATTATGCAAACTAATAGTCTATTCCTTTATATTGCTAAGTAATGCCGTTACAGCACTCGCTTGACCCCAATTCCTGGAGTCCTACACATAGTATATTACTAGAAAATTTGAAAACTTAGCTTAATTCAACCACAGCTCTCTATAGTTTATTTTTAAAAAGAGATCTTCTAAAACTGAATTCACCTTACAAATTCAATCTTTTGTTCGACCTTTCTTTTCTTTAAACAGGATAAACAAGATATACACAATTCCATTTAATGCATCTCATTTAGGGGTTAGGATCACCTACCTTCCACTGTGGCCCAACTTTGATGTGGATGGTTGTCTTCTCGTCCCACAGAATGGTGATATCTTCCTCTGGGAAGTACACTACTATGTTGTGCCCAGCCTTCCACAACTGGTATGCAGGCTGGCTCTCCAGGAAAAAACCTGATCGCTTCTTCCAAAAGGATTAAATGTCTTAGAATGAATATCACACTCTTTAACCAAAGGAGAGGCATTAATACTTTCCAGTATCTATCTAACATGATTGCTTGCTATAGTTTTTTTGAACTCTCTAATACAAAAACAATGTATTAAGTAAGAAATACATTAGAATGATATTCATAAGAAAACAAGAAAATGGGCTCAATAAGAGACCATGGGGAAGGTAAAAGATAATCATGATAATGAAGAGAAGAGAAAGAGAAAGGACACAGAAAACAAGATCAGACAAGGAATACAAAAGACTGAGGATAAAGAAAAAGGCATCTCTTCCCTTCAAAAGAAAAATGTATCCTTGCTTATGATTCTACAGAATAAAACCAGTCTTCCAATGTTACTAAACTCTTTAATGAAAAACAGAATTGTTACATTTGGCAAGACACAGTGCTTTTACAGTCCAATGAAAATTTCAAGATTAAGAAGTTTGATAAAAACTGAAGAAAGAAAGTATGATATAAATATATACATATACGGGATACATGTAAGTATGTATATGGGAAAGAGATAGAGATGCAGACAGACAGAGAGAGGAGAGATGAATTACTATCAAAGAGATTTTAGAAGGATTACAAGGGGAAGCATTATGCTTGGGAAAGAATCTGCATAGAAAGCTGCAATGAAAATGGAGAAAAAATGAAGACACAGAAAATGAAGGGATGATTTAAACAAAGGTTTGATGCCGGGGCATTCAAGATACAGTCAGGACTAAGAAAAGCCGTCAAGGGTCGAAGCATGGATACCATGACAAAGGAAGCCTGGGGACTCAACAACACTCAAGTAACCCTAACAAAGTAACTATCACTTGTTCAAAATACAGTCAATAAAGGCTTTGATCAGGGAACTAATTGCCCATGATTTGGAAACTCAAGGGAAATAATTTAAAACTAGGAAGGGTAAAAGGGACTAGATGAGGAATACCCTGGGAAATGAGAATAAGTGTAGTTATGACCATGGCCATGAATAGAGCTCATAAAATGATCTTGAAAATGCATGGTTGTATTAATGAGAAGAAAACCGATTTACCCCAAAGGAAACAAAAATTGGAAACAGATATGAAATTTTTCAACCATTTTTCTTCTCTGAATATAACTAAGTGTAGTGGGAGAATATCTAAAGTCTAGAGTGGTATTGAAGCAAGCATTCCAAAGGGAAGGTGAAATAGTCATATTTATAAGGTGTTTCCCATCCACTATACCAAGATTATGCTTATAGCTACACTGTACACAGCAAATATAACCATCCATATTGTTAACTGGCTTTACCTAACCTGAAATTCTTCTACTCCTCAATTATCTATTCTCACTGGCTAGGCTAAATCTAATTATTGTTTGAACCATCTCAAATCTATGCACTTGATATCCCCCTGCTAAATACTATAGTCCCAGAGTGTGGCTTAACTGATTGATCCCCTCTTTGGTTTCCTCCGTCATGAGGCCACACAATATTTCTCACTCTCAAATAAACTGATTGGCATTTCCCGCACTTAGAATTCTAAAGCTCTGTAACCTCCATCTTGAAATCAAGTTTCTTTTGAATCTATGATTTGTGAGTCAAGCCCAATGGGATAAAGATCATGCATCTGTGCCACGGCATCCTTGTTCACATCCATTCTATGCCCTGCATCTCCTGCCTCTCAGCACTGATGTTCAGCTTCCTGCTTCCTGGACTCTGCTTGGGGACCACTGCTATGCTTGGGAACCACTGCTATACTTCATCCATAGCAAAGAGTGAGGACAATGGTAGGTTTAAGATGGGACCCAAGGACCAAAAGTGACGAGATGAGGAACTCCGCACTAGGGAGGTCTACAGTCACCATGAAAGGACATCTGTGCTCAAAAGGGCACACGTCAAATGAATAGAAAAGCATCCTGACCAAAAAAGAAGGGGGTGACAGAAGCTTTTTCCCCAAGGATCCTACATTTTCATTTGATGGATGCCACACAATTTGTATGACCTGCTATGCCACCAAATTACTCTGTAACAGCATCAACTTTTAACTTCATTGTACTTTCCGGTAGTTTTTGTTGATGTTATTGTTTCTGTTGTTGTTGTTGCTGCTGCATTTGTCACCTGACCTGGCCCTGTCATCTCTTCCCATCCCAGCAGTCTGGTTTTAAATCAGTTGGCTCCAAATCCAAAGCACGCCTTTAGCTAGTTGCCATTAGATATAAGATGCTCGTTTCATTAGGTGAGGCAGCCTGCGACAAGAATGTCTTTCCTAATCAAAAGAAACGATTATGCTCCTTGCTTTTCACTTCATCCACTAAAGTGTCTATCTCAAAGAGTCGGGAATGAACTGCCCAAAGTAGAAATATGGACTTTAGGAGACTAGTACTTCAAACAAAACGGAACAGCATGAGAAAAATAAGTTCGGAAATGGAGATCACTCAAACACTGCTGAGCACAGCTTAGGCAAATTTGTAAAAGATTTTTAATTGGCACGTTTGATTGAATTATAATTGTGCATTTATACAAAGGGCAGAGGGTTGTTTATTTATTTCCCTGGATGAGCAGCACATTAGTTTATGAAGAAAATGGCCCTTGCTAGATTTCCACTTATGATCTCCCAGAAAGACATTTTAGCTGGGAACTTGTTGGGCTCAAACTATTCTCATGACTTTTGTTAATCTTTCTTCATTCCTCACAGTCTAAATAAAGGAGATTCATTAACACCTGTGTACAGCTGAAAATTGGAGTCTGGGAGTTACACGGAGCTGTAATTACCACTTCAGAAATGTGTCAAACTGTCTTTATATGAGCATTTAACCAATATCTCCCCTTTTGAAAGAGCATCCTTGATCATTAAGAGACCTTCACTTATAAAGGTATATAAGTGAATATAAATGAATATCTAGCTAATGGCTAAGCCGAACATTTGTGATTACTTAAAATAGATGTCAATGTGACTGTAGGAAGCAATTCTGTCTTGTCTGATTGCTGGGTTGTTACTCTTGGTGTTTCTACCTGAGATCCAAGGTTCTAAAATGTTAGCCGAAGAATTTGGGGTAAGACTTAAATCCAAAGTAGCAAAAATGTCAAAAAAAAAAACAATTCAGGGGTGGGACAGATTACACAAATCACAGGACCCATCCGAAATGAAAAAGTGTGGCCTTTTGTTTAAAACTGAGAATAGCCCTCTTTGTAGCAGGACGGTTCGTGTTTTCTGCCGTGTCTTTTCACTCTTAGCCATTCCAGTGGCTGAGGCAGAGCACAGAAGCTGACCTTTACAGCAAATGGTCCAGATGACTCTCATGAAGATGTGTTTCAGAGAAAACCGGGCAAAATGGTGTTCTGGGAATTCCGTTTGAAACAGGGAGCTTTACAAGACCATCATCAGAGCACACACTTCACATCCACAAATTCACTGCCTTTAAAATGCAGTGCGCATGGGTTGTGCCACCCAGGAGCTTCCAATCTGAGCCTAGATCCCTTGGCAGCCCCCTCTTCCTCACACACCCTCTGGATTCTCGGCCACACCCTTGCTCTATCATCCCAGGGGTTTTGTTTCAACCAAAGCCGATTGTTAAACCCAACCATGACATTTTGTCTTCCAACTCTGCTCCTTTGAGTGATCATTTCCCTGCAATGCTATCCTGCTAGCTCTTCATCTATCAATCCTCATTCATCTATCTACAGTTATCTGTCTATTGCCTATCATCATCTTTCATCTCTTCTTATGGTGTATACTTCAGGTTCTGACTCTATATGAAAATAAGGATAATAAAAGGAAGGGGGTCTGATGCAAATGGAGTGGCTTACTGGCATGAGTCTAGCCAGCATCCGTCTCAGTAAGGGGAATCATGGCGTCTGCCTGACTCTGCTTCTTTCTCCCAGCATTCTGTTCTGTCTACTCCGCCTATCTAAGCAGCTGTCCTATCAAAAGCCAAGGCAGTTTCTTTATTTAACCAATGAAAGTAACAAATAGACAGAAGACCCTCCTACATCAGGGGGTCAGTCCTTAAAATTCATTTTCCTGACTTTCATTGTAATCTTCATAGGATCAAAGAAAGTGGTTTTGTAGTCTCGCTGAGGGGAAGTAGAAATTTGAGAAGTTCAAGAGACTTTGCTGGAATGGCACAGCAGGTAGGTGATGGGTGGAGGTGCTAAACTACTTCTGAGTGACTCCCAAGTCTATGCTCCAAATCTCCTTGAAAATTGAGGGTTGCTTTAGTGTTAGTGGTTTTGTCCAGGTGTTCTTCTAGGAGCTTATGTAGACCCTGACGCATCATATCACATTGTCCAATCTTATTTCCTTTAGAGAGCCATAATTCTATTGAGTATATTAAAGGCAAGCAGTGTCTTTTCACTATGACAGCCTAAAATCTGGGCACTAGTTTTAGTTTATAGTAAACATATTGATGAATTAGTAAATAAATAGGTAAATGAATAAAATGGATTCTATCTTTTAATTGGACAAATTATTGGTATTCAAGAAAAAATAAAAGATGGAATGATCTTACTTCATATGTTGCTCATAGATACATGAGGAAGACAGAAAAACACACACAGAACTTGACTAAGGGCTGAGGGGGATCTAACAGGGTCTTTGAGAGCATCCTGAGATGTTTCCTAAAGGAGATTAGACATACTGTACAGAATATGGTGAATATATAGATGTATTCATAAATCACTTTCTCTAATGATACAGATGAGAGTAAGAAAAACCTAGCCTATGTAAATAACTGGAAAAAGATTCAACCTATGGGATATGGGATTGAAAAAGAAAACCATGAGAGGCAAGACAGGAAAGGTGGACAAGAGCCTAAAGGTGAGAACCTGGCAGGACAACGGAAAGACATCTGAAAATTTTGAAGCACAACTAACATAGGAAATCAGATTTCCGTATGGGGAAAGCCACTGTTGCTGCAATGGATGGGATGGAATAAATGGGGTGGGGCTGGCTGGAGAATTAGGAAGACAGACTGGAGTCTGCTGGAGGAACTCACGTAATAGGTGTGGTTCTCAAAACCAGAAGGTTGATCATAGTTAGGAAAATAGTAGATATAATTGAAATATGAAGACAAAAAATATAAGCAGAAGGTGCAAGGGTGTATGGTTTACCAAAACAACCCAAAATAATAAAGAAAAAATACAGATAGTCTAACTACTTATAATCAGAGGTATCTAAGTATCTAAGCCATTTCTAAATCTGTTTTCTATATCAGTTGGACAAGTTGGGATTATCGTGAAAGAAAGAATTCACTTACCTGTTTGTAAGGCGCATCATTGAGGTAGATTTCAGTGTCCCCAATTGATATCAAAACACTTTTAGAACAAACAATATTATTGTCAAAGCATTTCTTGTTCTGGGCAATCACAGAGATATCAGAATCATCTGTACTCTGAAATATGTCAAGAACACTTTATTGACACAAATGTATATTATATATAATTCCAATTATTTTTATTAACAAATTTAAAGGCAACCAAAACCTATAATGACTTACATTCAAACTTAAAAAGATAATATTACTAAAGCAAAAAAATTATACTTAAGTGAAAATGAGAAAATATTCTATTGGAATACTGGCCATTAAATAATTGGCCTAATATGTTTTAAATTTTGTTCTAGCAAACCTTTTCAGCACCATCATAGCTCCACTTGATTCTCTTTATCAATATATAACCACTAACATAATAAGTCACTTAGAAAGATTTGACCTATTTTAATTTTTAGAAAATACACAGTTTTCTTTATCTTAGGGAATTTTCTGGACTGCTTATTACCTCTAAGGAAAAACTGAAGCAGATGCAAAATTTTGCCACGTACTAGCAGACAAAATAAAGCATTTTATTTGAGGGTTTGCCTTGAACTTCATGTGTCTCATTTAATTCCCATAATATTTGAAATACATTTTTATTGAAAATGGCGCTTTATTATTTAATAAAGCAATCTCTCTAAAAGAAAATGCTTTAAAAATGAAGTTATTTTAAGTCAAAACATCAGAGCCTGCTCAGACAGACATGGGCAGTTCATCAAAGGCAGCTGGAGAGTGGAGATTTGATCTCGATATGCAGACTTTTAGATCTCACATCCTCTCCTATCTACTTGTTCAGTATTATTGTGCAAGCGCTCATAGCCAGTCACCCATGACAGGTGACGCCTGCTAGATGAGAGGCAGAGCTGTTCAACTGAGATCTAAAGCTTGTCCGCAGTTCTCAGAACAATCCTCGCAATCAGCTGCCTTATTAGAGTGGACGGGAGGCAGCCCGGTGTCAGTTTTGTCTGTGCACCTGTTAACAGTGTGTGTGTGTGTGTTAAATATTCTGTCCCCACCCCACACAGGTGCCCTGTGTACAATCGGCACAATATTCCAGTGAATCCCTTCTTGATCTGTGCTCATGTATCAGAGTTCAGCCTACAGCCATCTTCTCAAGCAATAAGGACCATCAACCTTAAGCAATGACTTGTGTCACCCTTTGGACAGGGACACTATCTGTTATTAACTGGCTAGGCCCGTCATTGGCTTGGCTAATCATCAGTGTTCTGGCTCCATTTCCTGTGGCTGATTTTGAGTGCTCTAAGAAACCAGAGACTTAAGTTTATCTCATTGAGATGATCCCAGAACACTTGACAGAGAGAACTGAGACCACAGTGTGCTCCTTCAGCTGTGATCTTACCACCTTTTCACGAAAGTCACATCCATGGTGGTATGTTGCTGTGAGTGACATTTCTGGGATGACACTGACCTAAATATGCAATCAAGGATGTCATAAAAAATTGAAATGGAACTTCAATGTCACTCGACTTCAGTAAGTTAAGAGTTCCTGCTTCTAGATGGTTCTTTTGTATTTGCAATCTAAAAGGGTTTCCTTGGTTTCCCAGCTTTACTTTTTAAATTTTCATATAAGGATAGTGTATTTACATCATTCCCCCTTGTTCATGCTCACTTTAACTACTCTTGCAATCCCCTCAAAGCTCTCTTTCAAATTCACTCTCTTTCCCCATTGTAGGAAGAGAGAGCCGCTTGTTGGTTTTCAGCCACCCAGCTAGCTTAGACCCAAAATAATCACACAGAAATATTATTTAAATCACTGCTTAGCCCATTAGCTCTAGCTTCTTACTGGCTAACTCTTACATATTAATTTAACCAATTTCTATTAATCTGTATATCACCATGAGGTCATGGCCTACCAGCAAAATTTTAGCACATCTATCTCTGGCAGTGGCTCCGTGGTGTCTCCTTGATTTGGCTCTTCTTTCTCCCAGCATTCAGCCTAGATTTCTCTGCCTACCTAAGTTCTGCCTTACTATAGATCCAAAATAGTTTCTTTATTCATTAATGGTAATCACAGCACACAGAGGGGACTCCCACATCATCCCATAATTATTATTGTTACACACACACACACACACAATTTACTGTCCCAGGCATGAATTTCTGCCTATCAAATGAGCCTTGGGTCCAACTGGACAGCTGTTGGTTACTACCAGGATATAAATGCCATTATTGCACCATTGGGGATAGCATGCTATGCTGTGCATTTCTGTGGGTCATAGACATCACAGCAGGAGGGAAGAGGGTTATTGATTGATTTTCTTCATTGGCGGCTTGCATAGCCCTTTCCCACAGTATAAAAGAAAGTCTTCCAGGAGGAGGTGTTTGAATCAATCTAGCTTAATTTCTCTAAGTCTGGTGTCTTAAGACTTTATTGCTAAAGAAGCCATTTTTAAAAGACCTCTTCACCATAGGAGTTAACAGCCGTATGACTCTAGAGCCCACTGCCCTCCCATCGTGGCTCACTTCGGAAACCTACTTCAAGAGTCACTGGACTACACATTGAGCTATGACCTGTAGAATACCGCTAGCTGGTGAGAAAAGCTTTGAATTGCAATCAAACATTTTCAAGGAGGCAGAAAATCTGAGCTGAGACATAGACTAGAGTGCACCACACATACATGGGCCTGCACCTGCATGAAGGGCTCTACAAGGGCAGGCCTGCATCCATGCTCATGCAAGGGATGTCAAAGATGTTGCTTCCTGGAACACTTCCTTTCCTTCATTTTTATTTTTCTCCTATTTCATATCTAATTTCAACTTAGTGGATCAACTTTGTCTTGCACTAGTCTCTTCTTAGCCTTTGGCTTCTGAATTGGTTTTCCCTGAGTACAGGGCCGGGCCTGTAGAAGGAGGGCTCCCTTCCTCAACCTCCAAGTGCTGAGACAGTTTTGGAATGTCTGATCACCTCTCTCCCTCTTTCTCTTGTCATGCTACCTTGGATGAAGCAACCCTAGCTTCTCCCTTTGTCTTTATGGTCTCCCCTTCATTTACTTTTCCCTTCTCTAATTTTTATCATGGTTACTAGCAATAGGAATCCTAAATCAATATGCTTCCTAGTTTGGCCAAATTATTCCTGCTTGTTAGTAATTGTAGCAGCAGTGCCTGCAGGAGAGGGTTTGGTGAAGAGTGCTGACAGAGTAATTAATGTGTCTGTGTGATTCACTTCTCCTTGATTGGTGCTGGGAGCTCTTGGCTTCTTCCTGAACGCTCCTTCTGCAAAGCATTACCTGAACTTTAAAAAGCAGTATAATAAGGGCCATTAAGATGATTACAGCATTATTCTACTAAAAAATTAATCCCACACTTCTATGTTTTTCTGAATGGTTTTCAAAGCAGAAAAGAGTATATAATGCAGGGTGTTGTTTGTTCTTTCTCTTGGGAAGAGTTATTTAGATTAAAAGACAAGAGAAGTGGGCTACAAAGCTTCTATTACAATTACATTTCTGTTACTGTTAATCAAAGTAACTCAGCATTAGCTCTATTCTTTATATTAAATCAGAAATGTCAAGAAATATTCTATGTTACATGGTCTGTCTCCTATCACCCTGCTATGCTGACAGAAACCCGAAACAATAGCAATGCAAAGAGTTATGTGTCTATAATTCCCCCTCCTGATCTACTTCAAGTTAATATTAGGTTTGGAAATAATGTGGCAGAGTTACTAGGCAACACAGGAACAATTACAAAACTAGATGGAAAAGGTCAATATCAAGGTTTTTTATTCTCCTCATTCTAAAAGCTCTGTTAGACAATAGTCCTCTAAAAGATTCCAAAACGTGAGATGTTGGCACCTTTCGAAGTAGAATAGTGCTGTGTTTGACAGGCCCTTGTCAACACCTGTCCCACATAAGCCCGAACCCCTTGAAGGTCAACCTTTCCACACGAGGTCCCTGCTGATAGATAGGTTCCTATGAATCAACAAGTAATAAAGGAGGGTTTGTAGCTGCAAGATAGTACGAAACCGTGGCAAGGCGGAATTTCATGGAAGCAACAGACGTAAAAATATAGAATCTGTTAGAACCAGAGTCGGAAGAAAACTGGAGCAAAGAGGCACAAAAGTAGGACCAGGTGATCAGACACAAAGGAGCGGAACCAGAAGAATAACAAGAAGACAAGAATGACTTCTGAAACAGGATGAAAACAAGAAAGACTTAGAGGAAGGTGCTCAAGAGTGTTTGTGTACAAGCTGGAGGACTTGAGCTTGGTCAGCAAAAGCCATTGACAATGACACTGGGACTTGTTTCCTCTGCATATACTGGATTTTGGGGATCCAGTCTGTCTGGACACTCACCTTCCTGGACCTGGAGGGACGGGGGAGGAACTTGAACTTCCCACAGGGCAGGAAACCCTGACTCCTCTTAGGGATGGAGAGGGAGGAGGAAAGGGAGTGAGGGGAGTGGGAGGGTGTTGGGAGGAGGGGCGGAAATGGAAACTTTTATTTTATAATTTAATAAAATTACTTTCTGAAAAAAAAAAGCCACAGTAGCATTTACACTTCCGGTTCTCAGGAAGAAATAAATTCCTGGAGCTCAAGGACAACCAAATTTTTATCTCAAGTTCAATAAGAGCCTCTGTCTCAAAATATACAATGGGGAAATATTTACGAAGATATCCAATATCTGCCTCTGGCCACTACACACCCACATACACACACACACACACACACACACACACACACACATACACACCAAAAAAAGTCCTTAAACTGGATTTTACATCTAAGTAATTAATTTTCACATCTAAGTAATTATTTTCCTTTCTTTTTAGCTTCATATAAATTAAATAATAATAATGTTCTCCCTATGATTCAAGTATCAAATAAAGGTGAGCACACATGAGTCTTTGCTCATTACTGTACCCCAACTTCTCAGTCTAGGACTGATATTGTAGAAAACACACAAGGCAACACTGAGGAGAAAATGTAGGTAATGTTTAAAATTTTTAGAGTAATGAAATCAGAAATCTCTCAGGGGCTGAGGGAATTCAGTTACATTTGAAGGATCTGCTAAGGAGAATGTTGAAATCCTTATCTAAAAGAAGTTATGGGAAGAACTCTAACAGGTATCTGCTACTTACTATAAGTTCAACAGAATTAGAGTTCATATCTGAGATCTGGGAAATAAAATAATATACTTCCTGATTTATAGCATAGGTCAGCATGCCAGAAGTTTTAGACTTTGTGGGGTTTCTTTGCGTTTAAATCATATCTTGCCTCACAAAATACAGTTATGATCTTCCCTCTAAGACTGTCTCAAGACACAAAAAATAACATGCTATGTAATGTTGTTGTAAAAAATCTAAAATCAATAAAGTAGAAGAAGATTTTAATTGTTGAATTCTAACAACTCAACATTATAGCAAGTGAGATACCTGAAACTTGATTGTGTTAAGAAAACATTTAGTCTAGTGATGAGCAAAAACAAACCTACCTTTCTGTAATGGTTAAGGTCAAAGACCAGCATGCCTTTAAAATAAAACTGTTAATTTTTAAAAGTCTAAGTAAAAAATCAAAGTGGCTTTATAAATTAGATTACTGGGTCCTCCTTAGGACCCGAAGAAACTCAAGGTAAGTCTGACCACAGGAAAAAGCATTGCAGTTTGAAAAGATAATGTCTGGATACAATCAAAACAAAGACAGAGAGCTGGTTGACAAGAAAGTCAAGTCTGCTCTTCAGAAGCACCCTTGACACTAGGGCCCCCCAGTCCAAGTGGTGCTGGCTGCCACCCTCCCCTATCAAAAGAAGCACTGATATTTCCAGAAGGACGGCTTGGCCTTGGGAAGTCTTGTCACATGGTCTGACCATCAACAATTATTACCTCTAAAAAAGTGAAACTGGAAAGAATTTGAGCACCGAGAAATTGGGCATAATCTTATTTTAAGACTATGAAACTAGCCTAAATTGGTTAATCACTAAGTTATCATTGGCACACAATATTATGTTTTATGACCAAATGAGATGACTTTTCTTTTTAGATTTCTGTTTTATTAGCTTATCATGAGTGTCATAGTCAATTTGTCCTGAAACATTTGGGGCCCTGATATAGTTGTATTAATTTCAGTAAAATTTCCCATGGTAAAATCATAAGAAATTTTCCTACTTTATTATTCACCATGAAGTTCATTTTCTTTAAATTAACAATAAAATTCAGCAAAAACTTAGTCCTAAAAATCAGTAAACAATGTCCTTTGGGAAAAGAACATTGCCAGATAAACAGGTAAATACAATTCTGGAATGGGTGTTCTTCAAGTCTTCTTTGACTAAGTGAACTGATCTTCACCCAGACATTGAACGAATGGCTTAAGTAGGATTGCCTCTAATACCCTGTGCAAATGATTCTTAGGGTACATTTTTTTACACACAGGAAGGCAATCTTATTAAGATGTGAAACAGGACAGGATGTGTTCATCTTACCATGAGGATATGGTAGCAAACTAAGATGAATATGGGCTACAGATACTTGGAAGAGTGGCTCTGTCCCTTTGTAGTACCAGTAAGAAAACTAACTACAACCATTCAGTATCAAATACTCAAACATACTTTCCCGGTCTAAACAAATGTTCTATGTTAAAGTATTTTCTACCTAGTCACTTGTTTGAAAATGTGTTTGGCGTCCTCGGGGATGGCATGTCACACAGAGACTTTAGTTGGTCAATATGCCCATGATAAAAGACTATGGAATGCCCAGTCCTAAAAGTATTGAACATGTTACCCCCTCTCCCACAAATTTCATAGATCTTAGGCAACAAGGGGTGAAAAAAGTCAGCGGTGGTGGGTAGCAATGAAGAAGCAGCATTCTCCAGATGTAACAGATAGTTCCACAGATGAACTCTTGGGGATGGTGAGAAAGAGCAAAAGACTTGTGCAAGCTTAGACCAAACAAAATCCAAGCACACAGGAGTGAAGATTGGGCACAAAATCCCAGCACGGAAGAAGGAAGATAGTTGGAGAGAGGTCAATACGGACAGTGAGAGAGGAAGGAAGCATAAACAACACGAAGGATGTTTGAAATGAATTGGTGGTCAGGAGAGTCCAAAAGACTCCCTGAGAAATGAAGGCAACTGATGTGGCCCTTGGGAGCTTCCCAGTCCTTGAAAGTAGGACCCTATTGCCAAAGACACTACACACTTCAGATGCAGGGTTTGAAGAATTGAGTTGAACTGCTCTGAAACTCTTCTTACTGAAGAATAACTCTAATAGTGATCTAGGATGTTTATGCTGTGAAGAAACACCATGACCGAAACTAAGCTGGGAAAGAAAAGGGTTGTTTGGCTTATTCTACCACATCACTGTTCATAACTGAAGGAAATCAGTACAGGAACTCAAATGCAGCAAGAACATGGCGGCAGAAACTGCTTCAGAGGTCCCGGAGGGGTGCTTTCTATTGGCTTGTTCACTGTGGCTTGCTTAGCCTGCTTTCTTATAGAACTCAGGACTATCAGCCCAGGGTTGGCACCCTGCACAATCGTCTGGGACCTTCTTCATCAATCAATAATTAAGAAAATGCCCTATAGCCTTGCCTTCCTTTCAATCTTATGGAGGCATTTTCTCAACTGAAGCTCCCTCCCCTCAGACAACTATAACATGTGTCAAGCTTACATAAAATTAGCCAGCACATGTAATAACCAGAGATGGCATGCAAATTGCAAAGGAAGAAAAGCAACCAATAGTCCTACCCAAATATAAAGCCTCAATAACACAATGATCAGCAGAAGTAAGATATCCTAAGGGTACAATAGTGGCTCTTCTATCATGGAGGGAATGAACAGCTTAGGGGTGGAATTTGTGTACATTGAAATTAAGGCCCACTAAATAAGAGGGAAATCATGCCTGGTATTATAAAGCTTGCCAACTACAAGTGGGTAGTGAGGTCATGGAATTTAGAAGAGATCATAATTTTGCCATACTTTCCTAAAACAATTAAATCTCTAGTTCGATTCCAAACATGTGTCCTTATACCTACAGACTAGTGTAGCTCCCATTCCTCATCAAAGTCAGAGATAATAACAGAAAGTCATAAATGATTAAACTACAGAGAACATCTGACCATGGGTTTTCCAGCCCCAACCAATAGATCCAAAGTACAATCCGCATACCTAAGGACCAGAAATCATTGCTGAAGAGGGGGTGGAAGATTGTAAGAGCCAGAGGCTCTGGATGTCTGCTACGAGATAGTGTCTTCTATTTATATACAACAGAAAGTTGCCCACATGAACTCTCACAAATGCTGTCTCCTAGAAAAAGCCTGCATAATGACAAATCTAGTTAAAGTGTGCTGTGCATGGTTTAAATCTCAGCAGGCCCTACTCCTACATAAAGATCCACAGGGAGAAACAGTATTATCTAGGGACGAGTTCCCTGACACATTATCCAGCCACGATATGTCAGCTCTAAATCTATAAACATATCAGTAACATTGAATGAACTCAACAAGCTGTATTTATAGATGCATGTGTATAAAAACTAATTAAAGATAAGGCAATAAAGTGAAAAAGGGGTGGGTATGAGAGAGGTTGAATGGGAGAAGAAAAAATGGAAATTATGCAAACGCAGCATTCATATATGAAATTTTAAAAATATAAATACACATGACAGTTGTCATAATTACATAACACCAAATCCATGACTTTTTTCTATAAGAAACTTAAAATCATTCAGAAAGGACGGCCCCTTTTACGATGGTGATTCAAAAATGCTTATTACGGTTCTCGTGAAACAAGTGCTCTTGGGGAACTTCAGTTCTTTATAAGCAAAAGGCTCATTAGAGTGTCTCTTTTTTTTATTTTGCAGAACTGTTCAAAATGGACCTAATTACTCTACTTCCTAGAGAAGGGCTCACAGAACAAAACCACACATAAGCATAAGGTGAGATAAAAGCTATGCCCAGAAAATACATTAATTGCACATGTATTTGTTGCTAGATGGTGTCCAGTTCATTGTTTTTGTGTGACTTCACTGAAAAAATTACATATTTTCATTTAGAAATTTAATTCTGGGACCAGTGGTGGCTAAACAAACTATGCATATAGGTTATCTATATACTTTATATATAAGAAATTTTAAGACTTTCTCATATATATATATATATATATATATATACACATACATACATACACAAATCCAGGGATTTGCCAAAGTATACCATCAAAATAGCATTTCTAGAATTGGAGTTATATGTATATTCATTGCGCCAAGCTAATAATAATTGGATCTATATTATTCAATAATTAAAATTATTATAAAATAATTAAAAATTATATATTAAATTTATATTTAATTAGAAATTACTGTGTAATCAAGCCCTTTCTATCCTTGGGATAGGTATAATCATCATCTTCATTCCACAGACAAGGCAAAAAGCACGGGGCTGAAAAATAGTGTATCCATTACAAATAAGAAAATTTACGATGAGTTCAAAGCTGGGCAATAAGTTGAAAACACTATGACTTTCCTAAGTTTTATTAGTAGTAATTACTAATGCAATATGCCATGGACAGCAGGCTGTTCTTCACATCGTCTTTATATGAGTTCAAACAAAGAAAATGATTATGACCAACCTTTATCAAAAAAACCTGGCAATCACTGATGTAGTCATATTCCAACCCATCAAAGGAATAATAATGCCGATCCCCATATACTGTGCACACTGCAGGACATGGATAGTATGTGCAGTTGAACATCCCCCGCCGACAAACACTATTGAAAGATAACAATAATTATCTTGTGAAGAAATTAGGTTCAAATTATTTTTATTATATACATGTGTGTGTGTGTGTGTGTGTGTTGTGTGTGTGTGTGTGTGTGTGTGTGTGTGTGTGTTGCCTAAACGTATTTCTGTGTACTATGGGAAGCAGAGTGCTTGTGAAGGCCAGAAGAGAGTCTTGGAGTCCCTGAACTGGGACTCAAACCAGGGTCCTCTGCAAGAGCAGCCAGTGCTCGACTGAGAGCCACCACTACAACACTAGCAATTTTCCAATAGCCTAAACATTGGTTCTCAGAAGCATTCAGAGTCAATAATGCTTATAAGTATTGCCAATTCATTCTTATAACACCTATTGCAGTGAAAAATTTGTCATGTTTTGACATTTATAGTACCAGACATCAAAATTAAGTCTAGGACACACAGAAAATAGGCAATTGAATGAAAATTTTATATTCAAGGTTCTATATTCAAAATTTTAGAACACTTGCATATATTTTACTGAAATTTTAGCAAAAGAAATAATTATTTATATGACACTTTTCTCACTGACTTCCAAACAATAAAACTTCTATTGAATAAGGCCTTCTCTTGGTAACACTTAGCATTTTCTTATGTGTGTGATGATTCTCCTATTGTTGCCAAATTGTCTTATTTCCTACTTCTAGGCTAACAAATATGCACTTAAAATGCCATTATCCCATCAGGAAAATCAGTGACTCAACTTCCAATAGCCTCCAGCTCTAATATGTGCAAGCTTGGTTATGAATCCCTCTTGCTAGTCAGACACGTCAAGTCTCGGCAGTCAAACAACTGAAGTTAATACAATTGCTGAGGAAAACTTCCACGGAATAAATGGCTGTCCTTACCAGGTGTAACATGGCGTGGAGATGACTTCCCCAGAGACATACTCCCAGTCCTTCCAGATGCAAGGACAGCTTTCAGGAACGTAGCACTTCCCCTTGTGCTCCGCCATTCTTTCAAATGAAGAGGTCACATGAGTAGAGAAACCGGCAAGCGTCAGGCAGGCTCTGGGGCTCTAATTTTATCATACTCAACTCTGAGTTTGTATTGGAAACTGAATCTGGTCTCTCTCTCTTCCCCCAACGACGTCCTTGTGTATCACAGTATTCGCTCAACACTAAGAGCATTATCAGATATGATTTGACCTCTTGTTTTATAGCACAATAATTATAAAACACGAGAGTATATTATAACACGGCCAGTTGTTCTAGAAAAAGCCATTTGAAAAGAAAATGGGCGGCACAGTCACCATTATTAGCTACTAAAAGAGGCTGTGTTGTCTGACAGTTCCTGGCAAAGCAATAAATTATAACAACAATAATATTTTCTGCTAAAGAATTTAGAGAGCAAACAAGAATGCTTCCAGGTGTTAAGATATAAAATATGACAGTTTGATTTAGGTATATTTAAATAAAATATATCAAGTATTTAACTTCCCTTTATGTTAGTATGCTGTTTTGAATGTGCAGTTTGAAGTGTTTTCCCTTCTTAAAAAGTTACCACACAACAAACTATCTAAAGATATCTACTACTATACAGCATTTAGTGCATATAATTTAAGAGCAAACTCATAATGTTGGAGAAAATGGTGTGCTATCAAAATATTCTGGTATTAAGATTAAATAAATCTACATTGCGTAGATTACATATATATACCAATATCCTCATTATAAATATAATTTTTCAATATTCTTATAATTTCCCTATACTACCCTGAACGCACCCAATCTCATCTAAAATCCTGTATATAAATTGAAATAATTAAGAAGCATAATAATAATAAATATAATTGTAATGTTTTAAATATCATTTAAATATATAGTAAAGTCACTAAAATGTCACATTTGAGTGAACCTCGATAATTGGAATATTCATATTTTATGAATAACTAATCAATTAAATAATTTTAATAAAACAAAAATGAATGAAATATATCATTACCAACATATACAGAACGCATTTTTATGATTTTTTTAAATGCTATAATTCAATGTTATAAAACATGAGGCTAAGGACTGAGGATTTACAACAATATCTAAAAGTCGCCCAGCATGTCCGAAACTCTGGATTCCATCCCCAGAACAATAAAAAAAATTACCATAAAGTTTTTCATCCTGAATTCCTACTTGATAACCACACATGTGTTTTCAGACCTCTGCTGTCCTCAAAGCTTTGTTTACAGTGTGGCGCTTTCTTACCAGTCTGTTAGACTACACACACTACTCACGAGGAAAATGGTATTTGCTATCATTTAGCCATGGAATAGACTTTTTTGTTGAGAAAGACTGCGTAAAGGAACTTGTGTGTGTCAATGATGTATTGTCCGATTCAATTTTTTTCCTACAGACCAGCTACTCCCCAGGTTCCGCACCCTTACCTCACTCTTCCAAACCTGTCCATCTTCTTGACTCTAAATCTTTTTTGTCTAAAATTCTTCTCATTGTTTAGGTCTCACTTTAGTTCCCTCTTTGCTCAGTCTTCTCTGTCCCTAACTTCCTCACCAGCTTCGGTGCTTAACAGTCCGTATCAACTCCTCATTGAGGATTAATCAAGTGGATTGAATATTTGATTAGATGGGTGATAAAGACTCCAATAACAAAAGCAAGTATTTTGGTTTACTCTTACAGAGACACTATCTTTAAATATGCCACAGGCTCACTAACCTAACGACAATGCACTACGGTAAACTGTTTTCACCTTACACATACATGTATTTTAATGCCTCCCACAAATCCCCTCCCCCAAAATACAGTTTCATAAGCCTTAGTTGCTTCAGTCAAATGGACCACGATCTCTGTAGACCCAGACACAGCAATAGTCTTAAGTGATTATACAGAAGACTGATGAGTTTTTCACACCAAATTAAAGCTTGGGAGAAGGAGGAAGACACTGTCCTTTTGGGTCTTTCTGGTTGGCTCGGGGGTGGGGGAAGCAGGCAATAAACCCCGACTGGGCACCTACTGTGTAACTGGTCTGCTGTGATATACTCAGCCATCCATAAAACAAACACTACTACACTCATTTTTAAAAGAAATTGAAACTGGGTAAGCGTGCCCCAAGGTTATTTAATAAGGAGGGCCAATATTTGAAGTCACCTATATTGACTTTCCCTCAATTTTGCATTAGGGCAAGGATTTCTAAACTAGGCCCGTGTAGATCTTTTACAGCCACCAAACCTATCAGGATCCCAGAAAACAGATGATATACTAAGGCACTGTCTCAACATGAACCAGAAAAGGTCATACTGAAGGGAAGATAACTTAATTATTATCGCTGACCTTTTACTAGAAGTGTTTCTGTTTGTATTTTTTTTTCTGAATCTACCAGAAGCTTCTCAGTTCCTTCTAGCGCTATTTCAATGTAATTATGGAAAGAGAGGTGGCACTTCTCTACGTTTCTTAATAAGGTTAGCCAGGAAATAAATGTCAAGTTTGAACTGAGAGTCAAAGGTAGTAGTAAACACCATCAGTCGCTGAAATACAATTTAGATATGGCTTTAATCGGTCATGCATCCCAGCAGTCACAATCAAACAGATCAAGCCATGTTGCAGGTTTTAATTATTTGACCACAATAAAAATTTTCTTTCCCTTGTCCTTTAGATAAATTGTTTTCCTTGCTCGTCTATTCTATGGCCTGATTTCCACCTGCCTTTGCTCTCCTTGTATGAGGGTTCTTGTCTCTTGTAACCTTCTTTCTCTCCCTCATATGCCTTTTTCTAGACAGATTGACATCATTCCTAGATACTTGGCTCTCTGGAGCCATTTAGATAAAGGTTATTCTCCTGGGAGGCAAGCCACAAGGCCTGTCCCTCCTGTGCTCTATTTATGAGTTGTTCCTGGGAATGTCTTTGTGGAATGTATTCACTGAGAAAGAATGAGTGACCCATTTACCTGAGATGGTCCTCTCTCTATCCATCATTAGACAAGCAATAGCCAGGGAGACCTGATTATATGATTCCTTACAAGGGAGCTAACAGCCTTCAGATTCTGTCTGTCTATTCTATTCTGTATTCTATGTACCACAGGTACACGGTATTTCTGCAACTGAAGGAAATGAATGAAGACTAGCCTGCAATTAAATTGTAATTCATATATATTGAACACGCTCTATACATGCACACTCGTGCACACACACACACACACACACACACATACACACATCTGACAGTATCTTACAGATCTTATAATGCCTACCTAGTTGAGGCTTCAGAGGAATGTGTAGAAAAAAATCATTCAGCTAACAGTAGCAGAGCAGGAATTTGAACTCCAGTGTGAATGCAGTCAGAGTTCCCACTTAAAGCAACCCCCTGTCTAGCCTCAATATCGTTACCTGAAATGTTTACAATTAAATCTGTCGGCTTCACTATTACAAATTAATATCACTGAAAATCACTGCATCACTGGAATGTATATGACGTATACCTAGATGGTGCTTTGAGAAAAGGTAACTGATGGTGTCGTATTCCCACTTGCAGCTGAAAAGGGAGAAATCCCAACCTTATCTTAAAATGTGCACTTTCTTCAATTCGGTGCATGGCTCCAGTTACATTGTACCATGTTGAGTTAACTTAGCAAAATAGTTACAATAGTCCAGTAGCTAGCAACTCAAAGTTAACCACTGGTCAAAACAAAGATTTCAACTATTCTTGAAAGAATGCTTTTAAATTACTTTTAAGTGTGTGTGTGTGTGTGTGTGTGTGTAAGTCCAAGAATGTGTGTGGATGTGCATTCATGGACCTAAGTGCCTCGTGCTTTGACTATGGAGGTAGAAGGGCAGCTCTTTGGAATCAGCTCTCTCCTTCCACCTTTATGTGGTTTCCAGGGATCCAACTCAGGTCATTAGACTCACAAGGCAAGCTCTATTAACCACTAAGCCATCTGTCTGGCCCCAAGAATATTTTGAAGAACCCTTACTTTTTCTGTAAATCTTAAATGATCATATTAGCAAGATAAGGAAACTCACCCTGGAGCGCAAACACAGCCACTTATGCAGGGTGAGGATGGGGCACAGGTGAAGTTCATGGCCAGGTTTGCACACGTGGTCTCACAATTTATACCACCAGCTGGTAATTCGGGGTCAGGAAACCTGCAGTCAAAGTATTCCTTCCCTTCTGGGCAGGCGTGAACTTCAAATACAAGCAAGGATAACATGGCTTTAACTTTGTATTGGCTTCACAAACTTAAGCCCAAAATTCATGGACCAAATCATTGCTGTAACTAAAGGATGCTCTCATTCATTGATCCTTGAGTTGATGAGCTTAGCAACATTATCTCCTCAGAGTTTTTCAGTCATCAAAATTTCCAAACGCTTTTTCAAACTGGAAAATCTTACCCACCTTCTCTGACGCGTCAATTAAATTAATTTAATTTCTTGAAGTACGTAAAGGGGGTATGTTGATTAATCAAACACACTAATTTTTTAAGAGCTGAAAACTATAACCCATATTTCAACAATTATAAAGCCATAATCAATATATATATATATATATTACTCATTGAACTTGCCTAACCTATGAATGATTATTTTCATCAGTTTTCCTGTGTTCTAAAGTACAAAAGTAACCACTACTACAGGGGCATGACAGGGGCTTCCTGTCTCTCCAGGAGGCTTTGGGTCTGTCAGGAATCAAGACCCTTACATAGGATCAGTGGGATAGAACGGGGAGGACTCCATTGAGGAAGCAGGCTACTGAGGCATCTTCGATTCAACTATGAGCTTTGTTGAAGTAAGAGGCGAACAGTGAGGTTTCCAGTAGCTCGTGGTAAAAATGACGCCCAGTATATGGCCTGGAGAGAAGCCTCAGACTGACCCAAATCCTGACAGAGTAAATCTAGAACACACCATTCAAAGGAGATCTTAATGCGTAGTTTTGGGTTCTAAGAAGTAGGCACTCACTCTGCAGCCCGGGCTGGCCTTAAATCCCTCCCTCTGCTTTAGCGTCTTTAACTTGGAGGATAGATGTGTGCCACGGGGCTCAGCTCACAGCTGAGTTATAATGATAAATAGCTGCGTGTTCAAATAAGTAACCGAGCCTAAATCTCACTACCTAACAGAATGAGAACCAAGAACTGTCGTTTGCCCAGAATTGTCCTGTAGTCCCTGAAAGTTTGACAGAAATACAGATTCATGCCGTCCCCTAACTGGGAGATTTTTCAGGATACACACTCTAGTGGGAAGGTGACGTTCTAAGAGAAATGGCAATTGACATATTTTTATTAGCCTATTGTTTCTATCTTCATTTTTATAATGGGGTCTTACATAAGCCATGTTTGCTTCTAACTCAGCATAGCTGACTCTTTCCTTGCAATCCAGACTGCCTTACCTCCAACCCCTCACTGCTGGCCTATAGGAGTGTGTCACCATGTTCTTCTCCTATGCTATTCAACTCGTTGCAACTAATACTCGAACCCTGCTACCAAGACACACCCCAGGGCCCAGGAGCACTGACATTTCCTTGACCATTGGTAGACATTCAGAATCGATAGCATTGCTCCGGAATCAGAACCAGGTCTCAGCAAGACCACCAGCACTTTGTGCAGGCATTGAAAACTGTGAAGTGTTAGTCTAAGACAGAGTTTTCTGATTTCTGATCCACAGCGGTGTTACAGCCAGCATCGGGGCTAGCTCCCTCAAACCTTTTGGCTACCCGAAGTGGTGCCTGGGTAGACAGTGTAAAGGTTACAGGCCTCAGCTGATCAGCTGTGGCACTAATCTAGGGGTTCTCAACCTGTGGGTCACACCCCTTTGGCAAACCTCTCCCTCCAAAAATATTTATATTATGATTCATAACAGTAGCAAAATTGTGGTTATGAAGCAGCGATTCAGTAACTTTACGGGTGGGAGGCAGCAAAACATGAGGAACTGGATTAAAGAGTTGTAGCATCAGGACAGTTGAGAGCCACTTCTGGGGGCAGCCTCATACGCTCACCTCTCTAACTGTCCCTCATATACTCCAACTCTTGATGTGAAGAAAGTCAGGAACCATTGGAATGCTATGCTGACTACGTGATATTACTGCATGTACGTGCTTGGGTAAGGAAGCCTGGGAGGGACTGGATGCTTTCTAGCATTAAAGTAAGAAGCAGTGTTTGAGATACATGAAATTGAATGAACAAAATGCATGCCCTGGCAATGTTGAAGCATGCATGGGCAGCCCATACATGGTGGTTCTGTTGAACTTGTCCATATTGGGTTTCATGGTTGAAGTTCATGAGGAGGACTGACTAGGTCTCTTCCTCAGGAGGGCACCAGACCTCATTACAGATGGTTGTGAACCACCATGTGGTTGCTGGGAATCAAACACAGGACCGTTGGAAGAGCAGGCAGTGCTCTTAACCTCTGAGACATTTCTTGAGATACACACTCCACAGGAAAATATCTGGAACTCACCAGTAGAGGGTGTTGCTGACTCATCACACTTCACAGTCCCATTTGAACACTGGCTAGAAGTAAAGAAATTGTTAATTTATAGACTGCCAAAGGGGGCTTCATACAAATAATTATTGAAGACAGCTATTTCATTTGGACATATTTGATCAAATTCTTCCACGTAAGGGGCCTGGTGAGAGACATGAGGAGAAAAACACCCCATTATTGTGAATGCCCTGGCCCAAGTGCTTCTAGCAACAGGGGAAAAGATGCAATTTGATTTATACAATGTAACACACTCAGCACACAAATACATTTAAAATTTAAGAGGAAAAAAAACATTTAAAAGATTTAAAAATCTGTTCATAACAGGCATTTATGTAGTCATGGGTAATAAGCCCTGAACAATACTAAAGGATAGAAGAGGGTTATGACTTAGATCAGACAGAAAGATTCTAATGCTTAGTGGAAATATACAAACTACAAGATACAAACCACTGTTCTGCTCAATCAGGTGCCGGGAGAGCAAAGAGGTAAAGCCAGACCCTGCTCTGATGCTAAAATTTTTTTCCTCCTGAGTTGAGCTGCCGCAGTCTTTAAACACGGAAGTGTGAAGTTCAGTTAGAATGTTAAGGCCACCATCCTGGGGCAGCATCAGTAAAGATGAATTGAGTCACAACAGCCTTGCGATTGCTTGTGACATTAAGAGAAAACCAAATACAGACAAACGAAGCTTGCAAATGCCTTAAGACGACAACATAATAGGAACACACACCAGTCCTCGGGGACTCCAGCACAGATTTCCCTTCGGCGTTGGGGCAGAGCCTGTGTTCTGTACTTGCAAAATGAAGCAACTGTCATATAAAGGACCACATCACATGCAAGCCATGTGCCCACATTTTTCTCAATAGAATGTCACTCAGGTGTATTCATACCTCAAATACCACAGAGGAACTGAGACAATCAGATCTTCTTAGGATACTTCTCCCGGGGCAGAGGCATTTGACAGGGTAGCAAACAAGGTCACGGTGCTAATTGGTTTTATTTTGGGCACTAAGCAAGGATGGATTTTAATTTTACTAAATATAAATAAATAAAATTAAGGATATTAAATTCAAAAGAAGGCTTTTCCAATACTTGGGAGGAGAGCACAGACAAGGAGACCTTCAGGCAATTGTTTTGCTGGAGTTTATTCGCTCTCAAACTCTTATGACGCTGTTAGAAGGTGGGGTTTAAGGCGCAAATTGATTTGGTCATGGGGAACTACTTCTGAAAGAGATAAAGATGTTTATTGCCTGAAGCAATAAACATAATTGCTTATTATTAATTAATTATAAATTAATTAATTATTAATAATAATAATTAATCTCTCAGAAATGGACTGTTTACAAGGGTGACTGTTATGAGCAGGTGGCTCCCTTGGTTCTCTCTCCCCTGTGGACCCAATGTTTTTGACGCCTTTAACATTGAGTTAAGTAAACCTTTACAAAGTGCCTGACCTCTGGTATTTTCTTACAGCAATATAAAACAAAGGCAATCGCTAGAAAGGTGCAGGAAAGAAGAGCTGAGTGCTCTGGGATGGGAAGAACAAAATAAAGTTCACCTATGTGAAAAAAAATAAAGTCAACCTAAATCCAAGATTGTTAGGGTTTTGAAGGCTGAGTGTGTTGAGCATAAGAAAGGAGTCAGAACGATTTTCAGATTTCTAGCTTGGGAAACTGTAGATAGTGGCATATTCTACATACACACACACACACACACACACACACACACACATACACACACACACACAAGATGCAATGGTCTCTTTGTGTTTTAATCAGGGGGTGGGAGAGAGATGGAAATAATTATAAAAAAGAGTGTGAATGATAGTTTATCATCGATACAAAATGAGCCATGAAGCAAGGCCTGCAATCGAGGAGCAAACCCTGCCAAGCCAGGTGCCTGGGCATAAATCCCAGCATCGTTATCAGGTTGCTTAATTACACGTGCCTCGTTCTGCTCCTGTGTGAATTGGGATAAAATGGCAGACCCTTATCTCTTGCAGTTACAGTCATGAGTGTTTAATTAATAATAAATATAGCAGGCCAAGAACAGTATTAGGACAACAGAAAACACACCACTCTGGCTCTATACAGTTGTTGGCATCATCGACACTTCAGGATCAGCTGTGAGAACCTGCAGGGAGCTAGAAGAAGGATGCTGGGAGACAGGCGTAGATAAACTGGTCCTGCCATGTGGACATGCCTTCACTTAGTAGACAGGTTATATCTGGAATGGGTGTTATCCTATCAGAGCTATTGAACAAGTTTGATCAATGTAAGGAGAAGATAAGTGACCCCTGTGTATGTTATTGTTCTGATCCATTCCAGAATCGATGCTTTTCTGAGCCAGTAGATGAACCATGAACCTATAAGCCCTCAGGGTGCAGTTTGAATTACTACCCCATTGCTGACATCTATTAAAGAACCAAAATCTATTAAAGGGCTTTTGTTTCACCAGTACATGTCTCAGGCATTTCCTATTCCACATTCCAATGTGATATATATGCAGTTAATATATGCATTGACACCTACCATAATCCTGAGGGTGTTGGAATGAGCTCCCCAGGCTGATAAACGCTCCCCTTGTAATGGCACCGGCAGTGATAGCTATAAGCAGACAGGCAAAGTAAATAAAATAAGATATGAATTTTTCCAACACAATTGAAATGGCAAATTGACTCCCTGCTCTGCGACTGGCCACCATTCACAGTTCTGATGTGCAAATAGCAGAAACTAACTGGACATAGTAATTAGAGAGTTTGAAGATCAAAATACTTCTCAACTGCTAGTTAAGTCGCAAGAAAAGTCTCCGGATGCATTTCAGGAAAATACACCTGCTGTGTCTTTTACTCCTATGTGCAAACCAAAGTCTTTGCTTCCTCTGAGGGCTAAGCCCTTTCTGAGAATGGACCCTACAATCTTACCACTCATGTGAAAAGGAAATGTCAATCTTGCTTGTGATTTTGGGTGTGGAGAAATCAAGTAGGAAAAAGCCTTAGGATTAACTGGGAGAATCTTTACTACTTTCTGTAACTTCCTGTGAGTATCTCAGCACATTAAGAAAAAGGTAAATAACAAAAGGAGGAAAAAGATACTTAGCCATGTAAAGAACCATGAGCAAAAGTTCATTTGACCTATCAGAGGGAAATCAGACACAGTCTGGCTGTCGTCCCGCCATCTCTGTGACTTACATCGGCACACAGAAGTTAAGGGTGTCCTCGTAGAATTTGCCTTCGGGACAGTTGCATCCTTCCGCACAGTCGTCGTTGCACTGCTCAGGGGAGGAGAGGGAGGTGCAGGAGCGGAGGCACAATGAGGAGCAGTGATGGTACAGCATGCCCTTCTGACACACCACGGCTGTGGACAAACAAGCGTCACTTACACAACCCCCACGCATAGAAACATATGCTCACTCATAGGTCCAAAGTAGATATAAGACATGCGGCAAACACTATCTTGTAGCAGTAAATGCATCACAGATTTGATAATAAAATCAAGGAATGAATGAATGAATAGATAGACAAACAGAGAGATGGCCTCATTAAGGGTGTAACATGGAAGTGAAATTCCTATTCCTCAGAAAGGCTATTAAATAGACATTCTGTGCCATTCTTAATTCCTGTACCATATTAATTCATTCTTACAGATGATGTCTTTAACAGTCTGAGTAAATTCCTGTGTGACATTTAAACCTTCATAGTGCTGTTCCTTTACCCTACTTTGCTCATCATTGTTTTGATAAAACACTGACTAAAACCAATTTGAGAGAGGAAGGGTTTATTTGGCTTACGCATCCTAACTGCAGTCCATCACAAAGAAAAGCCAAGACAGGAACGCCAACAGGACCAGACTCGAGTAGCACAAAGGAAAGGTACTTACTAGCTTGTTTTGAGGTACATGTTCAGTTACCTTTTCTTAAACAACCCAAGAACAACCTATCTGAGTCTGGCACTGCCCGTGGTGAGCTGCACTCTCCTTCATCAATTCACAATCGATGCCTCACCGTTATGGTAACAGACCACTCTGATGGAGGCATTTCCTCAATTGGGATCCTTGTTTCCCAGATGGTTCTCGTTGTGTCAAGTGGACAAAAACTAACCAGTATGGACATCATCACATTAACCATATTCTTGAAACCTAAATAAGCATTCGTCTATAAATGTGATGCAATTTAATCTTATTGATCCATACAGTGTTTGTTTCTTTAAGTCATGTTTATGCTTTTTTATTTCAAAAAAACTTCCAACTTCTCTTTCGGTCAAATGGAACTAAAAATGGCAGGCAACTAGTTAAACATAACCTAAAGTAGATCTACACAATGACAGCACCAGCTGACATAGCAGTGTAGATGGGGGAATTCTCCTCAGTTCCTACCCCTAGATGAATAACCATAGGCAATTAATAGTTGTTAAGAATCAATTTGTCTTCAGCCCCTGATAGGCTGTCTAATTCCATGTGCTTGGCCATAAATGCATATATATGAGTAATATTAAATAGTCTCAGCAGGTTGTATTTATGTAAAAATATGCAGTAATAATAATTATAGAAGAAGTCATAACTTTGAGAGGGAATGGGGAAAACGGCAGCAGTTGGAGGGGGAAGGGCAGGGCAAATGATAGAACGCTCACATGTAATATTCTCAGAAAGAAAATAGTAAATTAAAAAACATTTGAAATTTTCAAAGAACTAATAGGAATACTATTTTTAACATTTTTACTTATTTAAGGTAAACAAAGATTTTAAATAAAACGCCTTGATCATTCTGACTCAAACATAATTAAAATTACGTTAGGTGTGTAATGTAACTTTGTGAGAACGGAAGTGGAGAAGATTCCAGACACCATAAGCAAGGAGAGAACTAACGCGCAAACTCTGAAGTAGAGGAGGGGGTGTTGATCCTAGTTGCCTTAGATCTTAGATTTCACTCTTGTGAGAATGGGAAAACCCTTATAAAAACCAGAACGTGGAAGAGCCAGGCTGGAGAGATGGCTCTGCCATTAACGGTTAGGCTCCCCGCCAACACAACAGGAGACGGGAAGAACCATAGGTGACTTCTCAGAGATGAGAAACCTCAATTGAAAAGGGGACTAGGGCAGGGGTCAGGTGTGTAAGGGTCTATGAGCTCATATTCCCAGCCTTATAGGCCCTGAGCCCTGCTTCTATAACATGAGAGTGGGCTGTATGAAACAATAAATTTGACAGTTTTCAGTAAACTTCCATTTTTAAAAAAAAAAAGAGTCAAAACAAAACAAAAACAAAACAAAACCAGGAGGTCTAAGAGTTGTGCTGGAAAAATAATTATAGGGCACATATAGAATTTCTCTTATATGGAACAGCAGACATCATAATTAGAAGTATTAGGAATCAAGAAGACGAACTAGCAACTGCCTACTGCATAGTGTACCTGTCTAACTACAGCTCAGTTGTATCACTTGGAGCATCATCTTCTTCCATATTCTTCACTGTTTAGATATGATATTTCCAGGATAAGAATATTTTCAAATTTTCCAACTATTTCTAATGCTTCTTTCAATATAAATAATCATACTCTAACTTTGTAATAAGTAACAGTTATTAGTGTTTTCCTCTGCGTATCTCTCTCCTCCTTTCACTCCTTCTTCTCTCTCTCTCCCTCTTCTAACTCCACAAATTTAAATGAAGAGTCTCTTACAAACACTATAGTACTCAATCCTTATGTTATTAGTTCTTTTATCCAACATATATCTAGTTGAAACCTAACTCTATATTCATTTATGTTCAATACTTATACACTATAAGAATACTTCAACTAATTTACATACAATATTGACATCTCTTTTATAAAGTCAAAAGTGGCCATTGTGAATACAACCCTATCAAAAGAGTTACCTGGTCATCTGCCTGTGCTGTCATACTCACCACAGAAGGAGATCTGCGATCTGAAATCAATGGGCACACCACGCTGGGCACATAGGTAGGCATAGTGGGCAAGAGCGTTGCACAGGCAGGAGCTTCCACACTTGCACGCGTCATGGCGGCACAGCTGATAGTACAGCCCTGGACTCACGTAGACGTGGCAAGGAGCAAAAAGCTCCTGGTGGATGACGTCACAGTGGGCTGCGTACCCAACTAACAGAACAAGAAGCCATGAATCTTTTGTAAACGAGGCCAGGTATTACCCTAAGAATGGGGTATCAAACCTAATCAAGTATAACCTTTCCTAGAATTGTATTGCTACTTTAAACGAGAGTCAATATGTTGAGCAACCTAGGTAACAGCACTGAAAACACATTCAATTGTCTTTTAGCCAAAAATACAGTGTTCCTGAATAGCTTGAGAAACAGGAAAGGCTGACAGAAATGGTAGCCTCAGTCAGCCCCAGCCTGAACATCGCCTCAGGAAACCTGTTGTGAGGACAGGGCAATTATTACTTCCTGGCCTCTGTGCACGAGAAAAGTGGTTCCCTATAACGGATAGGCTGATAAGTCTGAAAACACATTACTCCAGGTCTAGCAATCATTGCATTCCAATGGAGTCTCAGGGGTGAAAGACAATGGGGCAGATGTCACAGTCATTCGATTCAACATCTACACAATGCAGTGGCCAATATCTAGCAAACATGAATAGCTCACTCTTGCTTGGATAATAAATCTATGTGTGAAAGAATGGGTGAACAATGGCCAGAAATTAGGAGTTGAAATATACTTTGAAGTCTCGGAGACACAACAGTCATTATAGTATTTGAAGCAAGTTTGTACAATCGCAACTTCAAATCAGTCCTTGACCGAATACATTCCAGTGTAGGACTAGCAAAACAAGTTTGACCAGATCAGGGAGCTGAGATCTTCCAGAAAAAGGAGAAAGGTGAGGTATGTGGTTCCTTGATGTAAGTGTACCTTACATGCATTGGTTTCCTCATAGATAAAAACCAGTCAGTCTTTGTATTGTCATTGTGACTGAGAGGCAGATGGACATCAGATATTTTACTTTCAAGGAACAATACTGAATTCATTTTGTTGAGGACACCGAGCATATTTAATTACAATATGACATATTTTCACTAATTCTTCAAGAATTTAATACAATGCATTTTTATCATATTCACCACCCGACTCTTCCTCCAACTCCTCCCAGATCTGACATATTTATTAATAATAAAAATTCTAGTAGTTACCTAAACACTATTTTGCATTAAATATGCATGCATATGCAAAACAAATGACTCTACACAGTTGGGAGACATAATCCTAACCCCAAGAATCCTGAAAGAGTAAACTAATGCACTGATGAGGCCATTCCTTTGTGTTCTAAGAAATTGTAGATCAAATCATGCTGCTGTTGTTTAAGAGGTAACTCAAGAAGATCCTTGTGAGAAAATATCAAGAATTTGGTTCAAAGTTACTGTCTTTTAATCGTTTTTCCCTTCTTCTTGGGTCTTTCTTAATTTGCGTGTTTGGGGTTTTCAAGAAATCATAGTTCACAGCAAAGGCAAAAGAGAAAATCTCTAAAGCATACACCACAGAAGGCATCAAGTGTGAAAGCAAAGCAATAAAAAAATATGGTAAAACGGAAATAGTGGAGGCTGATAAAGACCACAGACAGAAGGCACAGTTTTGCAGGAATTCCATGAAACCTTTACAGGGCAACTTATAAATAATGAAGTCACAGCAACAACAAGAAGGAAATTGTCAATGTTAGAAACAAGATATTAAAAACCAATTGAGATTAGTTGAAGAAGTGAACTCATTTTTAAAGTATCAGGATGGAATGGAGGAAAAATGGAAATGGGACGTCAAAGTAATAAATGATACAGGCCAAGATTCCAGTACTCTTCAGATTAATCTTCAGATTTAATCTTCAGATTAAAGAGAGAGATTGACAATCCTCCTCATCAAGTTAAAAACATCTAATTTCTTTTTTTAAGTATTGGAAGTAAGATTATCTGTTCTTCCCAGCACATCCAAACTAAATTATGGACTCCCTGCTCATAAAGCTATAATGGATGCTGTGCATAGAAGTAAATAGGAGATGTACTTGAGTTATCACACTATGAAATTGAAACTGAGCATCCCAAAAGTCTGACAGCAGTAGTAGGATGCTTCCAGCATCCAAAAACCCCAAAACACAGACTGTGTTTAAGAAGAAGAAAAATTATAAATACCCATGATCTGTAAGTTTTTAAATGCAAAGTAATGGGGTGTTTTCTGTTCTTTTAAATATCCTTAATTGCATTTAACAGGCATGGATGTAGGCATACGACTGAACAAAAACACATAAGGAATGGCAGTGCTCTTCCATAATGAATAAATCATAATTTCAAATCATAGCATAATGTTCCAAAATTGGAGTAACGTACTGAGCATCTCCCCCTAAGTCTACATGCGAAAAGGCAGACTTACTGTTCTGTTGGTTGATGTTACAGGGGTCCACCATCGGGACGTGGACAGGAGCAAAACAAGTGGAGGAAACTCTCCATGCATGTGCATGGAGCTGTGGGGTTCCTTCTATCATGCCCGACGGAGAGCTGGAAAGTCAAGAAACTGTTCATCATCGTCTCTCTCCTTCACCTTATTCATGCATATCCTTCAAATATTCCAATAACTAAACGTTCCTTTTCTTAATGTTCAAATAAATCTTAGAACCTCACGTTTGCTAGCAATTTCTAAGAAACATAAACATTTCAGTTTCCCGTAATTGAGATTTTTCAAGGTGTGAAATTATGGGCATATGTAATGTGATTGAATCTTCATTTGTGCTGTGTGATGAAATCTTCCTTATGCCCACTTTATAAAAGAAGCAAGAAAGTACCTCAGAGAAATGTTGACCAGTTTCATTAAGCTGGTATCCAAGAAAACAAGAGATCAGCCCTGGCTCCCACAGTACCCACATCACCAAAAACTCAGTCTGAGTGTGGATTAGGGTAAGTGTGGGAATGTAGAAGTGCAAAGTTCCTATGGTCTATTCAAGCTAATGGCAAATAGCATAAGGTAAAATGGCCTATACTCTCGACTCATTATATCAATTTATATTGTAAGGCCTGAAATACTGAGCAAAATCAATACCATTAAAATTGGTGTAAAAATTGATAGACTGTCACCCTTCCTTCAAATTTCCTCACGTCTTCAGTTTCCTCTGCAGACCAAAACAGAAGAGAAACAATCACCCTTTTAAAGTGAGACTACAATGTCAAGGAACCAAATATGAAATTCCACCTTCAGGGGCCCTCAAAACTCATTAATTCAACAGCCAACATTGGCTAAGTGATTCCCTATCAGTCCAGGTCCTGTGAAGTCTACTTATAGGGGTCACGAAGGCAAATCCAGTCTCCTGAAGGATATATAGGCCTGTACTCCCAGCCACAATGTGTCTGAGCAGAAGTCCAGGCTTGACTTCCGCTCTCATAGCACGCTAAAAGGTCAGTGCTTCGGTCACCAGCTAACTGAGACCAGTTCTTCAACGACACAGAAAGGAGAGAAAGAAAACGATGCACAAGACATTGGGTGACATTTCCCCTCATCCCCTGCATCCTCTCCTTCCTTTTCCTACTTTCCAACAAGCCCCCAGGATGCTAAAGAACTATAAGAAGCCTAAAATAAAAGTCTCATTTTGTTCAGATGAAGGTATTAAAATTCAGGAAATGGCCTGAGTTCTATTAATGTCCCTCCTTGCCTTTCTTCTCCCTGCCTCCTCCCAGGGAAAGCAAAATATCTCAGGGTTCCCAGGAGGAGCTACCCGGAGCCTGGCTCTCTTATTTCACTTGGTTGACTTAAAACAATAAATTGGTTAAAGATAGGAACCAGAATGTAGGCCTGTTTATTTATTGTATTTCACTTTATAAAATGGCCTTTCAGCTCATCATACTTGACTGACTCCAACAGGAGGGAAAATAAATTCCCAATTAATATTTTTCCATTAAACTATGTTTGTAGATTCGCATTAACCTTTGTCAAGTAAAGAACTTTAACTACTTTAGCTGAAAAGCTAAACAATGTTCAAGAATTATCTCTGACTGAAATATTATCCTGCATCCTTATCGCGCCTGAATGTTTATGCATGGAGGGGACTGGTGCCTCGGAGAGTGGCAGACAGATCTGCCATCTGTTAAACTCTGACTGCTAACCCATTCTGACAAACAAGGCCAAGAAAGAGGCTTAATGTCTTTTCTGGACATGTAAGCCAAGCCTCCTAGCCTGGTTTCTGTTTTGAAAATGTGATAGAGACATTGTTATTTTAACTTCAAGTAAATAAAAAAAAATCTGAAAGTAAATAAAATACGTTAGAGATAATGTAAGATAAATTTTACTTTTAAAGCTTCTAATTAAAGGATCAGTTCTTGTTAGCTCATTACACATCCAATGAACTTCTTGATGCACGGTTAAAAGTTCTACTCAGTTCGGCTGTCTATCCAGGATGAGCAAGTTCTATGATTACAGTGACCAAGGGTAGTAGCCTCCAAATGCTCACAACCCTTGCAGTTTGGTGCAAAAAACAATAAATGATATTCTCCTCACAGCTAATCCAGATTTGACTTCGGCTAGATATAAACTCAATTTTGCAAAGCAAATATTGTCTGCTTGGTTTGAATATTAAACCAGAGTTTACGATTAATATTACAAAGGGAAAAACCACAGAGGGAAAGATTATGTGTGGAGGTACTTGGGGGGAAAAGAGTCACATGTTATTTAGAGAACAGCTCTTCTATGATATATTCCCTGGATGCTCAGCCCACAACGACCTCTATGCTTATACTCTATTTCTGATTATAACCACAAAGGGCAGCATTTATTATTTTGAAATTACCTCAATATACTTTGTGTGTGCTATTAGCTTCTACCTCACCTGTCACTAAATAGTTCTTCATTAGAATCTTTTATATGGATATTACAAGCCAGCTTAAAATTGTCCATATTTAGTATGTACAATACAATTCTTTAACGTTACACGTATCCACTCTGCAATGGTTGAGCCGAGCTAACGGACACAGATGACACCTCGTATTCTTGTCATTATTGCATGAGGAAATTTGTCATTTAGCCTCTTACCAATGTTCAAGTATCTAACACATCGACGCTTGTTCCTATGCTGGATGGAAGATCTCTAGTCATCCACTGGTCAACAACTCCCTTCCGCTAGCTCTACCTTCAGCCCAGCTCTCAACCACTCCTGACAGCCATCAGGGTTGTTAGCTTTTAATTCCATGTTTCCTAATGGTTAAAATCCCTCCTTGATAGTGTAACATCAGTTTGCAGAGGATGAGTGCCCAGTCATTACTTAACTGGCTCCCAGTGGGTTTAGGACCAAAGGACCAGTACTCCCAACATGACCCTGAACTAAGAACTGTTGGTTCGAACAGGTGTTGCCAAAGCACATTCTCATATCAAGGAGACAGATGTAATTTATTGCAATGCAACAGCAACTTTCAGAAAAATTCAACGAACTTAGACACCCAAATTTGTCTCATAACTAACAGGAGTGCCAAACAAAACTAGCACTTACTGTAAATAATAATTAATACAGATAACATTAGGATTTTCTAAAAGGTTGCAAGGTTCTAAAAGCAGATGCCTGAACTTGCTATGTAGCCGAGGAGAGCGCAGGCGGCAGCAGTGTGCCACATCCTGACTCCCATTGCATGAAGTCAAGTCAAGCATCACTCCAGAATGTGGGCTAGCTAGTTCATGGTTTGTTAAAGTGTGGTCAGGACACATATGGAGTCGTGCAAATGAAAGGTGGTCATTACAAGTTTGGCAGCAATTAAAGGTTTCTGAAAAAGCAACCGCCCAAACTAAATTCCAAGACAAATGAGGTCACACATGGAACAGGTGCCTATAATACTAATGCTCGGGAGGTGGAAGCAAACAGACCAGGGAGTCAAGGCCAACTTCGGCTTACACTGTAGGTTTCAATCCAGAATATTGTAGGCTGTGAATTGTGGTGTTTAAGCCGCACAAAGACGTTGACTCTTACGCAAACATACAGCTTTGTTTCAGAAAGCGTATTTTTAATGTTTTCTACCATCATTCCTCCCTCATGTAAAGATCAAATTAATGTATCTTTGGACTGTATTGATAGAACACTTGATTTTTGAGCATTTTACTTGCTGATTTGAGTCTTGCTTTGAAAGTCACCAAATTTTGGCTTGAGGTTAGGACAAATTTTTCAAGAACATCTGAAATGACTTTAAACGCGGCTCTACCGTTTTTTCCTACATTTTTTATGTGAAACAGCATTCTCAGTATTGATGATTATAAAACCAAAATATTAGGTGAATCGGGCTGTACGTCCTGCAGTAGGGCATATTCAATTCATGTGTAAAAACACAGTCGTCTTCTCACTATGCAAGTTTACTTTCATCTTAAATGGTAAAATTATATTATAGCAAAGGATTGTTTAAAATAATTTTTCTTATAGCTTATTATCACTATATGTTTCATATATATTTCAATTTCATGTAGGATTACATAAAAGTTCACGGATAAAAGGGGTCTTAAGTGGGAAAACTTTTAAGAAATCCTAAGTGACCTTGAATGACTTTTTTGTCCCTTGGGGGTCTTAGTTTCTTCTCTAATTACTGAGACAAGAACACTAATTGGGGGGTGGCTATACAAGTTAAATATGATGGTATATGTGAAGTGCTTCGCCAGCGATTGCTGACCTCCTGTTCATTATGTAAACATTTTTTAATGAGTCGCCCTCCTCTAAACTGACAGTCATTACACTCAATGAGCTGTACATAAATCACACTTACAGAAAGTCATCTCTGATGTTGCCATTAAAGGTGCCACACAGCCCTAAGGTCCTTCTTTTCCATGCACTGGAGAGCTGTATGTAAATTCTTTCTCCATCAATAGCAAACAAGATCTTTAAGCCAAAGGTGGTTCTCAGAAGAATGAATAAGGAGGACAGAGTTTGGATTTCCACAATGCCTGGAGGGAAAATAACATATATAAATGAGTCTTGTCGCACAGAGGCAGTGTTCTGAAAGGACCGAGGATGACACTAGGCCTGTCCCCCTAGGACACCTGCAAGTGTGTAGCCAGCTGGCAGGACTTTGTCTATGCTCCAGGGATGAATCTTTCCTAATGGCTTCTTGTTTTCTCTTGTTTCCTTCCCTCTCTCTCACTTTCACAGTCTTTGGCAGTATTCCATATGAACTGTTATCAACACGTAATTCCCATTGTCAAACATCTCAAAGTGGATATCTTAGACATTTGCATTCTAATCATCGTTCTCAGAGTGCGCGTGCTGGCATGTGTGGTGTACATGTATATGTATGTGTGCAGTGGGAATGAATAGTGTAGCAGAGATGTGGTATTTGATTATATGGGGTGTGTTTGGGGTGGAGGTGTGGTGTGTGACCTGCGTATGTGTATATTTGTGTGTATATGTCATTTATGTATGTTTATGGGGGACGAAGTGTGTGTGCATGTATGTATGTATATGATGTGGTGTAGCAGGGCATGTTATCCTAAAGGGGCCATGATCCATTAGGAAGTATCAATTTCCTTAAAACTATTCCATATTTTCGTGAATGCCAACAAAAAGAAATAGAAAGTATAGCTCTTGGTAATCACTATTTTATGAGACACAACACAGGCAAGCTCATGCTCAAAACTAAAGGAGTGACTTTCTCACCAAAAGTTCTTCTTTACTCTTATATCAATTTTTTTTAAGATTTTAAATTTCTCAATTTGGTCCCTAAAGCCATAAACCTGAAAAATCTTTGACCACTGCATTTTCCTCATTGCCCTCCCCAAACATCGCCAATGAATCCAGCAGTAAGTGCCGGCCACTTGTGTTCTGACAGACCCTCATCAGTCTGTGTTCCCCCTGTCTCCACTCTCTCTGCCTTGGAGCAGCTCCTCCTTGGCTCTGCCATGCCTCACTAGCCAGCGTGCTGCATGTTGTATGGCTGATATCTATCATCTCAAAATCACTCCCACAGTGCGGTCCTCATAGTCACAAATAAAAAGGGAAAATGAAAGAAAGAAACAAATTACAACTCCTTAAGACTCACTGTTTATTTGGCTAACGTGTATGAGATTGCCATTTCATAAAATGATAACTATTTTATATTCATTTCTATATGAATTTTCTTAACATGAGACCTGAACGACACTGACATGTAACACAAGCTGGAACGTTGCTGAGAGTTCTCACTGGGAGAGCAAAAGAATATCCTTAATATCTATGCTGCAATGTAGACATCAACAAGGTCCATCTCAGGAAACTACCACATACAAAGCCCTCGACATACTGTTCATACCCCACCTGCTTTCCTGATGTCAGCTCTGGATAGTCTCCGTTGCCCTATCAAGGATGTAGCAATGTCAGTCCGGTTATACAATCCCCCTAATAAGTTTCACACACTTATCCCTCACTTCCCTCCATAGCTCTATCTCAGCTCTTTCATCCTAAGAATTTCTCAGCTTCAAATCTTCTCTTGACCCAGAAAGCCCTTTGCCCAGTGTTGGATGGGCTACTCCTCATTCGAACCCGGAAAATCCTACACAAATCTTTGAGTCTATCTCATTTTATTTCGAGAATCTGATTGCTTGTGCAAATCCTAGGCCTCTATCTCCCTTTATTTCGAGATTCTGTTTGCTTGTACAAACTCTAGGCCACTTGAGAAAAATAGTAAATATGATGGCCTCCAGTATTTTTGGTAGAACGACACCAGTACCCAGTAGATGTTTTGTCATCGAACAGGAAGAAAATGGGCCATTTAGATTGTGCTTGCTATCAATGCTAATGCATGCACAGCGTTGCTTCTTACCGTTCAGAGTGAAGCCATGGTTGGGACTGGTGAGGATCTGGCCTCCCCTACTGAGTGTCACTTGTTTGTTGAAATCATCCTCCAGGATTAGAGTTATGGACTGAAGGCAGACCAAACCCAAGTTCTGCATAAAAGTCAAAGTATTGGTGATAGAAAAGAAGAAACAGAGGCAGGAAGGTGGGAGAAGGAAGGGAGAGAAAGGAGAAGACAGAAAGAGTATGTATAAATAATTTCTCGTACATAATAGAGACGATGTTGATGATAGATATAATGAAACAACTGATACATAATCCATTTCATATAATCCCACCCATCACAATGTATGGCTTACTATGATATATCAAATATGATACAGATTGCAGAAACTGTTTAATAGCAACATTTTCAGTCAAGTATCAGCAATTGTTTTCTAAGATACATGGCTCATCACTTAGCAAGTACAACTGACAAACTTGTCAAGAAAGATAATTGCATTGTACAACCAAGCAATTTAGGACTCATTCTAAAGCTAATTCAAACACTAATAAATTTCAATGAAAGAATCAAGTTGGAGCCAGGCACGCCGGCTCACATGAATATTCCCAGCATTCCAGATGCTGAGGAAGAAAGAGTGTTAAAAATCTGAGGTTAGACTGTGCTACATAGCAAGAGTCAATCTCAAAAACAAACTATGGAGGTGGGAGCAAAGAACTTAGTGTATAATGTTTGTTGAAAATGGCCTTTTATTGGAATTATTTTTTTATTTATTTTTCTTTTACATATTACATCCCAACTACAACTTCTCTTTCCTCATTCCACCCACCTCTCCTCTCCCTACCCCCAATCAATTCCTCTCTTTCCTTTCAGAAAAAGGCAGGCCTCTCATGGCTATCAGCCAGCTATGACATATCAAGTTTCCATAAGACTAGGCACCTCCCCTCATATGAAGGCTGGATGAAGTAATGTAATAGGAAAAGAAAGATCCAAAATATCAGACAAAAGAGTCAAAGACAGCCCCCTCTTCTACTGTTAGGAGTTTAACAAGAACACCAAGCCACACAACAATAACATACGTGCAGAGGTTCTTAGTGAAATCCATGCAGGCTCCCTGATTGTTGGTTCAGTTTATGTAGACTCCAGGTTAGTTGTTTCTGTGAGTTTTCTTGTGATGTCCCTGACCCCTCTGGCTCCTACAATCCTTTCTCCACCCCCATTCTTCTGTAGAATTACCCGACCTGATTATTAAAGGTTTGGCTTGGGTAAACTTTTGAGATTATTTTTCCTTTTGTAACAAATTACTGATTTTCTATTTAAAGAAAAGATCCAACATCAATATTATAAAAAGTCAAAAAATTATATGTTGTATTATTACATATCATGTGTCCCTTTAGAATAATATGAAACCTACTGGATCCTATGCAAAAAATACCCTGTTACACAAATAGTTTGGCAATAAATTAAGGCTTAGTCCTATAGTGAAGTCATGCATTAGGTTTCAAAAAAAGAACATACATAAATAACTTGGAGTTATTTTTGTTTGCAAATGTAAATACATCTAAAGCCAAGGTTCTCGACATCATCAATATATGTCATGACTAACAGTGAGGATTATTCATTCTTTTGTGATATATTAGGAATAGTGACATATTAAAAATCAATACATTAAGACTATTTTGTTAATCAGTGTTGTCATTTAATCAGAGTGTGAAGTTGTAGTTTAAACTGTGATTATTCCCCTGCTTTCTGTTGGGCATTAGCACTTACCTGTTCACAGTGAGCTTTCTGTAAAGTAATTGTGAATTTATCTTTTCCAGTTCCTTTCACGAGGATGTACTGGCACAGGCCAATGAAAGAGTAATGGCGCCCATCAAAGGTGGTAAAATGAGAGTCGCCCACAACAGAGCACTGAACTATCCAAAATAAATAAGGAAGGAGAAGAACACAGAGAAAGGAAGGAGGAAAAAGTGTGTTAATTCCTGAACAGCAAGAGGACAACTTACGATAAACAAGCATACCTCAAAAGAAAATCTAAAGTGCAAATTTATTTACTGATCTGACAAATTAAGTTATTAAATTTCATTTAAAAATTATTAAATGATAGCTATTCCAAGTAGTTTTAGACATTATATTAACCCATTTTTACAAAATTTTACCAAAGTTGCCTACTCAATGGTACCATGTATTCAGTTTCCCAATTATCCTCTATTAGCAAGTTTTATGTTATTACATGTTTTGATGTATATATGAGATGCATTCATAAAAGCCAGTGTTGTTTTCCCTTCCAAATTAAAAACTACTTTTTAAGATTTCAAGATTGTTTTTCAACATTTGAAGAAATTACCTGGACAGTCATGCTCAGTGCAGTTCCAAACTCCACCAACGCATACACTAAATAAAATCATAAAGATATTAGCCTGACACAGACATTATGCTGACATTTGCCTCAGTATATCGATTAATAGACAAAACATAATAGGTTCTCTATTATCTGACTAGTATTCTAAAAAGTTAGACTAATCATTATGAACTGGATGGTCCATAAATGGCTATCTATTATGTATCTATTTAATGTCACCAGCCACAGACAAGAGGAAAGAGATGTCTTCTTGTGGAAGACACAGACTATAGCCTTCTTTCCACCTTGACAAAGTGAGAAGTTTTTGGAGAAAGAAAGGGTCTCTGATGACACCAGCGTCTGAAAACATGGTTAGTTATATGATGAAATGTCTTTGATGCATACTGACAGCAAAGAGAAAGGAACCATGGTCATGTAGCCTTATATATTTGCCTGGGAGTGTCCTTGAGGAATCTCATGCTTACCCTGAGCCTAAGCTACGTTAATAAGAAATTGGAAATCTTACTGATCATGACCAAAAATTGGCAATAGACAGTCACTTTATAAATTATCCAGTATGTAAACCCAGGGGCACTACCTAGTTCTAAGAATAAAAGCATGTGCGAATTAATGCTTATGAATAACAAAATGGGATGGGTGGCATATGGGCAGAGGATTTTATGAAATTATAAAGGGAAATAATAAGAATACAAACACATAAATATAGCAAACGTGTGCAGTTCAAGTAAAATACAAACTGCGTTTCAGAATTCACGGATGGAACCAGGTTGTTAAGGAGAATGGTACCTAGAAATTATTCTTTCCCCATGGACCACTTACCACTCGGTGCACTCTTGCTCAATTTTTGAACCAACTGAATAAGCTAACCCATGGAAACTACATGGGCAACTTTCCAAAGAGATGCAAGTCCCATTGTCCATTATGAGGCCTGTTTAAGACAAATAAATGTTATATTCTCAAAAAAAGAATAAGGGTTACATTCTTTGAAGATACAACAACTCAGTCATGTGTTGAGACCTTGCTTATGGTAGGTGCTAGAAACAAAAGCTTTTTGATTGTCAGGGAAGAGTCTAACAACCTGGTTCTCAGTCATGTCTCCCTTATAAAGGTTTACGTCAGTGAAATTTCAACTTTGATTCCCTGTCCTTAACCATCAAAATCTCCAAGCCTATCACAGAGAAGAAAGGAAGCTGAAAAGTGCTTCCTGGTCTTGAAGGGAAGAGAAAGAAAGAAGTGAGAAAGTATATCCTTAGTTTATGTTCTGATCAGTCAAAGATAAAAGAGATTTACACTGTTATCATGCAAACACTAAAAAACAGTGCTTCTCACTGGTTCAACGAAGTGCATTTGCTAACACTTTGGGACGGTAAATGAGGATGGAGCAAATTTTAAATCAGCATTTCCATCCGCTGATCTTATTCATAGCAAGTTTGTACAGGAAAAAAGATTGGCCTACCATAGCACATGGATTTAAGCCCTGAAGCCACCGCATTATCTAGTGTTTGACTGTAAGCAAACACCTCAAGACCGCCACTGGCTCACCATACTGGCAAATCAAAAAAGGCACTGAGAAAATCACTTAACACCTTTATGTCTTTTCATTTTGAGACCTGGAGATGGACCAAGGTCTTTTGAATACTAAAGAAGTAATTTAGCCCTGGGCTACATGCCCAGTCTTCTTTTCCTAATTTGCCCTTTTTTTTAAGGGTGGGGAACATGTTGGACTGAGAATGTGGTTCCGTAAATAAAGTGCTTGCTGTGTATGTATAGGGTTTGAGTATCGATCTATAGGATGCAGAAAAGTCAGGCCTAGTGATGCTCTCATACAATCCCAGCCCTGGGTTATTGAACAGATGAATCCTTGAACTTGGTAGTCAGCCAGTCTAGCCAAAATGACAAGCTCCGCAGTTCAGAGAGACCCCTTCTCCAAAAACCAGTGGAGAGTAATAAAGACGCACACATAGCATCAGTTTCTGGCCTCCACGTGCATATGCTTACACACACAATAACTAATTGCTCATTTGCACACTCAAAAAAAGAGAGAGAGGAAGCTAGAAAACATCTTCAGCCCTCTCTATAGCTGTCTATCCATACAATAACTTTAAAACTCACTTCTACTGTCTGTTGTCATTTTCGTTTCAAATATGAAAACTACACTAGGACTAAAATCTTATCATGGAAAACTGTGAAGACTCTTTCCTAAACTCACTTTCATAGTCCAGGAAATAAAATTATATACAGTATTATGATATAGTGAGAAAATACATTCATCACCTTGGGAATTAAAAAATACTAGTTTCCAAGTTTCTGAATTTTTTGCAAAATAAAATACACACACACACACACACACACACACACACACACACACCCTTTTATTCAAGAAGAGGACACGTTCCTCTCAGTCACTTTAAGCATTGAATGCTACGAGGGTACAAAGTTGCGGTTGCTCTGATGTCCAGGAAATGGACAGCAAGACCAAGATATGGTCTTCCCGTAACCGAGTACCACGATAGAGGAGTACAGGCAGGGTTTCTTCGCAAGGCGCTTACCGTCAGCACAATAGCAACCATCAAGGCAGTGAAGATTACTCCCGAGACACTGCTTCTCAAACGTGCAGCTAGGGGGGCAACAGCTGATACAGTCCCGGTGGACAAAGCTGTCATCGCATTTATCAGCTGCAATGGGCACACAACGGGTTACAAGTCATTTTTTTCCAAAAAACAGGGTTGAGGAAATCGGTACATTTACAACTATGCCCGCCATCTTTTAAGGTTTTACAATGGGTTAGAGAAGTTAGGCAAGCTGAATTCTAGGATAAGGCTGAAACTTTTTGTCAAATACATGACTTGAAAACCACAAACGTACTGCATGCTGGGAAGTCGTCCCTCCAGTCTTGAATGGGAAAGCCAGCGTGAGAACACGCTCTCGCGTACTCGGTGGCTGCCCGACAGTAAGTTTCATCATCATCCGTTCTAAAAAAAAAAAAATTAAAAAAAAAAAAGATAGAGAACTGAGCCAGGGACACTTGGAAATCTAGATAGAAATCTGCCTTGGGCCCCCTGAGTGTTAAAGGCAATGAGGGTTTGTATAATAATGACGCTAACATTAGTTAAGGTCAGGATGCATATCTTCCATGACGTACCTTGTAGGAGACAAGAACGGTCTAAAACACACATACAAGAGATCCTAGATGAATACACCCACCTAAATTTAATACAATGTATGTCAACACCTTTATCAAAGCCTTTCACTTTTCCTATGGGTCAAGTAAAATTATAATGAAAAGTATTCATATTTAAATTTTTAAATCTTCGCATGTGTTTTTACTTCTACACAGACTATTCCAGACATTTTAGAATTTAATAGCCATTAAATGTAGATAAAAATTAAATGAAATTAAAACAGATAAAATTGTATTTCTACAAAAATATCAAGGATGAACATTTTTGGAAGCACCTCATTCTGAGTTGCCCAATAGTCCGTGGCCCTCCTAAGGATTACACTCATACCATATCAGTTCTTGCCATAACAGTCCAAAATATTTTTCAAAGACTTAATAAATATTATTTAACTGAAGATTCAAAAGGAGATTTCTGAGCCCTTTCACCAAAGCTGGACATTTTTACAGCATTGCCACAAGTAAATTATCTCTAATTATTTTTCTTGCAATCACTTTAGAAGCTCTATAAACAATAATTTCTTATGGGATCTGCCAGTTCCCAGAGCAGATTAACTAGGCGCTTTCAAAATAAACAGGTTTCTAACAAGGTAGCAAGCTTGGTTTTCAATCCCGTCCATACTCAAAATTGGATAGTTAAGCATCTTAAAAGATAATGACTGTAAGAATGTTCCATTCTGTGACTCTTAACGTCTTCAGCCTTTGGTATAAAAGCCACCTTCTCAAATTGCCCTTATTCTGTGCTACTGTAATTGGAGCCAAGTAGCTTATCTAGTTCAATTAACTTAGCTTTAGAAGGCAAAAGAGAAACCTGTCCATATAACTACAGGGGATCAGAAAATCCTCAAAGAACAAAAACAGAAAAGTTTTCCTGAAAGGACGTGTAAATCAAAAATTGTTGCGTTTCTAGAAGAAGTTTACCTTGAAATCTCATGGTTTACCTTAAAAGGTGTGAGTGTTTCTTACAATTAATAGTACTTTTGAAAGTTAGCACAGAAAGTGATTTGGGGATTGCCAAATGATGCAATAAATATCAAAATATCTGTCATTTACTGAGAGTCTATGTTTCTCCAGGAAGGCATCATTCAAGGCACACAGTCTTATGGCACCGAACGAAATACATCAAACTGTTCAAGAAGGAATTAATTATCCTAACTTAGTGAAAGGAACTGAGCTGATTTTCCATTTGGAAGTTAACTTCAATGAGAAAAGCAAGCATTAAATAGTAGTTGTTTCTAATTCAATTGACTCTAACATGCCAAAAACTAAAAATCATTTCTTTGCTGCCAAGTTTTTCGAAGCAAACCCAGAAGGCGTAGTTAGAAGGATCGTATCGTTTCCCTCAAATTCTACGTCTTCAGGGGAGCTTAATAGGCAGCCCTTGATTTCTCTGTGTCCATCAGAAGCAGGAGGCAAAGATGGGTGCCACCGTTGGGAAACCACTTCTCTACACCACTAGGATTCAACTTTCAGAGGAGAGACCATAGCAACATGGTTTCTGTGTTTCCATGTGTACCACATTGCTTAACTAGGAAGCACAAAAGATGGGCGTCAAGTCTATTTCAATGAGCCATCATTACTGAAGCAAGAAAAGAACGTGTGCCCATAGTCAATTCACCTTTTCGTCAAACAGAATCTTTCTGAATCTGTTCCACAGTCGAGGTAAAGAAAAGAATCATTTATTTCTTACCAACGAAAAGAAGGACAGTACGAAGAAGTACCCAGAAGGGAAAAAACAGAAGTGGAAACTTAGTCTGGGAGTTTTCCCTTCTGTTTTGGCAGTGTCCACGAAACGCAAACACAATGCTCTTTTTCCCATATGACATGCCTGTTCTTCCCCAATGCAGTCTTTTCACCTCAGACACATGCTTTAAGGTTCAGCTAATTTAAACCACAACAAGGTAATGTAGTTTAAATTAGCTACACCGGACCGCTCTGTTCCATTTGTACTAGAGAAAGAAAAATCAGAGATTCAAAACAAATAAAATAAAAAGTTGGGAGATTATATGATGTGGACATGGAAGAAGGATGCTTTTATCTCCAGTTCTCCCTTATTTTCATTATTAGAAACTTGCATATTTCCTGACTGTATGAATACAAGAGACATTACTGGCCTTCTGTACACCTAGGTATGGGGCATGTTTCTATATCCTAGTTCAAAAGACAAAGAATTAGGATTGGATATGAATATTCTAGGTTAAAAATACTATCCCTTAGTTTCCTTTCTCCCTTTCTGACAGTTAACATGAAGAATAAGAGGAGCCAGTTTAGGCCTTGAAGTTGAGAACAGAAACAAGGACACCCTGTATTAACAAGACTGCAAAGTCACTGTGAAGTTTATAGAAAAGAGCCATGATGTTAATCCAAGAGCAATTACTGGCTTGAACTTTTAAATGAAAGAAGTATAAACATTCTGTTTAAGTTTATCCACTGTTCCTTTGGCTATTGGAGCAGCCAAATTAATGAATACAGAGTGACCTTGAATATACCAAATGAGTCTTAATCTCAGCCTACAAAAAGAAATGGGTGTTAAAGATGCCTATGACAAAGCAACTTAGGAAAATTCGAAACAATGAACACAAACCACTGTGGGGAAAGAATAACAATTTTTAGTTCTATATAAATGAGAAAGAAGGGACAAGCCCACCTTTGCAAATCTTGAAAGGGAAAAGGTCAGTTTGAGAAAAAGAACAAAGACATAACAATTAGTGCTTATTTTTTAAAAAGAGAGGGATGAAACTTTTCCAAAATGCATAATAAGTTCATGGGCCATCAGTGGAGAGGAGAAGCTAACGGAGAACTTTGTGCTTGTTTAGGAACCCCTGGATTTGGAGACCACCTACACAAGTCAAGTCTTTGACTGCACTCTACTCAAAGGCAAACCAAAAGCCAATCAGTATATTTTAATATTTGGAAAACCTTAGCATATTCAATATACTGTTATAATAATTGATCTAAAGAAGAGTATTTACAAGTAACATAATTTCAATACTATTCTGACTTTTTTAAAATTGCATTTGATAAAAACAGAGATCTTAAAAAGCTACCAAAAATTCAAATGGCTTTACTCAACTAAAACCGAGTCAGCTGTTCTACAAAAACTTTCAAGTGCACAGCTTTTATTTCTTGTGACTCATTTAATATTCATATATACAAAATCTCTAATGTACTCTTGAATCAAAGATGGCTAATCATATATACTTGATAATTTAAAATAAACAGAATTTAAAAATAGTTCAACAATAGGTAATTTATTTTAATTGCTAAGATAAACACATTGTGATCAATTTGTTGCCTAGACAACTTCTTATTCTGGATGTTGTTAACCTGGGATAACATCAATCAATCTGTGACTATGAATATACAAACATTGAAGGTGTGTTTCTAATCATCTCCAATTGAAATTCAGCATTTCTTTCAATTGTGCATAAAGGCATCAATCAAATCACAAAATGTCAGCAACATATGTGATTTTGTCAGCAACATGTCTCATTTATTTTTCATGTGTTCTAATTTCTCATTATAACTGTAGAAATTACAAATTATTGTTTGTACCCACGATGTCAAATTTCAGCTGTTATTAAATACCAATGTATTTTAAAGCACATACATGTATTAAATATTGACTTCTTTCACCTTTTCGATGGCTATTTCATTAGTTTCCTTCATAAAATTGTTTTATTTTGAGGATTTGAAACGTCACTGCATGGAAGTTTCTAGAGACACCTCTAGAATCTAAAGAATGGACAGTGACATAAAATGTTTAAAAGACACTAGATTCTGCTCCCGCTCTGAGCAACATATAGCTACCCATTAGACAGTCTGTTCCTAATAACTAGCTGGTAGTCCAGTTTGGGCTTTACACTTAGCCCTCCATGACTAGCTGCTGACATGGCTCCATCACAGAACTGCATCTGCTCCTGGGGTTTTATGTGTTTGTTTGCTTGTTTTGTATTTTGGGATTTTTGCCTAAAGAAATGTGCTCCAAATACCCATCGTTTCACTTACTTGCACAGATCATTAACACAGCTGGCAATATACAAGTATGGATCGATGTGCTCGTGGCAGCTCAGGAAAGGGAACTGCAACAATATCTGGCATTTGAAGAAGATTGCCTGTGGGGGGGAAATCCAGATGCCAATCATCAGAGCATCTTCACTGGTACACAAGAATTCCTGCCTTCTCTTGGTATTAATCTACTTGCCGACTCTGTTCTTACCAGGAAAGGGAAGATAATTCATGCTCATCAAATGTAATAAACAATTTTCAAACTATGTATTTTTTTAATTACTGCTTCGATGGATTCCATTATAGTCACTATTTCTGAAATTCATGTGAAACCATTCCATTTTGAAATTCCATGATCTGAATTCAATAATTTAATTATACTGCATTTGAGCTAAAATGCCTAATGCTATATACCCAAAAAAGATTTGGATTAAGACCAACATGCTCATTTTTTTTTTGTATCAAACTTACCTCAAATGCTGGCATTCCACTGGAACATGGATTTGGAAAGTCTGAGGGAGTGGGTATACATTTAGGGGCATCTAGAGTTTGCACCAGCCAGCTATTTGCAAATGTAGCAATGTCTTCTGTGTAGTCCTCTATTGCAAACAAACATAAATGGTGTTGTTGTGTTAGATTATATCCGAGGCATTTTCACAAACCTTATTAAAATTGTTCTTCAAATATGAGGAAGAGGTCTCAGCCCATAAATGTTTACCACACAAGCATGGGAGCCTGAGTTTGATCACCAGAACCCGTGTAAACGTGTGGAGCAAAGCACAGTGGTGTACACTTGGAATTCTAACACTAGGAAGGCTGAGAAAAAGAGATCCCTATGGCACACTGGCCAGAAAGCTAAGAACACTTGTTGAGTTCCAAGACAATGGGAGACCATGTTCCAAAGGAGGTGCATGATGTTCCTGAGAATGAAACGTGATGCTGTCCTCTGGTCTCCACAGGTAAATGCATACATGTGCACACATACACATCTATCTGTGCATGAACATGCACACAAATGAACACATACACAAACACAGGCACACATATTTTTTAAAGTTTTCTTTCATTTTGAGAGTAAGCAACAGCAGTTTAAAATGTACTGAAACCATAAAAATGTTTCAGAAGACACCTCTATAGGCAATGAAAGACTAGAAAAGAACCCAAAGTAAATCATGCTAAGAAGTGAACCTATTTCATCTAAATATGATGAACAATAGCTTGAACAAGATTTAAATGGATTCCAGAATTAAAAAGTCTATCTGATCCCAGAATAATAAAAAGTTAAGATTTAGTAGTTCATATATGATCCAACAGACATTCAGCGATGCATAACCTGCAACAGATCAGGCTTAAGTGTGTCACCACTGGGCCTTTGAATAAGTTCAAGACAAGATATAGAAATTAATCCTGCTCTATATTCAGACAAAGGCTGAATCTCAAATCTCATGGGTTTGGCAGAAACAACTAAGACAGAAGAAATTCAGACTGGAGCTTTGGTTTTCTGCCATCCAGACTTGATGGTCACAGGTCAGTTGTGGGTGACAATAACTGTGCTAATTAATCCAAATCTCTAGTGAAATGTTGCCCCACTCTTTCTGACCAATTTAAGATAGGGAAGCTAATATCTATGGGTTACTAGAAAACTATGGTTAAATTCATTATTTACAGGAATTCTTGCGCCTTATATTACATTCCAAGCTTGCTTATAACCTAGAAGATTGCGCAGGGTGGGCACCAGCCATTCCCACCTCATGCCTCCTGACTCATCCTGCCGCTCTATCTCTTACGCAATCCTTTCCAACCACCTGGTTTGGGAGGCTGCTCATTCACAACTCAGGGCCCACGATTTCATGGGCCTCCTCCTCCTCCTCCTTCAAAACCTCTCCTCTTGGATCCTAAGCATGAAGACTTCCAACTCAGTTTTTCCTGGTTACAAGTGAGTTCAAGGTCCAGCTAGGTACTTTAATGAGAGTCGGTCTCAAAAGGAAAAGAAGGCCAAGAGTGGAGCATAGGGAGAGAACCCTTGTGTAGTGTGTACAAGGCCAGAAGTCCAATTCCTTCTATTGTAAAAGTGAACAAATTTTTAAAAGAAAAAAACATTCTTCCGTCAGTTTCCTCTCTTCATTTAGGGCTCATTGAATGTGACCCTCTGAAAACAAACTCTAGATCACTGCCAACACACATTCTTCTATTGTTCTTCTCTCAATTCCCACTTTCCATCAAGACTACTATTTCTCCCAAGGATTATATTTTAATTTGTCTCTTTATTTATTTTACTTTCTATGGCAATAAATGAGACTAGCTTCACTGTTTTGCTCCTGTATCCTTAGTTTAATATCCAACATAAAGCAATGCTCAAAATGTATTTACCAAATAAACAAATGAAAAGCATAGGTGAATGTTCAATATTTACTGAATTATATTCTTGATCTTATAAGACTGTCTTGCCTCCTTTGTGAACTCTGGAATTGCTGGAAACATTCCACACAGAGCAAAACCTGTTGTAAAACACGTATTTTAAAGTGGAAAAATTGATGTTTTCCTTAAGTCAAGCTATAGCCGTATTTCATTTCAGAATACCATGTTTTTACAGTCCGAAGAACAAAAATATTTTCAAAAGTCCCCATTATTTCAACCTTTTATATTACAAAGCAGCATGGGCAATGCCTTGGAGTTCATCCTAGCTTCAGATTCACACATGTAGCAAGTTCTCCTACACTGCATTAGTAAAGGGGTCATATGTGTTGTGTGTTGTGAGACTTTCAATCCATATCTGTTAGTTCAGGAGCCCACTAAGCTAGAATTACAATGCCTCCTGTGGAAGAGGCTGAATGTAGAATAATTCGCTGAGCATATCAGGACACTTTTGATAGTGAAGAAGTACTATTAGCTTTCATGGAGACATGAGCATACACCAGGACCTTTGTGTTGGTGTGAAGCAAGACCAAGACATGACCTGGGAACACGGAATTCTCAACGGAACAACAAATTAAATTCTTCTCCCTTGCATGGAAATTCTGAAAATGCTCCATCTCTTTGCAAGGTCATCTTTGAAAGATAAGTAAGAATGCAAAGAGAAATGCAGTTTTCATTTCTCTTGGGAATCTGCATATTCAATAGTATCCCAGCAAACTGTGCAACCCTTGATCTGATCAGCAAAGGACATACTGATTTTCAGGCAAACACTAGAGCAAAAGACGACACACTCACCTCTGGAAATTGCCTTGAATTTTACCATAGGGGAATAAATAGAAGAGTAGATTTGTTTTATGTCCCTACAAGTTATTTTAAATTAGATTCCTTTAATAATCCCTCCTTGAGACAATTGCCATCTCTGGGCTTCTCCCACAGTCATTCAGGAGTCTTTTGACTTCCCTGTCAACAGCTCAGCACTAAGTCAGTTTCCACTTTGCCAGTCTTCCGTTGCTCATCATCTAATAGACTGTTGTTTGCTACCTTCACTTACTTCACTGCCAAAAACCACTCTCTGTCCCACAGCTCCTGAGCGGATGCCCAGTCCATCTTCCTGCACATGGATGGTCAATTCATCTTCCTGAATATGGATGCTCAACCCATCTTTTTGCATGCGGATGCACAGCCCATCTTCCTGCACACAGATGTTCAGCCCATCTTCCTGCACAAGGATGTTCAGTCCATCTTCCTGCACACAGATATCCAACCCATCTTCCTGAATATGAATGCTGAGCCCATCTTCCTGCACATGGATGCCCAACCCATCTTTCTGTGCACAGATGTCCAGCCCATCTTCCTGTCCCTAATAAGAGCACTGCACATGGATGCCTAGCCTATCTTCCTAACCCTAACAAGAGTAAATCCTGTCCTTCAACTTCACCTCCACACCAGGCTCCCTGAATGTACTGGTGGATGTCAGCCAAAGCAATCTTGTCCAGCTCCCACACTAAGAACTTGACTGATTATTATGATTTTCATGAAGATTGATCTATGAGGAAAATTAATCCCGAACTGCCATTTGTTTGACTCTGTGTTAGTTCCAAATACTCCTTCCTAACAGGCTCCAGATTCCAAATTTGTAAACCTTTTCATTTCCAGCCCTCAATGGATAAAAGTGACCATTTCCGAGTGTTCCTCATACTGCACATTCATATTGAACTCACAGACTCCTGAGCACTTCCGTTTCCATTTTCTCATTAGATATTCACAGACTGGAAGGCACTAAGGGTTGTTTTCTTTATTTCTATTCTACATATTAGGAAATTGACCCAGCGGAGGTAGGCTCTCTACTCTACTTCTTGATGAACTACCCCTGACGATAAGTTACCCACATAGTGTGAGTAAAATGCTTGCATTTTACTAAGGGCTTGTAAAAGATATACAAAGACATATTTCTATGCCTGTGAGACACTAGAGACAATTACAAAGTACATGAAATGAACTAAGTGGTATCTGTGTGATGGGAAATCTACATGCTAGCAGGAATTGTCTCTCTCTATCCTTGCCACTCTATGAAAATACATGCTGTTGCATCATTAAAATTAAAAATGTAATAAATAGCAAAGCAGGATTTTTATTCCACATTCTGACTTGCAGAATACATACTACATAATGTTCTTTTAACACCCATTAAAGTACAATAATAGACAACTGCCATTAACTTTGTAATGCACAACAAGCAATATTTTATAGCAAATTGTGGTTTAAAGGCAGTTGTCTGCAATTAATAACATCTATTCCAACTCTCAGAGAATCAACTTAAAGCTGCATTATACTGGAGGTTGTGACGTTGTTTGAAAATTAAGAATTTTATATTCTAAAGACCTTACAAGATGATATGAGGGATAGGAATAATGTTGCTATCTGGTCATATTAAACATTATGACAAATGATAAAGTATATTTTTGTTATCACTTATTACTCTATAAGTCCAGAATTACTGTGTTCCTCTTTTACAGCAATGGAAAGATTCAATGATCCAATCTCAGAAGTATGCAAGAGTGGAAGCAAGGTACAAAGTCAGGTCTCCTGGTACTAAGAACAATGTCCTTTTTATTTAGCTTCTTTATGTGTACTTGAATCATGCTTACAGCCTGTGCTCTTACCCCTCAGTAGCCTTCGACCAGAAATAGACTCCATTACTAGTGACTCGTTGAAATGAGTGTCATGCCTTAGACACAGTGAGTAACTAGGAAGGTATATAAAACTTTTCCCAGTTGCTATGCCAAGTGGCTAAGCCTGACTTCTATTTCATCATATTTACAGAACTATCATTTGGAAGTCATTTTAATTTATTACTGTTAAGACTGAATGCAAGGTAGGTTTTCTCCTAAAGTAAATGCATTCAAGTAGAAAGGTTTAAATCACTAGACTATGAACTCCAAGGATGGGGAATTCCACATTTTGTTCACTGCAGCTCCCAAGTTCCCATGGCAGTGTGTGTGTGTGTGTGTGTGTGTGTGTGTGTGTATGTGTGTGTATTATCGCTCAAACTCCTGAAACCAGCTAAATGTTCAGTTAACATTTGCTATGTGAGCAAGTCCTGCATCTCAACCTAGCAAACGTTGTCAAGTAATCAGAAAATGTTTTCCAACTTGACCTCCTCTTGGAATCACCAGAGTAGACAGATGATAGCCAGGGATTTTCTACAATTGGTCGAGTCTTCTGGCTACTAACTGCTATCGGCCGGCCGAAGGGGTGTAAGGAGAGCACCCCTTCCCCGACCCCTTTCTTGTGCTCCATCTTCTTACCTTGCTGAATCACGAAATCATCCGACTGAATGCCATTGTAGTTTGCACACAAGCCACATGACTTCCCTCTGTGCTCCTCGGACAATTTCAGGTAAACTCCCGATATTCCGTCCCAGGCCAAAGAGAAGCCAAAGGTAGTTTTCACCAGAATGTAGTCGGCTAGCTTCTCGATGTACACCTGGCCAACTGTCTGAGGCAGAGATAAGCTAAAAAAAATAGAACAGTGTAATATCTGAACCACGGCCAAGTTATAGTTACACATACCAGATTCTCATGACGATTCAGGCGACAGAATTTTTACACAGAGTCACTGAATGAGCTATACAGTGAGCTCCTCAAAAGTTTAAATATATGGGAAATCTCAACATTGTTGACAAGTTTAATATTTAAATTAAAAGACGACGAAGATGCCACTGACGGAGAGTTAATACTTACAACTTAGTAGTTGTTTCAAACTCCAGCTGAAAGTTGCAGAGAACCTTTTCAACATGGAAACTAGCTCTAGCAGCGTCATAGAATGAGGATTAAAAAAATTACTTTTGATCCGGACAGCTAAAGGTAATCTAAAAAATGAACAGTTCTAAAGTACAGACAAGCGATAGTCAAAATATGCAGGTGTCCTGGAGCCCTGATTTTATTCCCAACCAAAAAGAACTAGCCAAATGGGCATTGCAAAAGCAAACTGAGTCACTTGGCAAGCAAAAGAACACTGTCCTCCTTCCACTTATAAACGAGGCCATAAAGAGCAGGTCCCAATCGTAAAATAAATTCGCGACGCTCACTTTTATGAAGGTAGTCATATCAAAATAAATTTATAAACCATGATGTAAGGCAGGCGGCTAACAGATGTAGTCACACCTTCCTCTCAAAAATTCAAATGATTAATTTCTGTTCTAGAAAGAGCAGGGCTCTGTCCAACAAAAACTGTAAAAGTAAGCTAACTGTAGATAATTCCCAAAGAAACACTAATACCTCTGACCATTTACACAAAGATTTTTTTACATATAAATATTTAGAGAAAATAGTTACAAGAAGAGAGAAATAACTATGCTTTATAACTAGAGAATAAGTGACAAGTGGAAGTGTTATGATTAAAAAATAAATGTAAAGAATTCATAGTGAAAGTCAGTATGAAACAACAATAAAAATATTCCTTGTTTGAATTTACAAGTTAATAAAAGATCTGGATTTCAAAATAGTGGATCATATTTTATAAGCATATTTTACACTAATGGGGTGCTAATTCATGGGAGGTGTAGCTCTGGGGAGAGGGATTTTGCTGTGTTTAACTGTCAGCCACCTCTGTCTGCCAGCTCTCTTCTGTAAATTTAGTTAAATGTCTATTTTTAAGAGAAAAAATGGCTACCTGTAACTCCTTGGTGTTTATGACACAGAAGGTTGCTGATATATGGCAAGACCTTGCACCAAGAGGAAAAGACATCAAAAATTATATAACCACCAAATGGAGCGAAGGCTGCTCTTGGTTGCAGGACTGAAACAATGTTCCCCGAGGCTCATCTTTTTCCAATGCTGCTCCTGCCTTTGACTGACTCTACGTGGAGGAAAAGCAACATCACCGCCCTACACTGGAAGGAATCCAATGGTTCACACACCCAACAGTGAGTTCTGAATGATGGATAAAACTGTTCCATCTCAATATTTACTTTCTCTGGCCTAGCTGAGCTAGGAAATGTTCTAACCTGGGTGTCTTTGTAATCATTTAGATCAGAAAGGAAATTGATCCCCATGATTCCCTATTCTAACTGTATGAAATCTCTGCCTAACATAAACATCCCCTTCCCTACAACTCTCAGGTCATGCTGTTGGCAGGCAGGAAGCCGCGGTAGCTGCCCTGATCTATCAACAAGGACAGTTATTTACTGGCTCAGAGTCTTTGTCAAGGCTTTGATGGAAACTCCGAAAGTGACGCCCAAGACTCATTCACTAGACTTGGGAGGACTTCCAGAATCCTTCCCAAAAGAAAATAAAGTCAATTTTTGTACGATGTTCTGTGAAGGGAAAGAGAAAATATTGAAGAGGCCCAACGTAATCAGAATTCAGTTATATAGAGACAGTTCTTGATTGTGCCCTCAGGAGAACATGACAATCCTAGGTGCACCTTTGCAAATATATCTGCATCATGCATACGAGGCTGTGGACCAGCTAGATTCCCAGCTGCCTGGTGGGCTCCAGCGCCACGGAACGTGTGATGGCTCTCTGACACCACTGCGCAAGTCAACCGAAGGGCAACCCCTCTATTCCTGTTCTCCGCCACTCCCTTCCAGTCTGAGACCTCGGAACTGTCAATCAACCTCTGGTGTCATTTGCACAGATTATTTTTTTCTCGTCTTACCTGACTCCATTCATTTTTATTTCGTGACCATAAATTCTAATTTCCTCTTGGTTCGAAAAGAATAGGCTGATGGAACGATAGCAAGAATACACAGAACCAAGGCACTTTGGGCTGTTGTGGACCTGGAAGGGAGAGAAACCAAAAAGGAAATCATGGGAAACAACCGCAAGTATCCACATAGTCAATTAAACCCTTGGAGCATCCTTACAACTCACAGCACCACTGACCCCACGACACCGTACAAAGTAAGGACTACACTTACACTTAGGGTTTTTGACAGGAAAATAATATTTGCCTCAAAAATGGAGCAATATAATTTTATAAAATGCAAGTGATTCAGGACATTTGTGTGCTCACCTTTGCTTCTACATGGTAGAGAATAATATTCTGAAGCTATATGATATATACTGGGAAAAATTAGTTTGAAAAAGAATCATAAACACCACAAGGAAACACATTTGGAGTATTTATGCCCCGTTAGGGCATCTAAGGGCTATCATGGGAGAATGTTGAATGGAGTTCAATAGCAAGCAATATTTATAGGCTGACAAAGTGAATATGACTTCGCTGAAAATAAAAATTGATTTTCTTTATTCCCAAATGCTTTAGAAAAGAAAGAAACCATTTAAATAACAAATTGCTACTTTAGACTTTAGGAAGAATTCCATTCACTTGGAATAACACAAAGCCAGGAAAGAGCAGAAAAGGTGAAAAGACACAGTGAATGTTATTTTTTTTACCTTAGCTCAGGATTCATTTCAGAAGGCTCAAAAGCCAAAATATAAGTCATAAAACTACAAAGCAACTGAAAAATAGGTAGCTAAACAAATGCAAAAGAACTTTCAAATTTGAAAAGGATAAAAATTCACTAATAATAAGACAGCTTAAAGATATTAATTCAATATGTAAGTGGTAATTGACTTATATGTATCTAACACACACTCTAGAACTATAGCCATCAATAAAGCAGACAAAAATATCTGCCTCCCTAAATTCTTATCCCATGACAGGAAAAGAGGTAAGATGTGCAACTAAATAGAAATAAAATATATAGTATTGATAACACTAAAAAAAATTACTAAATGAAGCAAAGATATAGAATATACACATCAAGATTTAGGAGAGGATTTTAGATGCCAGGCTAAGGAAAACTTCTCTTAGACACTAAAATTCTGGAAAGGATGGGGCTTGAGGGAAAACTGTGGGACAAAACATAGAAACATATTTAACCAAAAAAGACAATAAACACGGAGGCTAGCAGAAGGAATTTGACTGAAATATTCTCAATATCTAGAAACCATCATTCAATCCCATCCAGATTGTTGAAGGAGTACTCTTCAGAGAGCAAATGGAGAAGATTGATAGTTATCAATACAAGGGGATTTTGCTAATGGAACCAGAGTGTCCTTCCTCAGCCTCACATTAGCCAAACAAGCCCTCTGCAAATGTCAGTGGTTCTAAATTAATTTTCAAGCATGTATTCTCAAATGTAAACAAATATTCAGAGATTGTTTATCACCTGAAGTGAGTCTATAATATGAAAGACAGAATCAGAAACAATGAAAAGCAAAATCAAAGAAACAATAAGCTTTTTGTTTGCTTTGTGAATATAATAAATTATCCGTATAATTAAATCCTAACTCTAAACTTTTTATACTTATATGTGTGTGTATCCAAAATATCAACTAATATCAGACAGAAAAGTGAACATATAACATCTGTTAAAAAAAGAAAAGAAATTTTTTAAATAAAAATAACTAAACATTGAGAACACAATAAAAGAAATAAAATAATCAGAAGGTAGAAAACGATATGAGTTGGAAAGAAGGTTTCCACAATGTAGAAGAGAAAAAGCAAAATGATGGAAAATAAGCAAAAATCAATAAGAAAATGAAGAGATCCTTCAGTTCAGGGACTTCAAGACATAAGCAGCAAAACGCTGAAGAAGAGGAATAGAGGAAACAAGGGAGGAAATGTTGTTCCTAAAGTGGAAGGCGTAACACATGGATGGGCCTGTCATGGACAGATGCACAAAATATATATCCGCCTCCTGTACCCATGACATCTTCAAGCCGTGGGGATAAAGAAAAGACACCTTCTTTTTTTCCATTTTCTTTCTTTCTTTCTTTCTTTCCTTCTTTCTTTCTTTCATTCTTTCATTTTTACTCCTTCTTTTTCTTAAGAAGCAGTGGAAAGGTTGAGTAAAAAAATGCTCATAAATCAGAAAATTGAACTCAAAATTTTTAGAAATTCTTCTCAAATTAAAATCAAGATTTCAGAGTTGTCCTTTCATGCTCATTTCCCAGATAAGTGTCTCTTTCCCTTCTAGACATTGAGTTTAAAAACTAGCGGGCAACCCCTCACTCTTTCACTGCCTTTTGGAATCCTACTGCGCATACTGGGTCACCTTGTCCAGCCTTTATACATCAGCTGGTGCTTAGTCTTACTGCAACTTGATATGCCATGTTTTGTTTAGATTCATGGAAGGCCTGCCTTTTTCTGAGCAGAAATGGAGGAGGAGGAGTTTGAGGGGAGGGGAACAGAGGGGAGATGGAAAAAAGAATGGAAGGAGAAGAAGGAAGGAAAACTGTGGCCAGGCTCTAAAATAAATTAAGAAAACAAACAAACAAACAAAAACACCTTCAAAAGTAGGACCAAGCTTTTCCACAAGTGCAGGCCATGAGTACCAAGGACCCAGGAAGCTTTTCAAAGCTAATTCCCCAAGAAGACAAAGTTCCCCTCATCATCAGAACTTTCCTTGGATCCAAGAAACAAGAACAAAAAGCAATACAGGACACAACAGAGTAGTCTCCAGAAGCAGAGTAAGAAGACACCTCCAGTGCTGAAGACGAAAGGCCTGTGAGGGAGCTTGTCTGAGGTGAGCATAAAAAGGAAGGGTTGAAAAGAGGAGGCTCCATGGAAGAGAGACTCGATCAAGAAGCGTTCTACGGGGATAAGAGTGTGGGGGAAGACAAGGGTGACCGAGGTAAAATAACAACAAAAGGGATAATTATCCACCCTAGAAAAATACATAAGGGTAATAAAATCAGGGTAACTTCCTGTGCTCAACTCTTAACTGTTTGCATAGTGACAATGACATAAAATCTACAGGTTGATTTGGTCAGAAATACTGATGTAACAATAGAAAGAGAAAAGACCATGGATGTGTGTATATTCCTGTATGCTTGTGTGTATGTGCTTTTAAATGTGTGTGTTGGCATGTTTCGCTAAGCAAAAAGCACAATGTGATCAAGACAACCCTCACTTGCTACAGTAAGAGTGAAGAGATGATTTATAACTTTGGCAGCTGCAGAAGTAATCACATATATAAGACAAAAGTCAGAAGACGCAGCTCAAGAACCTGGAAAAATTGATTCTGAGAGTCAGACTAAGTTACAGTAGGGAATGGACAGCGAACCATTTCTGTTACACACACATCTTTATGAAATATTTTAAACTGTGAGCCTATATTACCTTCATAAAAATAAAAGCAAATTTAAATAAAAACAACATGGCTATGAAAGGGAAAATGCATGTTAATATTCCATTTTTTGAAATATTCACTTTTTTAAATCTAAACTTCCAAAATAGATTATTGTTAAAACATTTAAGTACGCTATGAATTTGAAAAATTCAGCTAATAAAATTTATATTTTTAAGACTATGTGGCACAAAGGAAAATTCTTAATATAACATTCAGTGAAAATATAGAAGAGAAAATTAAAATTAAACAGTATCGTTTCAATTTATGAATTTGCATAAAATCCAAAGAAATAGCACTAAAAGAAAATATGGGATGCTGTTAACAATGGTGTCCCTGAAATGACAGCCCTTGCAAGTTTTAGACTCACGATTTTCATCAAATTTTCAAAAAAGAAGAAGTAAACTACTTTTATAGCCAATAAGAAAGACTGATTTAGGTAGACATGCTTCTGGGTTGGAAAGAAAAGTCCATCATTGAAAACTGGACCCATCCCTTAACTGTGGGAGTATGGTTCTGCACTCTGCCCTGTAGTAGGTTTCAAGAAAGATGATCAAGTTGACACCTTTGTTCACAAAAGAGTGAGACACTGAAAAAGAGAATTTTAATTAAAGGGTCAAAGGAGTTGAAGAGGCCCAAATTCTGGGAGGCTTGGGGCAGGATGGTAAGTTCCAATGAGAAAATGGAGAACAGTGCCTTGTAAGCACTCAAGTTGGGCCATTTCTCTTTCTAAAGAGACTCTCTGTTTATCCCCCTGCCCCAAGATTTACCATTCCTTATACTTCAATGTCTCAGAGGATCGCAGACCTAGGGTCCAGATGCAAAGCTTGCATCTTCCAGCAAGGGGGAATTCAGACAACTACAGCATGATTCAGAAGTAAAACAGCGGTCAGATTTCAACATTTTGTCTCTAAAGAATTAGTTTTTAAATGGAACAGTACAGAACTCCCGTACTTGTGACTTGAGAGGCCTGGATAAACAAGAAAGAAAGTCTCTGGTGCCCTTGCTTCAGCGACTGCTCTTCTGCAACTGAATTTTCAGATATTTTCATTGGACTTGGGAATTCTGAAGCCTAGCGTGAGTTCTGTGAGCTCTATCATGTAGCACGAATCTACCTAGCAATGACGTAATTCATGCAGTTGCCGTCATCAACATGGCTTCCTCTACAGACCAAGAGTTGCTTTCATTTTCTATTGTTATTTATTCATCCATTTTTGGAGTCAAGGATCCAAACCAGGGCTTTGTGCATGCTAAAAATTGGCCATACCAATAAGCTACATTCCTTAGCCCAGGAGGGGCATTTAAAAAACGTGAAAGCAAGCAGGCATCTCAAGTCAAAACAGCAAGGAGGGAGAAAATATGAATAATGTTATTAATATCTGACTTTACCTTCTTCCAAATTACCAAAAAAAATCATATCAGGGATACTGATGAGAGTAACTATGGTAAAAAGTATATATTTCTCTACACCCTGAAAGACGCTCTCTCATGGATTCAGTCCCTGTTGCTAGCATGCCAGACATCATCTTAATAGAATTACGCTAATAGGGCCACAAAATTGGATCATTCCATTAAGAGTAGGTCCCTGTGTGTTCTATAATTATTGTCCATTACTCATCGTTTGCCCAACACTTTTAAAATACATTATTTCCCAGAGGTAATTTTTTTTTAAATTGATGAAATTTGAGTACCACCTACCCACACAGTGTACTGAGGCTCCAAATTACCGCAGTCCTTTGCAAATATGTAAGAACAGCTTCCTGGGAAGTAATAGTAGATCCCATCAAATGTTTCAAAGTGATACTGTCCCCAGGTTTTGCAAATGCCATCTCTGCCACTTCCCATGTTTGGGACTAAAAAGAAATTAAATAATATGTAGTATGATTAGTGTAAAATAAATAAATAACATTAGTGTAAAATAAATCACAGCTATCTCAAAATGTTCAGTCACAATAAGTCCTTGTAATTTTTGCTGAAATAAGTGTTTCCCCCCAATTGGGTAGTCTATGGTACAGGAAGACAGAAGAAGCATCGAACTATCAGCTGCTCTTAAAATGACCCAACTCCTTTAAGAAAACCGTCTCTGAGTTGCTATGAAGAAAAGACTTATGTTAGAAACTCCCCTAATTTTTGTTTCCAAGAGAAGGATTCAGGATAAAAAAAAAAAAAAAAGGAATAGTAAGGAAGGTGATCCAAAAGAAGACAGTGATGTCGGCAACACAAATGAGTGACTCAGAAGAGAAAGAAAGGTCACCACCGAGGATCCTAGAGCAGTGTGGACAGCAGGAGAATACCACAGCCTCCATAATTCTTTCTAAAATGTCTTTATGGTATCCAGAGAGAAAATTAATGATGGCCAAAAAAAAAAAAATCATGTTTATATGCCTGGAAAACGGAGCTGGAAGCATTAGTCATTTAGTTTCCTGGAATCGTGAAAATGATGATCTCAAACTGATGAAATTTCAAGCAACAGTTATTTTAAATCAAGGGACATCTATTAGGATTACGTCTCTCCTCTAGATAAACTTCTATTCGGTTTTATTTTTATTTGTGTGACGTATTGTTTGTTGTTGCTGTTGTTGTTGTTGTAGGTGTGGGGTGTATAGGGTCACATTGTATCACAGCAAGCAGGTGTCTGACGACCATTTTGTGCAGTCGCTTCTCTCCTTCGATCTAAGAATATGTGGGTTCCGGGGATAAAACTCCCCTCATCACACTTGGCAACAAGGCGATTCTTTGCTGAGTCATCTCACAAACCCGTCATTTTTTTATGTTTTAAATGGTTCACTTTATAATAATGTAAAAAAGCAGCAATGTTTGTTAAAAAGTCGCTTGGTGAGTTGTTATATACACCAAGCCAAACAGAAACATAAGGGCAAATGTTTAGTGTCTCCTCCTTTTTGAAACATTTACCTAAATTTATCAGCTCAGGCCAAATTTGGTCCACTCAGGGAAAGACATTGATGGGTTCGTTTTGCTGGCCATAGTTCCTGGCAGTGCATCTTACATTCCACGCTTTCCTCGAGGGCACTCACATTTAAGGATGGCTTACCTCTTACACACTTTACACATTCACCTTACAGAAGAAAGTCTGTGTTATTCAAAATACACCCTGCTTTATGCCTAGCATTTAATCTCCCAAATGGTAAAATATCAGTTAATATCTGTTGGTAATTATTAATATAAGATCCCCCCTTAGACATTATGGATAAAAAATATTTTAAAAAGAAAAACAATCCCCATACCTGATGAACTCTCGATACTATTTCTAGTCTATATACTGAATATCCAACTTATTAAGTAGGAAGAAGAGAAGCTTGTGGTGAAATATACTGAGGAAGAATGAGACATAAATGAAAAGATGGCCCTACAGGTTACTGCACTGGAAAGCAGAAAAAAAATACTTCGGGAAATAGAGATCGGTGGGAAGGGAAAGCGCCTACAGCTGTGTTCGTTTACAGCGTTTCTGAATTCCTTCAAATTGATGAAAATAAATCTGGAGCTGTCTAGTTAATGTCCCAAATCCCAGGGGACGAACGCTTCCAAGCAAATCATGACTTAATGTTCTCTTTCATATCCCATCATTCTCTCATAAATATCCCTGAAACTTACCAATCTGGCACCTTGTCCCGAGAGCTTGGAATATTTGACAGTCACACGTACCAGTCTTAGAACAGAAAGCCCCGTTAAGGCATTCATGAGGACAAGAACCTGAGGGATAAAACAATAACTTATCTTCTGGCGTGGATCAAGCTCATATAAACACAATATGTCACGATCTAGCTTGGACTAACTGTAACACTATTAACTTAAACAGAACCCTGGGCCTTTTGCCTTGTGGTGCAAAAGAATTAAGCCATCAAATCTCTATCTATTCATTTCATTATGTGTCCTGTGAAGCCAGAGAGACAGGCTTTTGCATCCCAAAGTACTTTGCAAGGAGAGGTTAGCCTCCTTCGAGCAATCCAAAGGTCGAGTCCCCATGTAAGGAATCCCTGTCCCAGATGATGAGAACCAGAAATACCCAAGCTGGAGATGAAGCCCTATACCGAGTTTGGAATGCATCCCACCAGCACTTTCTCCAGGAGCAAGCACTGTGCTTAAGAATAACTCAGACTTTGCTGCTTCGGGGAAGGCTCAAGTGCAGCCTAAAATGCAGAAGGAAACGCCCACCTTTGATGAGAAGGGTGCCACATGTTGTTTGAAGTTTGCCCATGAATACTGAGGCTCGGCTATAAATGACTCAGTGTTTGGGAATCTGTGCTTAACAAAGATGAGGCAGAAGCAAAAATCACCTCTGGTTGTCACAAAAACAGGACTCTGTTGCGGAAAGAAAACTTGTCCCAAATAAATACATTAAAAAGAAGAAGCGAATTGCTGTAAGTTTTTCCTGATTTCACAGGTATCTCCTGAGTGAATGTCAGAAGGCAAATGAGTCCTAAGGACCCCAGAAACATGTCAGGAGTGAAGAGAATGTCTTTGAGTCACTGTGAAATGTTGCTAAAGAAGCTAGGCCTGTCTGGAAGATGGTGAAGACACTTCCCATGCAATAATAAACCCAGTCTGCCAAGCACAAGAAGGACTCAGTCTTGCTATGACTTTGCCCTTAAACAACCCACTGACTTCTCTTTCCATTTCAAAGCCTAAGCTCTCTAGGTAAATTTTAAATGAGGAAAACAAATGAACTGTTTTAACGTCAAACTGTATTTCACCAAAATATAGGTGGAAATAATGTGTTTCGTAAACCTACAAGCACTTTGGTTTTCCCTTAAGAGACACACCTACCTTTAAACTTAGTCTTGGATCAAGTAGTCTTAAATTTTTCACATGGGTGGGTGTCTAAATATTTAGATAAACAAATACGTTGTTTTGAAAATGTATTTACAAAGTGGCTCATTCTCCTGAAAGCAAATGTCAAACCGAATCCAAAAGGCATCACTATGACTTGAACATAATGATAAGAATTATTTCTATTTCTTTACATTTGAAGCTACAATCTGCTGTCTGTGTAATGGAACTGGTAAACTGCTGAGACAAAATTCGGATGTCAGGGAATGAAGGAACAGGTCACACTGACTCGGAGCAAGAGAAAAAGCCGCCGATACCACCGGTGCTTTCTCCAGCCACACTGTCATGCGCTTTGTCTAAATGTTTAGCTCCGGACATTTCTAAAATATTTGGATTTGTATAGGACAGGAGCTTAAAAAACGATTGCTATTATTACTACCCTGGCTCAGTACCCTCCAGTAAATATGGAAACAATCAGAACTGATTTAATATACGCCCCCTCCCCCAAGGGATCGCCTCAGAAACCATACACAAAGGAACGGATCTCCACACTGACCTTTGATCTTACTCTCGCCCCAATTAATCGCTTCATGGAAAAAGTATCTCGGAGAGGTTGCTTCAAACTTCAAAGCGGAGAAATAAAAACACAAATTAGCTCATTTAGTTACCATCCGTCAAACGTGCAGATGAAAAACTTCTGGAATGCGTCTGCAAATATGGAAACTAGGAAGTGCTGGCTTGACGCAGAAAGCTATCATTGAGATCATCACAGTGAACTAGGAAGGGTTCCCTTGCAGTGATGGCTAAAGCTGGTTTCAAGTCTTCTTTCTGTCTTGTCGGTGACTTGGGCAAGATATTTGTCCTCTGTGACCTCACCCCCCTTGCCCCTATCCATGTCTATCATCCCTTTGTGAGTTCCGGAGAAGCACTGTATTTATATTAGCTGATACTTTTCATAAAAGGGTAGCAGTTCTTTGACATTTCCAGATGAGTTAGGGGGGAAATGCACAGGGTTAATACACTAGCAGTCAGTGATGACTGGCCTGCGTACCAGACAGCGAGAACCCCACTCACAGAAACACCGTCTGACTTAGTTTACCTCTGCTTAGGCAGATTTCCTATCAACTTAATGTCTCCATGTGTGAAATGGGAACAGCCGTGACACCTGCTTCAGCGTGTGGCAAAAAAACACACTGTGTTCAGTAAAACACAGCCCTCTGAACTCTAGTGCTCACCACAGAAGACTAGCAAGAACGAAGCTGATATTGTTTTGAACAGCCGTTATGAAATATTGTGGTGTACGACTTACTGCAAATAATTATAGGCTATTAGAGCTCATCAGTTAGAGCATTGCAGTCCAACTCGGTCCCAGTTGTATATATAATGTAGGATTGTATCCTTACCAAGAGCACTTTATGTTTACCTGAAGACGTAGACTCAACCTTACCACATGATTATCAAATTAGGTAGCTGATGATGCTGGGAAAAAACTGGAAGGGGATGCGTGGTAAGAATGAAGAGTGATGTGAGGAGCAAGGTCCTTTCTTCTCTAGATTCTGATCATCCTCACACGCAAGAAGCTTGATTTAAGCATTTTTCATTTCAGTATTTCTTCGTGTGTGTGTGTGTGTGTGTGTGTGTGTGTGTGTGTGTGTGTGTGATGTATATGTGTATACTTGTTCACATGGGTACACACTTTCCCTATGGAGATCAGAGGTTGACATTTGCTGACTTCACAAATACTCTCCTCCTTATTTTTTGAGTCGGTCTCTTAATTGAACCTGGAGCCCAGGATTCGGTTAAACTGACTAACCAATCAGCTTCAAGAATCTTCTTGTCTACTTCTCCCCACTCTGGACTTAGTGGTAAAAGGCCATGCCTGGCTTTGCCCTAGGGATCTAAACTCAGGTCCTTGGGCTTATATGGCAGGTACCTACCAATCCATCGCCCTGGACTGGTAGTAGCTTCTTTGATCAGGAGAACTCACCCCCGTGTTACCTGATACTACTCTTGAACGCTCCCATTTGTTGAAAACTCTTAAAGATTCACTTCTAAACTCCTCTTCCCCATCATAGCTCCAAGTTTATAAGTCTGTTGGTTCCTCCCCACAAACTGGTTTTTTCCTCCATGTTTTATTGCCATTGCTCAGTCCCTTCTACTTTTGTCTTGTCTTCAAACAAGTTAGACTCAACCAATAGTTTATGGCCATGGTTCCACCATGGTGTCAAGTTTCATTCTCACCTTTGCCATATTGTTTCCAGCTGCCTAATTCAAAGGACCGTCAACACGATTGAGCACAGCCTACCTTTGGGCCTCTTTGACCAATCCTTGCAGTGGAAATAAGTACACTGCCTTTGATGTCTGACAAATGTGTAGCTACTTCAACTCTGACTCACAATGGCCTAAGTACTTGAATAAATTATCTATTCCATGTAGCCTCTGGTCCCAATAAATAAAAAGGAATAGCAGTATCTCCCTTATAGAATCAGGAAGATAAAGTGAAATAATTAACACTTTAATAATATCATCATTCATAAAAGAATGAAAGGCTCGCTACTTTCTACTATTACTAACTGAAAATGGAATATAAGGGCTATCAAGATGGTTCAGCAGGTAAAGTCCAATGACCTGAATTGGATTCCCATGATCACATGATGGAAAGAGAAAGAAGCTCCCAAATGTTGTCTTCTGACATCCATGTACCTGCCATGGCACAAGAACACACATGCTCTCTTTCTCTCTCTCTCTCTGTCTCTGTCTCTGTCTCTGTCTCTCTCTCTCTCCATATATATATATATATGCATGCATGTGTACACACACACAAAGATAAACAAATAAATGTAATTTTTAAACTTAATATATTTATAACACTGGACTAAAGCAAATATCTATTTTTTTTCTTCTTCCACTCAACTCTGACCTTCTCTAAAGAAAGCCCAATGACCACTTAGCACACCAGCTCCCTGACAACTCAGCATCCCTTCTGTTTACTCAGAGTCGTAATGCATTTCACTAGTATAAAGCTTCACACTTGGTTTTAGCGTTGGAGCATGTCTGAAGTTAGAATAGTGTATCACTTTGATAAGGGGGGCATTCTTTGTCTTGTGTTAGGTACATAACATCAAATAATTCATGGCAACTCAGGCTCAATAAACCATTTGAACAGAAATGATATTTTCACAGATCCCTGGAGACATGGAATTTCTGAATTACAAGCATGGTTATTCTTGTTTATATGTATAAAACATGACCCCTGGCATGTCAGCAACAAGTACCAACTGAACTGGAACAAAAAATACTGTTCAAATGGGAATCTGCCTTGTGGTGTTCAGAACTGCGGCTACGAATGCGATTTCAGCCAAAGTCTTGGTTGGCCTCAGTGCCTGCTGCAGGAGAATTACTGAATGTAGGAAAAAGAATGTGGCAGTGGATGCACACCCTCACACAACTGACGAAAGAGGAGAGCCTGCTCTTTCTTCTTCCTGGTCACACCTCCACAGGAGGGTGCTCAGGACCACAGACGTGTGCCCTGCATAGGGAACGCACTGTAACACTGACATGCATGCCATTTATAGAAGTCTCTGCCTAGGCTTGCCTTGCTGACGTCACTGCCTGCATATTTCTGCGGACAGTTATCCATCCATCAGTGCTGTTTGCTTACAGCAGAGGAATGAACCGAACGTGCGTGGCCTTCAAGCCTCTTTCTAAGCAGGGCGCTGCATGACTGTGACCTCATTGCTCCTTGTCATATTTCTCCTTTGAGAACTTAATCGATGTGAACTGATCTTGACACGCATTCACGGGCTACAGGAAACAGAAGGGCAAGCAAGTCTCCTACTCTTCATCCTGCCTAAAATGGACACCAAGGCAAAGCAAGTACATCCCCTCTTGGTAACAGAGGAGAGGCATTAGCTCAACTCCTCGTAGGCAGATTAGATAGATACTTAGGACATGCAAATGCACACTGGGGTCAGTTCCGCCCACGGAGCTCTTTATATGCCCATTTAGGGCACAATTCACACAAGTTTTTGAATCTAGAGTGTTCACTCACCAGAACGGAAGAGCCTTTTTATCTTCACCGCCAGATTTTTCTACTGAATTATACAGATGAACTTTCTGATTAATATGCTCTACCGGCAAGCATGTCCTTCAAAATTATCACAGAAAACTCATTTTAACCGCTACACACGATAGACAAGAATCTTTGTACATAAGAATTCCTCTGAGGGTTTGTCTTGTCCTCAGACATGGTATCCCTATATAGCCCAGGCTAGACTGAAACTATTCATCCTCCTATGCGGCTTCTGAAATATAGAATACTCCTTAAACTGAATTATTATTTCCACGGCTATGCTAGGTTATTTTAAGACCCCATGACAAGGAAGATGATTCAGTGCATGAAGTACTTCCTGTGGAAGCATAAGAATTTGAGTTTGAATCTCCAACCATCCACATAAAATGTCAAAGCCATGGACAATAAACTCCGGTCATAGGATATGAAGAAACCAAATTGTTGTGGAGCAGGAAGCTTCCTCCCTGCTGGCTGGCTTTCACAGAAACAAAGGTGCCAAGTAGGCTGCAGGGCATCAGGGAAGTTATCTATCAATGACTTACAGAGATGCAAACCCTGAGAACTACAGGAGTGGTCTGAATGGCATGTCCAAATACACCAAACTATACAAACATACACGAGATCTCTAATCTCAGCAAAAAATGAATTTGTTTTATCTTCTAAATTGTCAATATATTATATCGTATTTGTGTTCTGGAAGAGAATATTTGTTTAACTAAGTAAAGATATGTTACATCGTTTGTGTTACAGAACAGTTGTTTAACTCTGTAAAGATGTGTCGCTGTTTCACCTTGCCTGCCTAAGGCGCCTTGTTGGTCTAATAAAAAGCTGAATGCCCAATAGTTAGAAAAGGAGAAATAGATGGGGCTGGTGGGCAGAGAGAAAAGAAGAGCCAGGCAGCTGGGGGCCAGTCAGCCAGAAGCAGAGGAAGCAGGAAGGCAGGATGAACAGTATGTGGATGAGGAAAATGAGCCTCGGAGCAGCATATAGATTAATAAAAATGGTTTAATTTAAGTTTAACCAAAAAGAACTAGCTAGAAAAACACTACGCTAAGGCCAAGCATTCGTAATTAATAATTAGTCTCCATGTCATGATTGGGGACTGACAATAAGAGAAAGACTGCTACACATTTGTCTTCTGTATCTATTCATTTTCTTCAGTTTATTCTAATAAAACATACCCACAAAGGAACAAGCAAAATGTTCTCAAATTTACAGTAAGCTGCTCTTCAGAAATAGCCATAGTTTGGATCTTTTAGAAAATACGAAAGATGTCTGTCACACACCAGGATATGTCCAGTGCCCTTTGAATGTATCTAACTCACATCATCTCAGTCTTTCTCCATTTCTCCTTAGGTGTGTTTGCCTTGTTGCTATTGTCCTGCCCAATACTGTATTTAATTTCTAAATCATTCAAAGGTACCAGCAAGTAGATGGTATCCAATCCACATTAACATTGAAGCCTATGTGTGGGTTTCTGAGGTGGATGAAGAGAAAGAAAAAAGCGTTTCATTCCAAACAAATCAGTGAGAACCGAGAATATAGTGGAGGGTCGCAAAAAATAAAATACAATAAAAAGCTGCAGAGAACCGCCTTCGCCTCATCACGCTCCTTCCTGTCTTGTTTTTAGCATTTTGTTCCCTCCACAAAGGTCTCATTGTTGATGTGACAGCAGAGGCCACTGCGGAATGAATTCTTTCTCTGCCTCGCTCCCTCTGAGGCTTAACCTACCTGCGGTCCTAACAGAGCTCCTTTCTGTCCCTTTTCATGGAACTCACTTCTGCAAGAAAACACAAAGAACTTGTGTAGTCAGAGGCCCCTGGGCAACCTGAACAGCCTTTCCCAAGAGGGAGCTGGTGTTTGCCTCCAGATCTCCATCCCTTTATCAAAGGGGCCTTTCTTGGTTTAACATTTAAAGGACCCCCTCCCCTCTTCGGAAGGGTGAGATTTGGGTGGTGAAGCTGTCTCGTTTTACAAAATTCGGGACTGGCCCCAAATCTCACTGGGCTCTGATATACATGGAATTTTAGGAAGGAACTTTGAGACTAAGAAACAAGCAAAATAATGTAGTATTATATCACCAATAGGCATAGTCTAGTCTCCTTGGAACTTCGTGAGTCTGTTGAAGTAGATATTTATCAAGGGTGCATTTACCTTTCCAAATGTGATATTCAAATTTCATCTGTTCCATGTCATTTAAAAGTAGCATGATACAAATATGGAAGGGCATTTAATTGCCAGTTATCCAAATCAAATCATTAGTTCACTATGTTACAATAACATAAGTTATGGAATTTGATATTTTTATTTTATTTTTATCAATAAAGGTATTCTTTAAGAATCTAGTTACTATAATGTTGCTTTTAAGCAAAGCACTGAAAGCTATTTTATTATTTATCACTGGAACCATTTTTAGTCATTTAAGCACTAAAATCGGTTTTAATTTATGTTAACAATAATACATCAGCAGTCAATAATGTATGTAAAAATGTAAAGAGATATATTACTGGATACAACTGCTTTAAATCTATGAAATGAAAGAAATGTCTCTTTGGGACCTACAGGCAGTGGGCAGCACCAAGATCTTCTTACAAGTAGGAAAGTGAATGCCTATTTATTTCTAATGTTTGAAAATATTTCAGAGAAGAACATCTCAAGCTTTGGGCCATGTTTCACTTGTTATTTTTAAAAAAAAACAGACAGAGCTGCCTGCTGAACTTGGCATATTCTCATTCCTTTGGCGTTTCAGAACAGAGAGACAAAGAAATACTCACTCTGATGCCTCTGTCGGGATAGATGATGCGCAAATGTATCCTGCCAGAGATAAATACGGATTGGTGAGACCGCAGCACACACAAATAGCTTGGTCTGTGCTCTGCTACTCAATGAATCATTCATTTTCCCCAAATTCTAAAATGCGGATTGAGAATCGCAACCAGCTATGTTATTCTTTTAGAGGACTCTGACCCAGCAAAGAATCTGTGATACACCTGAGGTGACCCACAATGCAGAAACGTCACAATAGTGACGGTCTGTAGATCTCTACAGTGGTATCACATAAGGAAGTGAGGGCTAGGCATGGAATCGCAGAACTGTTCGGGTTCTGGCCCTGCGGCTTAGCATTTGGCGGGCTGAAGCATGCTGTAAAGCAAGCCACAAGATGATCATGGTGAACAAGCCAATCCCAGTATCCCTCCAGCACAGCAGCTACACCGTTCTCCTTGAGAACAAGGTGCTACTGTAAGAGGAAGATAGTGACTTGGAGAGTCTGTCACACTTCCGTCATTTCTTCCGTTTCCCCCTAAGCTCCAAAATGTAGACTCTTTCTTAGGGATCAAAAAGTAAAAATTAGATATAAATAAATGCCATCTCCGTGAAAATTTTAATAAAAATTATTTTATAAGTAAACTTGATATAAAACTTGAAAATTAATTCATGACCTCAAATGCTATAGTTAGATCTCTTTTAGGTTTTAATGACATGAAGCAAGTTTAAACACTTTATTCCCCCTCTATCATAAAGTTATAAGTGCTTAAATAAAGAAAATAATTGCTAAGTGTTTGATAGGAGTAAGTTATACTGACAGTATAGTGACAAAGGCATGATTTTAAATAGTCACTAAAGAAAATTCAAAAAGTTTCAAGAAAAGGTTTAAAATTCTCTGCATTCTTAAGAATTCAATAAAATTGCCTGAATGTTATTTAGTACATGTCTATTCTACTGACTTCAAAATGCTTGAGAAGTAACTTAAAAGGAAACTATATAAATTTCAAGAGAGACCCACACATGGTAAATGAAGGTCAAAACACAAAAGTCCTTACCTTGTAGGGAAAACAGCAGGACCTGAAACGAGAAAACATTCCAAGGTACCATTAAATTGGGCTTTCTCACAATGTTCATTTCAGTGGAGTCTCTCTCTCTCTCCCTGAACGGAAGCCAAATTGTCCGATCTTCACTGTGACGACATCTTACAAGTGGGAGTGCTCGTCGTGGGCTCAGATGCAGACAAACACCGTTATGGGATAAAGCAACTGAAAGGTAAACCCCAGCTTGCTACACACAGCATCTGAGGCTGTAGAACTCACGTTCAGCCCTTTGGCCGAGTCTCTGGATAGCGATGAAAGGCAGCTTCTTGCCTGAGCCCATATCAGTTACAGCCCGCCACACACCTGCACATCACACACCTCTTTAGCCGATGTCAGCCTGTCGTAACTTTGCAAGATGCGAGCATTCAAACAATACTTGGTTATGTCTTCTAACGTCATGGAATAACCATTGAATTCCTAAGTGCTGGTTCATCATCCACATCTTCTTAGTCACCAAACAGTAGCCTTTGAGAACCGGTGAAATGAAATCTAATCAACTTTCCCTACAGCATTTTATTCTTAAAAATTAAAAAACTATATGCGTTTTCAACTAAAATTTATTACGGTCCAACAGAAGTTGACATTTTCATCAGCCCAGAGAGCTGTTAAACACTTTAGAACAAATGCAGATTTGAGAAGGAAACAAAACAGCTCAACACGTACTAAAAACTTTTCCTAATATTCCATTTTTCCATCCTCAATGGTGAGTACCTGTTTAGATCATAAAGAAAGAGGTCTTATTTTTGCAGTAGGGCACGCTTCTCGAGAAGCGTTTGACTGCCTAGGGCAGCATCAGAGGAACGGTATCCTTCGTACTGAGCAACAAAAGAGATGATCTGAGCCCACAAACAACTGAAAGCCAGGCTTGCGCAGTGCGTTCACGTTTCTTAAAGCAGATTCTGTGAATTACCTTGCCCCGTCCCTCTCACTCAGCAGACAGGCTACAATAAGAAGAAACATCTGACCACATCAGTACCACATAGCAGTTGTTACTGTTTGGTGTTTCCCAGACACTTCCTTTGCAATAAGTTCAAAGCATCCAGTGGCTGATTCATCCAATATCCATTACATACCCCGTTTCCTGTTATTGTCCCACATTCCCTGATCACGTGATATTATTGTTCCATGTGATCTTAATTCTCCATTGGTGAAAAACACCTAATTCCATGAAGCAACAAAAAAAAATGTATGCCCACTCAATAAAAAGTAAGCATGAAATATATGCATAAATAACATTAAAAAGTAGCTATGTACCGGACTACAACACACACGTGTACACTCATTCTGAAGTTTTAATGCATATGTTTTAAAGTAAAGCATGCATTCAATAATATTTGCTAAAAAGTTCATCGCCTGTTATTCTTGAACTACTTGGACAACTAAGTCTGCACAGATAATTAAGTTAGTAATTCAAGATTACATTCTAAACATGGTCCAGAAATATGTATCTATTAAGCCACAGTCAAAACTACAAAATCATCTTTTTTTTAAACGTGTCAATATAGACTATTTGAGAAACAATGGCCACACTCTGTTTAGAACATTAAAAAAAAATTGCCTTCCAAAGAATTTTCTCAGATTTAAGTAAGTTTTTTGTGTAAAATGCTTTAAATCAACATATGTTACTAAACCTTTGCTTCTCTTCCCCTGGCGAATCTACACTAATGTTTCTTAGCTTTGCTCATAAAGCAGGGTATGATGTGACAGATGTTGGAACCATAATTCAGAATTGTTTTCTCTAGCTAATAACACCTCAATTTCTTGTCTTGAAGCTTAACTTTTTCAAAAATGATACACATATAGAAAACTCTTGGATTTAAATCAAAGTGAAGTTTTATGATTTGATAGTTGGATTACAAACCTAGTTATTTTTAAGGAACTTGAAAATTGCCTAGAAAGTCATGTGAACTTCATGTTTCTAATATAAACTTTGACAGCACCAAAAGTTAATTAAATTTAATAACTGAATTTTCACCTCACATTTCATCTCGTATCTTTTGATTCAAACGTATCACTTCAATTTTCACTGAATAAAATTGAAAATTTCAAGACTATATCATCTGACTTTTTTCTCTTTTTCTGTTTTTAAACTCTGTATTCAGAAACTGGAAGGTGTTTTGTCTATTAAAGAAAGCAGTAAAAATTACCACCCTAAAAAAAAAATCCTCAATGTGGCATTCTTTTATAAGTAGAGGCTTACTGTGAGCCTTCCCTCCACTCCCCTCTGTCAAGGCTTCTCAAAGAGAAGAAATTTCAAAAGAAGAAGAAACAATGGCAAAGAAAGCAATAACTAAATGCCAAGTTCTTTTTCAACTAACTCCATCATGAACTTGTTACCTGAAATGGTAGTCAGCATTAAAATAAGCAAAATAGGCTTCCATGAATAGCTCCAACAGAACAGAGCGTCTAGATGAAAGATTAGACCCAGGGATACACAACGGGAATTTATGACTATTGCTATGTGCGATTATTACTGTCAAAATGACAGCTTTTATATTTCTTTCTACCCTGACAAAGAAACTAAGGCAAAATGTGAGTCATCTTCCAATTTATGAAGAGATTCTAAGTTCATAGGAAGCCTGAGTCAAGCACAAAATGCAAGTAATAAACAGTTCCCTTTCTGCCACAAAGCACTGTGCATTTTCCCACATGGAATATGAGCTTCAGAAAGTTAACACCTAACAACCTTTTGGCCCCAACCCACCACATTCAAAGCAACTTGCAAGAATGGGAAAACTTTGACCTCGTGGTGTGTGGGGTGTGTGTGTGTGTGTGTGTGTGTGTGTGTGTGTGTCAAATGATAATGGGATTTTGTAATAAAATTCATTGCCTTCGAAGAAAGTGTATTTCCCTAGAATATTTATGTAACATCCATTGACATGAATTGAAATCATGTCTACAGTAGCTAACATGTGACTGCCACAATAGCACAGTCTACTAGTGAAATTCAAATTCAGTACAAATAAAATTTCTCATTTGCTTTGCTAAACCTAGCACATTGCTGGTTCCGTGATTTTTTTCCCCAGAATTTGACTTATCATTGAGATACCAAAAAAATCTATCTCTAAGATGAATTCTAGCACTATGAGTTTCACTCTTTTATTATAATACTGTAATAATATAAGATTACCTATTACAATAAAATAATCTGAAGAATTCTATATACGCTTTCAAGCTGTGTGTTGTGTGATTATGCCTGGGATGTTTCATATAATTTATTTTAGATGTGAGATCTATCGTAGCTTTACCATATAAGGGCATGTAATAGTTCATAAATCATATCTGTATCCGTCATTACTTCAACTTAAAGTGTAGACCCAAAAATCATCACACTATAGATTATAAAGACATTCATTTTCAGGCTGCTGTAGGGTGATGGGCTTTACACTATCCAATGGGGAAAGAACTAATGTTCCTTCAACAGGTTTCTTCTTGTCAACACCTTCTGCACCTCTGGTGTTCGCTGGACTGCTACCACATGCTGGGTTTACATGATATAGAACACTACGTGAGGTACTAAATAAAGTAAGGGGGGCTAGTTTCTCATGCCTGTGATCCCTGCTTGCATCACCAACATTTGTGTGCGCCTGCTTTAAAATTGCTGAGAGAAGGTATCTTAGGGTCCTGGGGAGAAAGCAGCAATAGTTTCAATCCCACGAATTGTAGAGTTTGCTTCCCTCCTTGGTTTTGCAGTGCTGTGTGTTGTTTATAGGGTTAGCATTTTCTGGGAGAATCCATATATCACCAGAGTTTAGGATGTATCTATTACCCACCACAACCCCCCAAAATATATCTACTCCTACCATGTGTTCTAGGAGTTTCTTATTTCTTAGCCTAAATGTTCTTAGAGTCTGAATTATAATCATGACTCCATATTGAAGGAAATCTAAGTCCTCTTCTTGCTTTGGCTTTGGTTTCTGGGAATGTCCCTTACGCTATGTGGAAGCATCAAATGATTTCTGTGGTTAACCATCTTATGTATCTCCTCACAGCTTTATAACTGGTAAATTTAAATATCATTATAAATTACCATGTTACCAAAACCAAAACACCAACCATCAAAGACAGGCTTTGTCCCTTTGATGTATTTTAAATATTTGTTTTCTTTATCAGCTTAATTGTGGCTTACCTTCCCAGCTTAATTATAAGTGAAAATTATTCAAAACAAATAACTGCAAGATTTGCGAGGTTTTTTTAAAGAAATAACATCAAAACAACTCATCATCGGATCATATTGCATAAATTAACCAAGTAAAATTTGGTAATTAATATTAATAACAAAATGATAGTAATAAAACCAAACCAGTCTGATTCCTCAGTGCCATGACTGGATGGTTTGCTATCGTACCAAGATTCCAGCTCAAACAGCAACAACCTGGCTTACGATGGCTGCCACTGTAACCTCTGGATAGTGCCTGGAGTCAGTTTAATCACACACGTCCTCTACATTGGAATGGTTGGTTCTGAGTGGTCTTTAGAGATACAGTGTTACATGATTTTTCAGCAGACCACACATCAGCGTGACAACAACAGAAGAAACCAAGTTCTTCATTGTGGTTTGAGAATCAAACAACAGTTGGTCAAGAACCCAAGAGTGCACCCCCTGATCTTAATGTAACCACTTCCCTACTCCCAGCCTGAATTAGACTCTTACTGAGGGGCATACAAAATTGTTATTACCTCCCAAAGGCTGCAGTGACAATGTCCTAGTCCCCTTAGAAGCTTTTCTCCAGTCTTCTCTTCTAACAAGATAAGTTTATCAACTTTACTTAGAACACAGCAGTAGCTCTTTAACTGGTGTGTACAAGAATTACCTAGGGAGCATGATAGAGACACGGATTCCCAAGCCCATCTCCCCAACTGTTCATGCTTTCTGATTGACTCTGAGGCCATCAGGCATCCACATTTTGATAATGAGAGAATCTTGCTTTAGGGAAATAGAACACAAAACAGGTAGGAAAAAAAAGGAATACAGGCAAATTATACATCCAGTGGAGTTGATAAATT